GTATTAAGTGGATCTAGCTCCGGAACCAGCCCGGACTTTGTCTTCGGACCTGACGGCCGATAAGAATGCCACGCCGCACAGGCCAGAGTTGATGGCCGAGCATACAGACAGTATGATTCCAGCAGGGACCTACTGCTGTAGTAATGGTACATTTATGCGCGGGCAGTTCCTTAAGCCTGAACAAGGTCTAGTAATAATTCCCCTGCCCGTTAGCTCTGCCTGCTAGATACTAGATTCGTATCGGAGCCATATCCGATTTAGGACTTTGTCGCCTTAATCCCTGATTTGACGGAGTGATCCGCGTTTAGGAAGTTGGCAGACAAACAATCGCCAGATCAGGATTAGCGCAGTATATTACCAATCGTCCATCCGAATCGATTCTTACTTAAGGACATGAAGCGAGGTCGCGGATTAGTCCAGGACAGGACATGACGGCCGTACCTTCTCCAGCGATCCCCTCCGGCTCCTCAGCGATATCTCAACCACCTTGAGATGACAGATTTGCGACTGTTAGGAACTATTTCCTGGAATACGACATGGTAACACCTGTGAACGAGGCCTGGAATAGCGGCTATGTTGAGAAAGCGTTACCCGATCTGCACCGCAGGTAATGAGCAGACACGTTGTTCTTGAAGCCGCCACATAGCCGGCTTTCCAGAGGCTGACATCCTTGCTCGTTGCGACCGGATAAATTCCAGCATTACAAATCCCCCCTAAACCTCTGTAGTCTTCGTATCCTGAGCTTCAGTCGGTGTACGACATAGTGGGGAGTCCTTGTCTCTCACGATTAGATGCATGCGTTAGCCTAGACAGGACCTATCGCTGAGTCCATGAACATTAAGAAAAGAGCATAAATCTATCAAATGGTCTGCGCGATACTGTTACCTAGCAAGCTCAGAACCTTTCCTTCCTCGCGTCATGACATCTCAGCTCGAAATGGCCTCGGTTCAAACTCCCGCGAACTTGACTCACACCAAACGATATCACACAATCTCTCCGCCGCACTGCAACATCGAGGCCCAAGGTAATATGATATCATATGTACATAAAGAAATCAGTGTCTGTATGTTGCTATCACGTGACTAATACACTTACCCTGCGTCGGACCTTGCCATCTGGACTAGGAAAGATCGTGTCAGTAAGTACCTTTTCTTTTCCAGGAAATCTACCGATCTTATCAGTATGATGCTGCTGCCTTTGGCTAGAATTGGATCTTGGCTACAACCTTGCAGGCGCCGTAAATCTCACGGTGAGATCTCACGTAAGGCGAATAGACGTGTCCATTACGCCGACTGCGATCCCGGTCAGTACATAGTCTACGATAGACCACCAAGATGCTGAGATCTCGGATTCGTTATCTGCTCACATCTTTGGGCCTAGGTTTACGGTACATTAATACGTTGCGAGCATGCACGAGCTGAAGCCTGACAGCTACTTCAAGACCAAGCGGCATGGCCTGGCCGTGAGTCCCTGTATAAGAGCGCAAACTCCCTGTTTGTTTCCCCTTAGTTCCGCCGGTGGTATCCATTTCAAACTGAAAACATGACTTTTATTCGTTCCAAACGCATCCAAAGCTTCTTCGTATGCATCGTAGCCGTCATAGCTACGGTAATTTCTCTTCGACGCATCCTAGTAAACGACATTGAACATCTCCCTCCCGTCATTGGCAAGAACAATACCGTCCTCTTTGTCGCCAACGTTGAGCACGATCTCTCTAATGTTCAGGTTGCGACCGTGTTCTCCCTCCTCGAACGCCACCCAGGAATCACTGTCCACTTTGCATCTTGGTCCAAGATCAAGCCCAAGATCGAGAGAATTTCCGACTACGCGCGCAAGAAGACGCCCCAAACTCATCCTGCTATCTTCCATGAGCTACCGGGTCCAAACTTCTAGGAGGCGTCAGGGCGAAATTCCTCATTGAGCTGGATGCAGCCTCCAGGTGTCGCAGGGCTGAAGGGTCTCAATAAGGATATGGCGCAATTCATCTTACCATGGTCGGGGAAAGACCATCTCCCGATATACGAGAGCGTGAGAGCGCTTATTCGGTATATCGATCCTGCCCTCGTGGTGCTTGATATGTTTCATCGACCGGGAATGGATGCAACGCGGGGAGATGGGCGCCTACACGCAATCCTATCACCGAACGTTCTAGCTGACTGTTTCAACGGTGATCAGCCATGGCTGAAGGGATTTTGGAAGTTCTCAGCGTAAGCCAAAATCCCGGTTTTTGATGAATGACCTCCCAGACTAACATTCACTTCCCGCAGAATTGGCTCCGGTCACGACTTTCCAGTTCCTTGGCGTGATATCCCCACGAACATCTACCAAATGGGAAGCTTCGCTTGGACCATGATGTTCAATGCAGAGCTCAATGAAAGGCGCAAGTTTCTCGCCAGTCATGGATTACAAGACCCAATCAACTTCTTCAATATTCATCAACCTGGAAAGGGTGCATTCATTACCCAACACACTGCCGTAGCAGCCATCCCCCTCGATGTCGTTCCCGCCAATGTCACTGCGACAGGTCCCATTGTCATATCAATTGCATCGGTGGAGGAACAGGACCCCGAGCTAGCGGCCTGGTTGGCGATGGCACCGACTGTGCTCTCGTCAACCTTGGCAGTCTCTTCGAATACGATGTTGGTAGAGCCCGAGATATGGCCGGCGCGTTAAAGATCGTCATGGAGCGTACGGATGTTCAAGTTCTTTGGAAGCTCAACAGAGCTGCTAGTCTCAAGGCCTCAGATTGGAAGCCATTGGTGGAGGGATTTATTGCAAGTGGTTGATTAAGAGTCTCAAAGTGGTTGACTGTTAATCCTACGGCGTTGCTTGAGACGGGAAACATTATCGTTTCGGTTCATCATGGCGGTGCGAACTGTTACCACGAAGCCATTGAGTAAGTTCCGTTCCACTCAGACGGCAACTTGTGTTTCGTGTTACGTGGTGAACATCTGTCGTTGGTATGAACCTCTACTGATGTATGACCTTTCAGTACCGGCGTACCGCAACTCATCCTGCCTGCCTGGCTAGATCTCTACAACTACGCTGCACGCGGGGAGGCAATCGAAATCGGAGTTTGGGGTAACAAACAATCAGCGCCTGGTTTCTCACTAATCGAGCTCAGCAACGCATTTTTAAAACTGGTCGACGGCGGCTCTACCAGCCTATTGATGAGTCAAAACGCAAAGAAGATTCAGGGAACTCTATACCGCCCTGGCCGCGATGTTGCAGCTGATGAAATCGCAAGGCTTGCAGCGTTGGGCTATTAAGGAATGAAAGGTTTTCATAGATATGGAAAGCCTGTTGGTGAATATTCACATGCTCGTGCTCCGAATGTTTGATAATTATTTCTGTCTTTTTATCTCCAGTATTATGTAGTTTCTGACTATGTCTTTTGCACAAAGTACATAGGTGATCATATGAGTTATCGACTCTGAATTGCGCTTTGCAAGACCTTATCTTTTACGGAGCAGTAGCCTTGACAGAAGTTGTAGTGAACTCGGCACAGCCCTGTCCTTGCGCAGACACAGTCACCTGCGCCTTATTGTCGTGACCATTCAGGCAGGCGCCACCAGAGGCAATGAGCTGGTTGCCAGACTGGGCAACAAATTCGACATTCTTCGAAGCGCAGTCCTCGGCCCGGAAGGCGGTGCCGTTGAAACCGACACAGGCCTGCTTGTTCACCAAGTCAGGTCTGAAGCCGGCGGTGAAAGAACGCTGGACAAGAAGAACGTTGTTACCGCCCTGAGTCGAGGGGGTAATCTGTCTGTCCGCAGCGGTATTAACGCAAGCGGCGTTGACGATCTCGCCTGAAAGAACTTGTCAGTACAGGGTTGCCTAGTATGGAAGATATCTCATTGCCGAGGAACATACCATTGTTGCGGAAAGTAAGGCACTCGTTTCCGGGTACACCACCCTGCTCCTTGAAGACGAGAGTGCTACCGCCCTTCTTGATGGCCTGGCGCTTAGACAGATCTTCAGCGGGCATGGCAGCCACGAAGGTGGTAAGGGCCAGGGAAAGAGCTGCGGCGAACTTCATATTTGCTGAAGAGACGAAAAAAGTCGGGTGAAGAATTGAAAAAGTTAAGTTATATGAACAGTTAAAACGAAACAAGGGACCAGCCGAACGAAGACAAGGTTTGCAAGTTGGAAAGTCGAGTGAGCGAATGGGATGATTCTCAAAACAAGTGAGACACAAAGTCGAGGCTGCCGAGTTGTCTTTAAATCTAAGCTGTCGACACTGCCAGACTGCGGACCCCCAGACTCTGACCTGGAGAAATCGAGTCTGGTAAGGGAAATTAAGCTTGATGCGACACGTCGCACCGCCTTCAAACCACCCCTCACACCTGCGACCTTAAAACGGGCTATACCGATCAGCTATACGAAAAAGATGAGGTGAAGGCGGCCCCGGCCCAAACAAGGAGGCCAGGAGAAGAAGAGACGAGTTTTGACCTGGTGTCAGCTTTTGCCGAGTTTGTCCACCACCCCTCTCACAAAACGACGAACCCCCAAGGAAAGGCTAAGCAGGGGTGCTTTGACGCCGTCGCCAACAACCAAAAAGAGGAAAACCCCACCACCACAGCCATTCGCTGAAACGTCTCAAGATCGGTCGGTTGCAGGGTTGTGCCCAGCCGAATCTGGGGAACCACCCCTACAGTCCTACCAGTACGCCAGAAATACGGTTTCATCATGGCACCTCGTCAAGGAGCCGCATAACTTTAGACTGGCTGCCATCTTATGTAATTTCGGATATCTCGGTGTCAGACTTTGGCTGGCAGGGCGGGAGATGACCCAGATTTGCGCTTGGAGCCGAAGATCCCATCTTTTTGGGAGGATCGAAGGGGGATGATGGCCATCAAGGGGGCGTCCTTTGGGTTGAAACTGGCGGGCTCGCGTCTCGAATCACACTCTATCTCGCTTTCGGAAGGCCTTGTCGGTGTTGTAAATGATGACTGGAACTTTTCGACATTCCGTTTGTAGACTTCAAAATACTGGCCTTACTGCTGTCTGAGACTTTGTTACAGCTCCTCTTCTCCTCTTGCCGAAACTAATCACTGGACAAGGGGAAGTTGCCTACTTTTTCTCGTTTCTCAATCTCTCATCTGTATTAGTCGATATTCCAGCTATCGCGATAAAATGTTATATCGATTGAAAACGGCTCGGCTGTAACTATGCACCACAGTCCAATAGAAGCCTTGGCTACCATGTGATATGAGTTACCCTGGGATTTTCCTTACCATATTGCCCTAGGGGAAATCCTAATTATATACTACATATCAAGCTTTCGATAAAAAGCAGAAAAGAAAAGACTAGCGTCTTTGGACAGTCAAATAAGAACTACTTACTTTTGTAGCAACCCTACGCCTCACTGCGGAATCCCTCGCGCTACGTCCATGGTCATTCGCAACGATGTTCTTGGACACATGCTCCACGGGAGAGGAGGCGACCTGTTTAAACGCCTGAAGTCGGCAAATCGCGAAAGCGTGCATATTACTTTGCTGTGTTCTATCACCTCATTGGCCGCTGGATAGAAGCAGTGTGATCCAAGGCGGCCATAACTAGGACATGAGATCCCAACATACATGGAGCTCCGCCATCTATCTTTACAGCCTACTCTACCAAGTGGCATCCAAGGGCGCAGCTGCCCTTCTTCGGCCAATTGCGCAATATCTTGCTATCCAGGAACCACCAGTTGGCTTTCAGGGCATTGATTCACTCTTCTGACTTCTGATCAGAGCGTTTTGTTGGATTCAAACTGAGCTAAGTCAAGTCGAATATCCGAAAAGTCTGGTGAGCTTGGTTGCACTTCATTATCAACAAAGCATACTAAGGTATTTGATGGCCATTCTCGTAATGACAACTGCACATGCAATCTTCCAAAAGTAACAAAAATATACTGCTAGCCGCCCCCGGGTTTCTGCATACTCCCTTCCAACATCCAATGACATGATCTTGCACTGCCCCTTGCTCGCCAATTGTTAAGGCAAACAGACCTGGGAATGAAAAGTACGCCACTACTTAGATATCCCATAGATCATTATCTCATCGAGGTGTTTCCTCGACTGTACTCAAATGATCCTCCCCCCTCCCCCTCAACAACAACTTGAACAATTTGCAGCTATGTCACACACTTCGACGAGGTCAAACAATACTTATTCACATCCGCAAGTGACCCAATCATGGTTCCTCAATACCTAAAAGAAGACATGTGCAAAAGGTTTTTGAAGTTGAAAGAAATCGAAAATCGATTTGGCATTGGCCCCTCGATCCTCTTCTTCATAGTGGACATCTTCCTATCAATTCCGCTCGGTCCACTTCTCGTTCCATTCGATTCTCATGATGTGGAGAGGCTCTCGCTGGTTATTCTCGGCACCATCTGGATGACTTCGAAATTCAGAAGAACGATGGCAGCTGTAGTTCCTAAGCTCGAGACGTATTCTCCGCGCGGCCCTTGCAAATTCGAAGAAACTTATTTTTGGACAGAAAGTGTTCTTCTATCGCCCGATGAAGAAATCACGGAAGATGCTGCTTCCTCAGCTGAGAATCAAGAAGATGGTTAAGAAATGGGAAGATGTTCCGGCTTGAGTTGATTTAGCAAGGAACTTCAAGTTTCTTACTCATCTGTTCAAGGCTCAATATACCTGTCTGTTTGATATCAATTTTCAATAAAGGGATGATGGTGTCTTTTGCCAGGGGGGTACGAACTTGATCCCGAGGGTCTAGGGGTACAGGCCAGAACCTCGGATACACGAACGTAAGTACTTTGATAAGTCGATTTCCCATGTTGGAGACGAACTCCATCTCATGGGGACTTACTGCTTAGATGTAGACAGTAGCTGTCGCAGAAATGACACCTTTTGTATCGAAAAGCAACTGTGATACAGATGGAACCTTGGCTCCTTGGGATTATTCTCTCTCTTCTTGCGGAGCATCACACTTCGCTTTTAGCGCGATACACCATGTCCAGACGGTCGAAAATTTCGAGATGCCTCTTTTTAACCGCCATCATCAAGGGTGTCTGCCCAGTCGTATCCACGATACCTAGATCTGCCCCTTGCCCCAGTAAGATTTCGATACCATCTTCAACTCCATCATGGATAACCTGGTTGTTTGGTGTATGGAGCAAGGGTTCTGCCTGGCTATTCAGTGAATAGCCATCAAGCTCAAGCAGACGTGCCGTCATCCCTTTTTCTTGTTCATAAGCGGCTGGATAATGGAGAAGGCACCATCCCCACGAGTTAGGTTCCTTGGTTTGGGCACCATGTTCCAAGAGCAATTTCAAATGCCGGCTGTTCGGCCGAAGAACTACAAGGTGGAGTGAATGCGTTTTATTGTTACCCAAGGCATTTACATGAGCGCCTTTCTCAATCAGCTTGCAACAGATCTCGAAAAATCCTTTCAAAATTGCAGACTGCAGAGGGGTGAAGTGGGGGCGTTCCCAAGACGGAGTGTTAATATCTCCCGGCGACGTTTCAACTTTCAAGTTAAGAATGCCAGAAAGCTGCCTGAGACTATTTCTCCTTAACTTGACCTGGGGAGATTTGCGTTATAACACGCCTCAGCCGAGAGGATCACTTCGCAATAGAGTAACGAGAAGGACCATTGGTATCCGTAGCATTGCTGAATGACTGACACCCCTATCTTCTGCGGTTTCACAGTCTCTCAGTTGGTTATTCGGTGGCAGACGTCTTTCAGGTGGTCAGATGCTCTCGGCTCAATGATCACATCAAAAGTGGGATCTTTCAAGTACCTAGTACACGTATCATTACATGTATATTCCATCACCATGCCCAAGCACGAGATGTGAAGCCTGTCCTAGACGCCATGCCATGCCCTGCCATGCACTCTATGCAGTATTCCCCGTTCCTTCAAGACATGGCAAGCCTCTACCCCAAAGCTCAATGCCATCCAAGACGACGCCGTCTACCCCCAGACGAAAGGTATAATGCTACGCTCAAATCAACAACCGACCCCTTTCCGCAAGTTGACCACAATTCGCTCAAGACTCGACCTCCATCTCCAAATCCGGATCCACCTCGGTCCCCAAATCCCTCTCCTCCAAGAACCGCCTCCCAACAAGCTCATCTGGCAAATATTCCTGCCTCACCCTCCCCTCCCGGTAATTCGGCGGATACTTATACTCCGCCCCATACCCCATCTCCCTCATCAGCCGCGTAGGCGCGTTCCTCAAGTGCAACGGCACAGGCAGCGCCGCCGCGCCAGGTTCCTTGAGCGCCGCGTAGGCGTTATTCAGACCCCTATACGCCCTCGTGCTTTTCGGTGCGAGACTCAACGCTACAGCGCAGTGCGCGAGAGGGATTCTAGCCTCGGGCATGCCGATCTGCTGCGCGGCGGTGTATGCTGCCGTCGCGAGGGGTAGTAGAGTATTATCCGCTAGTCCAACGTCTTCAGAGGCAATGACTACCATCCGCCGTGCAACAAATAGGGGATCCTCGCCGGACTGGAGCATGCGTGCGAGGTAATACAGCGCTGCGTCGGCGTCTGATCCGCGAACGGCTTTGTGGAAGGCAGAAATGGTATCGTAGTGCTGGTCGCCCGCGCGATCATACACAAGCGTTTTGGTCAGGGAAGCCTTGATGCTCTCCTTCGTCGTCCCCGCCCGCGTTGAGAGCGAGAGGGCCAGCTCAAGCAGGTTCAGCGCCGTGCGGGCATCGCCGTCGGAGAAGGCTGCCAGGTAGGTCACCAGCTCCGCGTCAACGAGCGGGCTGCCGGAGAAGTTATTCGTCCTTGTCTCCTCTTCAATAGCTCTCAGGAGAATCCTTGCCACGTCCTCGCTAGATAGCTTGGAGAGCGTAAACGTCCTACATCGCGAAAGCAACGCGCCCTGAACCCTAAAAGAAGGATTCTCCGTCGTGGCACCAATGAGTGTGATCGTCCCAGCCTCAACAGGCTTCAGAAAAACATCCTGCTGCGACTTGGAGAAGCGGTGTATCTCATCGCAGAAAATAATAGTCTTGCGGCCCGTAAGCGCACCCTCGTTGGCCGCCTCCGCAAAGAGCTTCTTGCACTCGGCCACGCCAGATGAAGTAGCATTCATCTCGATGAAGCGCGAGCCGACGCTGTGCGCAATACACCGCGCAATCGTCGTCTTGCCCGTTCCCGAACCGCCCCAGAGGATCATGGAGGGAACCCGGTCCGACTCGATAAGGCTGCGGAGCACGCCGTGCGGGCCGACGAGGTCCTGGCCGCAGACTTCGTTTAGGGTTCTGGGACGCATGCGCTCTGCGAGGGGCGCTGCGCGGGCTGTCTTTGTGCGCTTTGCTGAGGGCCCGGTTTCTGGAGGTTGTTGTGCTTGTTGGGTTGCTTCGCTATCTGTGTCGGTAGACGTCGCCATGGGAGAGGGCAACTCGCCTGGCCCATCGTCGAATCTTCGTTTCATTCCCGCCATGGGCCGAGTAGTCGTCGCAGTCGCCGTCGTTGTGCCATTAGAGGGGGTCGTGAGGACTTTGGCGGGAGGAGCATGGCGCTTCGGTGCGGGGGTCGAGAAGAAGGAGGAGGCGGGTCGTTTGGCTTGTGATGGGGTGAGTGTAGAGCCGGAGGTGCCATTGGATTGTGTCGCTGTCGGCGGGGAGGATGTTCGTTCGGGGTTGAAGATGTGATTTTGGCAGCCCGAGTCGATATGGGAGTTGATTAGGGTCTCCTTGACGGGTTTATTGCAGATGGGGCAGTCGACTGCTGCCATTTTGAATGGACGACGGTGCTGTGACGCATGCAATGGTCGTTGTTTTGGCTCAGGATTGAGTGGTATGTATATGAGTTGGTCCAGATTCGTCAATTCGTGTCTAATCGACAACGTTGGGGCCTCGGCGAGGTAGCGAGTAGCAAAGTGATGCGAATTCGTGTGAACTTGGAGGTTGAACTCTGACTGGAGGAGACGCGCCTTTGGGGAATTTTTGAGTGCCATGACGCGCTTGGCCTGGCAATTGAGCTCGAAATTCTAGTGGGGCATGGCACGCCTCGCTCCGCACTTCAGGTACCTCCCGTCCAGTACCTAGGTACCTACTTCCACTGCCGTCTGGAGGCGACTGCCAGTGCCGGGGGCCATGTGGGTGCTGGTTCTTGAATAAGCGTCCCTTTAGGTCTAGACACTACCTTTATTGTTGTTTCTTTACCTCATCTCTTGAGTCATTTCAGGAACACGTAGAGAGTCTCTTGCCTTGATAAATTTCTTGTAAGATACTCAGTCGCAGTGGCGGTTAAATAAACAGGCAAGGTGCGGATCATGAGCGGCAAATGAGTTTGTCACCCGCTCGGGGGGGAGTCGATTCACAGTCTTCGGGTGAGAAGCCGCGCTCTCTTGAAAAGTGGGACGCCCGGCACTCGGATTCGGTCGGAGATACACTGTGGTCTCCGTCCGCCCGCCATGCTCGGCATACAGACACGCGAATGGTCTCATTGAAGACAAGGGATTCGGTTCACTTCTCAGGTTCAATTGAAAATGAAACTAATAATCGCAGTGATCCACGCCCGGATGATGAGCCGGATCTTCTCGTAGGTATCATTACACCTGTAAAAACGCCTCCCAATGCCTTGTCCTTCCTCAACCCAAATTTGAAAGTGCTCGGAATGGAGCCGTGGTGTACAAAGACGCCGTAGCATGAGTTGATGCTGGTGCCGGTGCCGTTTACCGTCTCCCCTTGTCTATGATGAGGACGGTGGCCGTGTATAAAGTGTATCTCGAAGCCATTGATCCGCTTACTAAAGCAGCGCATGCTCATGCTGTCTCTTCTCTCGCAGGCGGCTCATTCAGTCTGTCGTGTATGACAACCTCCCTCAAACCATGAAAGACTCGCCGCAGCCACACTGTTCCTCTGTTCCTCTGTTAGCATTGGACCACTTGACTTGGTAGGATCCGAGTAGACTCACTGATATTCGGGTTCTTAAACACGAACCGCTGGCTCAACTTATCCTCAACCCAATCCATCTCGCTGCCAATAATGCTAAACAGCGCCTTGCTGTCAATCAACACCTTGACGCCGTCCTGCACCACTTCCTCGTCGAAGCTCCCCGGCTTCTCGACATACTCGAGGTGGTACGCCAGGCCCGAGCACCCCCTGTTCCGCACGCCGACCTTGATGAGCTTCGGCTCCGGCTGGTCCAGCATCGCGCGCAGCTGCTCTACCGCCGCGGGGCTGAGCTTCATCGCCGCCTTACGTGCACGGAGCGTGCGCTTTGGGCGGGCGGCTGGCTTGGGGGTTTGGGCTGCTGCTTCGGTGATCTTTGGCGCGGAGGTGGTCTTGGTGGTGGCGGCGGTTGCTGTTGATGACGTCGTCGCGGCCTTGAAGGCTGTTGTGGAAGCGCTCGCTGGCGTCTTTGTCGTCGTTGAGGATTGTTGTGTGGCGGAAGATGTAGAGGAAAGAGTGCTCGGTGTCGAGGATTGTTGGTGGGCCGTCGCGATTTGCGAGGGGATCTTGGGGGGTCTCGTCTCGTTGACCTTCGGCAGAGCATCCGGCGATGCGATGGAGCTCTCGGGGATGCCGTCGCCTCGTGCCGGAGGAAGTGTGTTGTTTGAGTAGAGAGGGTATGACTGGAAAGAAGGGCTGCCGTAGGCGCGACGAGCAGAGGCGCACTGCAATGCCGTGCAGGAGCGACGAAACGCCACTCTGCTGAGTATCCTCGGTGCATTCATCTTTGTGCTGGAGGTTGTGTATGTATTTGCGATGTGAGGTAGTCGAATTTGCTGCAAGGATGCAGACCGAGTTAGGGTGAGATAGCTTGTCCTTTTTGTTGTCTCCTTTGTCAAAAGATCAATCAGGTGGTGAGGTTAAGAGGGTTGGAGATCATTCGACGGTGACGAAAGAAACAGGCGGGAATTGTAGGTCGGAGGTTTTTGCGGTCGGGATGGATTGGCAATGGGAATGTGGCTGGCACTCGGAGCAAAGCAGAAGAAGCTGGGGCCAAGGGGGGGGTCATTTGACAGGTTCTCGCCGTGGCGCGGCTATGACATGGTGAGCGGTCTCCAGTGAACCGGGTGCTCTACAGCCAATCAGGTGCCTGTAATTTGTCAACGGCCGTGACAGATGACAAAGCAGCCCTTGTAGTTTCAGCAGTGACTCTTTTTCTTCAGTGCAACCGACCTATGTCAATGCAATGGAGCTTTGTTTATACTGACCAATGTACATCTTGAGGGCCACAAGGGGATTATTCTTTTCACATACCTGTCTGAGTTGCAATTTTTTTCCAGTGTTACATCTCGATTCCCCGATATTCTAGGGAATCGAGGTGGTTCGAGATTAGGTTTGCCTAGAAAGACAAGGAAGAGCTCTCTACTTCCAATCCCCCGCAGCCGGTGGGACCAGTCTTGATACGCCGAACAGCAGATCTGAAGTTCAAGAGCCCGAGGTTGACATCAGCTACTGTTAGGCCTCGAGGATGGGATCATGGTCAACGAGTCTCGACTCAGCATGCCAGCCATCACTCAAACCAGACTTTAGCAAGTGTTTCATGAGAATCATCTCGGGGGTGTCATTAATACCGTACAGTCTACCACCCATCCCTCCCAGCCTCACAGCTCATCACTCACCGCTCCACCAACCCTCTCACATCAACAACAGCCGCCCTCGCCATCTTCTTCAACAGTGTCCTCTCATCCGCCTCCCGGTACCGATCCCACGTATCAAGCCCCTCTTTTGCCTGTATACTCAGCGTCTCGTACCCCTGCTTAATAACCTCCGTCACCTGTATGCTCGTGAGGTTCCCCTTCTTCTTGCCACCCTCCGCCAGCAGCTCCTTGTAGTGCGTGCTCACGTTGATGAGCGTATCAATCGAGTTGCTCGGCCGCTTTCCAAGCTGATAGCTCTCCTTGAACTTGGTCAGCGTGTCGCCCGCCTCGACCACCTTGTAAAAGAGGTCGTCGTATGCTGCCGGCGAGGGCAAGAACCCTTCACCAGCCGACAGCGAGAGCGCAACCAGGTTTACGACGTTGTCTAGCAATAGATCGATCTGCGAGAGGTCCTTCAGGTCTGCGACGTATTGTGTCAGGAACCGGATGAGGTTCAGCAGCGCGCGGAAGAGATCCGCCCAGTGATATGTCAACCGTGTCCGTGATCGTGAGAGGTAGGAAATCACTCGCAGCAGGATACCGACGCAAAGGGTGTAGAGCCCGACGTCGAGCCTCCTCCGGAGGTTATGTGTGATGCCGTCAACCATTGTGTCCAGCACAGCTGTCGCCAGGATCCGGTCCCCTCTGACCAGCGGGAGGAATGGTTGTCTTTGGCGACACAGACGGACCTGCCCCTTTGATTCTTCGCTGCATATCCGCTTGCATAGCACGGGGTCCTCGATTAGTAGGCGGAAGACCATAAGATTGAGATGGGAGTAGTGTGTCGTGCGTTCGGAGAGATGGGCGTGTTGGAGTAGGTAAGAGGTGAGTGATGTGAAGGCCGCCAATGGCTGTTCTTCGCCCTTTTCGGCAGGCAGGGTGGCGAGATTGAAACAGAACAGCTTGTTGGCGTGGGTGAAGTCGTAGGTTGCTAGCAACACGGCCGCTTCCTCGCCGGGTCTACTCCTTGTCAGTTGCCATATCCAATTGCTCAAGGACAATCGGATGATACTCACAGCTTCGTAAACATCTGCTTCATAGTCTCGGCATCGTAGACGGGTTTCTTTTCCGGCTTGGGCCCCCTTGCAACCGCGCCAAGGCCAATCATACGCAGCGTGCCGTTGAATGTCCAACCCTCGGGCAGGTCATCCTGCACATCCACGAATTGTGTAGTCAAGCTCTCGCACGTCTGGCCGATGCATCGTATAATCTTCTTGATCGTCGCCTCGTTGACAAAGTCATTTAGTCGCATCTGGTACGGGTTCTGGAACTCGAATTTGTTGTAGTTTGCCAAGAGACCAAGGAGGGAAAAGGGGGTTAGGATTCGCTCCGTCGTGTCGGTGTCTTGTATGAACTGCAACATCGTTAGTCCAGATTCGAACAAGCTGCAAGGACGGAGTCGACATACCTTCATCACTGACGGGAAGAGATCCCTCTGAATAAAGTATGTCAAGAGACTTGTCTGGTATGCGCCCGCCGTCACAGCCAGTACAACCTCGACAGCCTTTTGTCGCAACTCCACTACAACGTGTTAGTCCGTGTCATGCTTGATCGTTGTTGCTTTCCCTCGTGCCAAACTCACAGCTCTTCCCGCTCCTGATGATCTGGTCCACAGCTCCCACAAAGTCCGTAAAGATCGTATCGACATAATCGATCCCAGCCAAGACGATGATAATATCCGAGCTGGGGTGCGCATACTTTTTCGAAAGCGCCGAGCAGAGGAACACACTTAGAGTCTATATCCATTGAATCCAAGTCAGCAACTCTACTAGGACCTTCCAAACCTCGCCTCGGCGCATAAAGTCAAGGAAGGACGATGTGCCCTGGTTTACCCACATCAAGCGCATGCAGATCTGCGACACCCTGTCCGCTCTTCATAGCAGTGACAGCACGCGCGAAAAGCTCCCTCGTATGCTCCTCCAAGGCAAGCATGTCCGCCGGCCCGAGGCCATCGAGGATCCGCTTCAGGGCTGCGCGGTCGGGCCGCAGGAGGAAGAACTCGCGCCAGAAGCCCTCGGAGCGTTCTGCGACATCTTCGGCGTCCTACTCATTCATAGTTTTCGTATCAGCGGGTTGCCTGCAAACAATGTCGTGCTTCCGTGCGTAGGAGCAATGCCTAGGAAGGTACGGTCATGCGATCCAGAAGTTGAAGATCGTCAAGGGGGAATGCTCGGCCAGGCGCAATGGGAGGAAGGTCGGGATTCGTGGGTACAAGAATCGAGGAGGAAGAACACACACCTAGAGATTGAATTATTAGCTACAAGTTCTACATGAACTCGGGGACTGACAACCTCGGACACACAAAGACAGCATCGAGGGGTCACAAAGGCAGGGGGGAGCGGAGCTGTCGAACCTTGAACAGCGACTCGTACAGCTGTACGATCTTGGGTTTGAAGACCTCGGGCGGGGCCTGACGGGTCAGCGGTGACGCTTCCATTCCCGGGCAATGGCAACCTGTGGCGATGAGAACGAGAGATTGACAGTCCAAAGTATCGAGCCGGAGGTAGCGGGACGGGTGATCTGTAAATGTTTGGTTTTGGGGGCTGACGACGTCGGTCCGGCAGCACGCGAGCTAACCGTTGCGATACGCGTTCCGATAGAAAAAAGATGGAGAGGTCCCCGTCGCAGCTCAGGGATTCTGTACCGTTTTATACCCTAAATTGGCACGGTTTTAAAACTAAGGTCGCCGCCGTTCTATACAGTGCTTCCAAAACGAGCGACTGTAACTGCACATGTGCATTTCCCCCTGAACTCGGGCTGCCTCCAAAAACAGATCGGGACACTTGTCCAGCGCCAGAAACATCCATGGCTCGTTTCATGCACGGGCGCATCATAACCCAGTCTTTCTCCGTAGGGCTGATGGGCCTTTAATTTGCAGTTTTACCGAACGTACTAGGTACGGTGCGCACAGCAGGCCCTCGGAGGTTTGATCGACTTCGAGCCCACCATCAACCAAGCTTGGTATTCGTGTGATTGCAACATTGGGTCTTTCGTCGGATCAATACCTTGGCTAACATAAAAGGCATATGAGAATAAATTGCTTATAGGTATCCATCAGGTCAAGCCCCAGGAACCTCGGTCACTGATGAAGATCCCCTAATCCAGGAGGCCGGTGTCCGGCCTTTGGATCTTCCCTGAATCTCCCATGATCCTGACTCAACAGGTAGTCGACACCAAACCAGGCATCGCAGCACCGATACTGCTAACCTTGATCCTGTGCGACGAAGGCTACCAAAACTGCTGCACATGCTGCCGTTGCTAGGATTATATCTGTCCTCCTACCGTCCGTCATGACGGCCAAGCTGGCTGCAAATGCGCTAGTGAAGACGGCGATCATACAGAGGCGCAGGACCTCGTTGCGGAGGAGATAGAGGGTGACGATGGCGGCTTGTATTACGAGAGAGGCGGCGAGGACGGTGATTATCTTGACGAGGCGGGTGACGTGACGAGCGGAGTAGTACTTGACACCCCCCATTGTTTCGTGCCGTGAACCCTGAAGAAGCTTGTGAGTTTCCAAGAATGAGTGACGGGATTGGGATTTCGGGACTGAAAGTGTTATAGATATAACTACATGGGTATGAAAACTACACTGGGAAACACAGAGGTTCTATTTCAATGGGACCAAAGATAAACCTACCGGTAAATACCTTCCAGCCAAGCCTTGAAGAGATCTGGTGAGGAAGTCCGTTTCAATTGACGGGCTAAGAGCGATGAAATCGCTCCTTTGGCCGAGGAGGTCTGTCCCGTAGCCGACAAAAGGCTGCTCGGCCTCGAACCAGCCCCGGAAAACTCGAAAGACACGATCATTGGGCTTGGGAAACTTCATGACTTGGCTTTGGAGCAATAGAGCTTCATCTGGGAACAAGCTTTACGTCATTCAGGGGTTCAGGTGCGGTCTGCTTGATAAGTACGTAGGTACTAAGATGATGGAAATGGACTTTCGATGTTCTCACAATAATCCTTACTAGTCTCCTTCAGCCGAGCAACAAGTCTCATTCTCGCAGCATCTCTTTCGCAGTTTTCCTTTGCTCTTGCTGAGAAGGTCTCCCAGCATTTGGTGGAGAGTAGGACCTCCAGGTTCATCATGTCCCGGGCATCCTCTTCGTCTAGCTCGCGCATCTCGTTTTCGATCTCGAGCATGGCTGATTGTAGGTACAGTAAGTTTCTCGAGGCGAGGACCTGAAAATTTCTAAAGATTGTGAGTTCTGGGTCGGATGCCGAAAACTCTGCGAATCTTGCGTAGCTTGGCATCTCTGAACGAGAAGATGCCATTTTGACAACGCTTCAATATTCGCATATCATTTGGGACTATTATACTGATATGTTGATGGTGTTTTGTTTGCTCCTGTGTAAATCTGAAGAGTCGCATGAGGTCATGGAGACAGCATGATTGATAGGTGACATTCGACAGAACACGAAAAGAGGGGGCGGGCATAATATCGCGATGTTGCATGTGACCTCACCGCCAGAACAGTATTTCTGCACTTTTCTGGAAGAAGAGATGAGGCGAGCTCGCCCACCAATTACTGGCCAAGGACAGCTTGCATATCTCGCCATTCCAAGTTTGAAGTGTTACACAACATGAGGCAGCGAAATGGTTTTGGGTTCCTAAGTTGTCTGAGCCCCCTTTTCTTTGCCCAGTTTCTTAGAAGTGTGCCAACATCAGTCGCCATAGCCCAATTGACTTCGAACACTGGCCTTAAAGCATCCAATCGCTCTCGGCCGTCAACTACCTACTCGCGACCGCCCCCAAGGATAGGGGAGTCAGAGGGCTCGATACTTAATGCAGAAGCCCCCTCCCTCGATGTACTTCGCGCCTGGCAAGAACGTTCATCCCCGCTTCAGAAGTCCCAGGCTAGCAGCCTATCAGTTAAGTGCGACCCTTCTTCGTGCCATTTCAATCGCAAAGATGTTTTCGACAGAGCGGGACTCGTCCTTGGACTATTACTCAGTCCTAGGAGTCCCAAGGGAAGCCGATGATTATCGAATCATATCAGCATACAGAGGCGCGATATCCATCGTAAGGGTCATACACCCTGATCAACCTCGATCGTCAATGAAAGAGAAACAATTCTACGACTTTCCAACAGTGAAAAAGGCATATGAGGTGCTCTCGAATTCTGCAGCGAGGGGCCGATACGATGACGGGTTTAGACTTGAAATCCTTCGGGAAGAAATAGCCAACTCGATTAGGGGTGAGGAAATGGAAAAGTTCTTGCAAACTTGGAGCACCTGGTCCTAACACCTAAGTAGAAGATCGCAAATCACCATGGAGCAGAGGCCTCAGACGCATTAGTAGATGGGCGATATTCGGCGCATACCTCTTCACAGCTCAAGAAATGAACACTTTGCGACGGCAATGGTCTCCTTCGAGGCCTCGTGCCGGATGTTGCGAGCTACGCGAAGGCGAATATTCCATGAATCGAGACTGTCAGGTCGATAGACTGGTGACAAAAGGTACCATTGATGGACATCACGTCGAAGCCATGCCAGACACCGGCGCTGGATGCAACTTGGCATCCGCATCGCTGGCTTCACGGCTCGGTCATGTCATTTCGATTGCAAGCCAAGACGAAGGCGGCTCACAGCGGATTCAGATGGCCAACGGCAAATTTTTGAAGACTCTCGGCTCATTCGAAGCCGTTTGGAGGTTCGCAGACAGCCCGGACCGGGGCTGGACGATCTCGGTCCACGTTCTCGAGAATTGTGTCTACGACCTCGTCCTGGGCTCCGACTTCCTCAGGACCTCGGAGACGATGCGCAAACACCCACAGCGTCTCGAGCTTGTTCACCACTCGCCACGGACCATAGATTGGCAACCTGTGATCTCCATCAATAGCCTAGGACCGGTCCGCCAGCACATCATGGGCCATTTCGATGGCGACAGGGTGGAGGCGCTGCCAGATTCGGGCTCCGAGTCCAACCTCGTTTCCTTTGAGTACGTCGCCAGGCGAGGCCTGTACGGATCCGTGGATCACACCAATACCCGCGTGGTTCAGTTCGCCGATGGCACCACGCGGCGTACCATGGGCTCGATGACGGCGAGGTGGGAGTATGATTCGGAGGGCCGCAGAGAAGCAAGGTCGAAAGCAGAAGAGGAAGAAGGGGGCTTTGAAGTCGAGTTCCATGTTCTTCACGGGTGTACGTACGACGTCATCGTCGGCTACGATCTTCTCCAAGAAACGCGCGCGTTTGCGATCCACGAGGATGCCTTTGTGGATGTTGAGCCTCATTCTCACACATCCGGGCTCAACTTGGTAACGTGGCTTCCGAGAATACGTAGAGAGCCGAACTACAAAGAAAGAGAAGAGATACAGGCCGCTGCTTCCATTAATATTCAGGGACAAGAGGGCCAGCAGCAAGCTCAAGCGACGTCTCCGGGTACCGGGACGCAGTCAGTCGGTCTATCGGAAGCGAGGCGACCGCCGGCAGCAGCGAGCTTGCCGACGCACGCGGTTTCTCACTTCAACTACAGTAACAGTAACAGCAGCACCTCTGAAGACCGAGCTCAGGTTCTTAGAGCCGAACTCGAGCGTCGAGCAGTCATGGACCGGAAGCTAGCGCGGATGCCGCAAGGCCCCGACAAGGTGTCAGCTTCGGTGGCAGAGAGAGAGCAGCGTCGTCAGTTTGAAGCCATATGGTGCCCGCTGACCAAATGGGACAGCGACTTTGATGACGGCGACGTTTTGAGAACGGGTAGGGACGAATCGAATACCACGACCGCCGTCCGCGTGCCAGCGACCAGTAGGGAGTCTCCTACCCGGAGAGGGCGGTTGAGAGTGGATAGCAGCTCGCGTGACGGTGCAGGGCAGCAGAGGAGGCGGAATTTGATGTCGCGAATCTGGGGCGGCGGTGTTGAGTCGGGGGTTTCGACGGACAGATTTTCGAGTATCCTCTAGCCTCTCGTGTTATTCGCTTACGACTTACATTTGAGTACAGAGCAGAAGGGATGCGTTAATGATAGCGGGTTCTAACGGCGAGCTTGATGTGTTTCTTCAACATTGTCGAGCATCAATTCAATACGAATGTTTCTCCAAGATTATGAATACACCGTCATCTTCGGCGCGGGCGAAGTTGATGCCGATCTTGTCCATCATGTTGTAGTAGCGCAGAATCTTCCATTCTGGTCGTCATTAAGAGACGGGACCTAAGAATCTCGGCGTAGCCGGCAAATGGGGCCGAGTGATGTTCCCGGCGCCGCCGAGAGTAACCCCGAACAGACGGGACCGACTGAAGATGGACGAAAACCTGGAATGAGATCTAGTAGTACAATCAAACCACCGTTCCACCTTCCGCTGAAAAGGCATACCAAACCTCGAATAATCGAGACGAATTAGCCCAAGATAAGTTGGCCTAACATTATTCCTCAAACAACATGCTTCACGCAAGCTTTTGTTAACAAGATTGTGAGACGAAAAGACCCCAGCAAGCCGATTCTCCTTTCTGGTCTTTGTTATATCATTATCCATTCTGCCCCTTATCCCTTTTCCATTCATGCGTTACTCGTCTTTTTCATTTTTTGTTTCCAAATGAGTTGTGCACTAATCACTTTGTCACGAAGCGCAGCTCCCTTATATCGTCATTCACATCGAGGACCAGTAGTTACTGTGTCAGATCAAACGGGCATTGCCGTCGTATTCACATTCCAATGTATCTATCGAAACCCCATTGCTCGCTGCTGTACCAGCACCCCTGAGGGCAGGGTTCGTGTACATACTGGCATCCTCACTGATGCCTCGAATTCTCCGCATTGGGAGCATCTGCACTCTGCATCCTCTTCTCAACGTGATCCACAATGCTGCTGCGGCCCATTCCCGTTCGTCTCCGAATGCTGTTCCTCTCCACCTGCTCTAACCCCACAGGCGGCATCTAGAATGCGAGCTTGCAGCTCTCTTATCGTTCTAGGCCCTCAACACCTCGTGTTTTGTCCCATATCAGACCCCAAAATCATGTCGGTTGCTGCCAAGAAGTCTCCCTGCCGAGAAAGGCGGGGGTCAATGTGAAACGCCTCGTTGAAATCGCACTGCCTCTATCAAATCACCCAGTATGCTGCTCTTCTGCTCGGCTTGACCATGCTGTGTTGCCCGTTGACTCCCTGTCTCCAATGGCGAAATGTCAAAAACTGCACAATGTGCTTTTTCTCGTACTCTTGTGTCGACCGTCTAGATGGCCCAGCTTCCTCGTCTCTCTCGTACACCCCAAGCGAGGGAATCCAGGCTGTCCAGATCCGGGTGCTGTCGAGCCCACTCGTAGATGTAGGCCTTTAGTGCCTTCCACCTCGGGCACCTCTTCTCCTCCGCCATCTCGGCCTCAGCCGGTTCCATCAAATGACCGCTTGCCATCTGCTTTGCGTCGTCGGCTTCCAGCTCCTCGACACTCGTCTGAGAAATCTTGGCAAGCTCCTCGTCAAAGGACCGTGCCATGGCGGGGTATCCCAGTGACAAGTAATTGTAAACCTGTGTAATGAAGACGTCGTCAAATTCCGATGCAATTTTCTCCTCCAAAGCTTTCTCGCGCTTGAGGCGGTCCTCAAGGCCAGCGAGCATGTGAAGACCCTTGGCCTCGCCCGATCGAACACGATGCTCAGCTGTGTTTGGTGTCAGAGTCGCAGACGCATAGTCCGACCCAGGCTCATCCGTCAACGAGCTCTTGCTAAAGGCTGCAGCGAATGGGTCCGCAGCAGGGGTAGCGGCTGGAAGCGGTGTATGCAGCAAATTGGGTCCTTGATGATGCGGTGGTGCAATGGCCTGATCGCTTTCGCTGCCCCGGAAGCAGTAGCCCCTCCACAAGCCGGCTTCTCCCGTGGCATCCCTGTTTCTTTCCTCCATGGTCGGGCCTTCGGTGAAGGGGTGGTCAGGCTCAAGTTTGGTCTGTTTCGGCGAGGGGCACTTTCGGAAAACAATGTCCTTGCCTAGCATCGGCGGAGACGCCGCCTTGCGCATCTTGCGAAACTCGCTTGTCTCCGCAGGGAGTCCGAAGTTACCGAACGGGCGGCCAAATCCGCCTTGGGGCTTTCGGAAGCCAGTCTCGGGAACGATCTGCGCAGGTGCGGCGATGGGCACTTGGGCAGGCTTGCTGGCCGCAGCTGGCGGGATGTATGGCATGCCGGTTTCGCCAATTGGCTTACTCGCCGACTCTGGGGGAGGAAGCTCCGGACGGCGCGCATCTTGGGTAGTGACTGGGTCAGGCGCGATCAGCGGCATGAAAGTCTCGCCAATCGGTTCCAATGGTCCCTTGGAACTGGTGTCGGTTGTGTGTTTTCTCTTGTTGGTCAACCACATGGGATCCGGCGGTGTGTCAAGTTCCATCCTATCGAGTTCGGAATCATTCTTGGTGCTTTCGTCGTCGTCATCATCGAAAACAGGCGCGTGCTCGCCTCTGGCAACAGCCAAATCCTGGGCATGCTTTTGCATCTCCTTTTGCCAATATCCAACCTCTGAAGACTTGCGGCGAGGGGCATGGCCATGGCGGCCCCTTGGCTTGGCCTGAGTGCCGCTTTGCTGTGGTGAGATGCTCTCTGGCGTGCTGTCGTCCCCCGAACTCTCTCTGAAGTAGAAATGAGCGGCACCTCCCTCACGCGGGCGACTGTTGGGAAACGCGGCCAGAGCAGCCTCCTGCATCTGGCGCTCAGCCTCCATGGCAGCCCATTCCAACATGTAGGTGCCTGCATTCTCGTCTTCCGACTCTCTTCGTGCGCCCTTAGGTTGCCTCTGAATTTGTTGAGTCTGGGAAGCGGGTGAGGCAGCGCCATCGTTCAACTTGCGTCTCGACTTGTTCCGCTGGAGGTAGATGTGGTTCGTGTAGGGTGTGATGTCGGTTTTATCGGTCGGGCGAGTGGCAGGACCAGCGTCGCCCTCCCTACGGGCGCGCCTAGAGGTCTCGATAAGTTGGGGAGCGAAACGGCGTCTCGGTGCCGGCTGGATTTTGGTTTGCAGAGTGTGCAATTGGGGCGGCGGCTGCTGCATCCGCTGCTCGAAAGGATTGGGAGAGGGCGTTCGCGGGGTGTGTTCGGGAGTCAACTCAGGTGCTGGGCCTGTCTGATGCTGGTGTTGTTGCGACTGCGGCTGTTGCTCCGAAGTCTTGCGTACAGACTCGAAGGTGGTCTCGATAGGCACGGGGGCGAACCGCCTCCGCGGCTCGGTGGACTGAGCCATGGCGGAGGGCGGTGGATGGAGGGTTGGGGAAGGATTGGCGAAAGGATAAATTCGAGGCGTCGATCCGAACGAGAGGAGATGGGTAGGGCAGAGAAGACCAGGCCGGATGGAAAAAGTTGGCTGGGGGAGGTTATGTTGGAGAACCCTTTTTCAGTGAGACGAGGGGCAGTGAGATTGATGGGACGAAAGAGTGACGCAGAGGTGGCCCCGGTGTCGGTTGAGGGCTGTAGACGTGGTGGGAGAGGCTGGTCTGTGGTTGGGCGATGCCGCGATGAGATGTTGCTGTCGCTGCCCGTGCGGCGCGTAGATGTTGGGGAGGAGGAGGAGGAGGAGGAGGAGGAGGAGGAGGAGGAGGAGGGGAAGAGGAGAGGAAAAGAGAGGTGAGATGGGTAGATCGTGAGGTTTGTCAGGAGGCTAAGAGTTGGAGGTGACGAGGTGAGGTACCTTTCGCCTTGTTTGGTTGAGCCCTTGTGTGTCAATCGTGGGAAAAGACGGAGAGAATGCAAAGGGGCATGCGGCGGTGACCGGTCACAGGGCGTATTTGGCTGGAAGCAGCGACTTTGGATACGCAGTGGAGGGTAGCGAAAGTCGGGAGCGGCAGCGTTGGACGATACGGACAGGGAACGGGGAAGAGGGCAAGCCGCAAAAGCAGGATGAAAGTGACTATAATACAGTGAGAACAGAAGTGTCTGATACTTGTCGAATACCAAGTAGCCCAAGTAGTCATGCGAACATGAGTGAAAATGCAAGCTCGATGAGATACCTTTGGGCTGTCGGAGATTGAGTCTCGCAAGTATTGCCTCGTATCGAGTACCTTTGAATTGCGCAGCAGACGGATAAGATACCTCGTTCCAGGAATCCAAGCAGGTACTTTTTATGGCGATTAAAGCAGGGCCAGCATCGCCAGCAGACTGACGACCACGGCGCGGACAGGGCGGGTGCGAGGGTGTAGTGGGGTTGGGACAGGTTACAGAGTGGGATGACAGCTACGTACCCACACACTGTGCCAGGTACCTGATGGATGTACTTTGTACTCTATACGTCTCCATGGATATGCTCGCCGGGGCAGGAACGAGGGCAGTCACCGATGCCGTGGAATGAATGATGTCGGTGTCGTTCCTTCCCTCACCTTCCGCTCCTCCCTCTACCTCACTTTGCACCTGCCTCGTATAATGCTGGGACATGCCTTCCCCTCTTGAATTTACAAAATTGAAGGAAGGAAGAAGGCAAGAAACAGACAATAAGTAAAGTGTCTGACTAAGGTATCTCGTCTTACCTAATACTCTGTAAATAATTAAAACATCCAAAAGTCCAGACTCGACGTGGTCAGAAACACGCCCGATGTCGCACAATGCCCCCGCCCGCTCTCCCCGCTGTTGTATCCGTTGTAACTTGTGTGCACGCACAACCTTCAGTGTCTCTCTCCAACTTCCCAGCGTCGAGTCTGGAGAAGGTGAGCTTCCGGAGACAAACACAGTCGCAGCCGGAGACAGCCACACCTTGCAGGTACATGGCTGATCCCGCTGCTTATCCCTCCCATTGACCAATTCCGTCCTGGACACCCACGATATCTTACCATTATTCTCGCAATTGCCTACATCACTTTGTACCTTGACCGTATCGGCGGCTCAAGCGAACATACTCGAGTGCCCACAAGGGTCTTTTTTGTGGTCGCGTGTTTGACCACTTGCCACAGTACGCACCCATGTTTCCCTACTCCCCGAAATCTCCAGTCTTCAGTCGCGTCTCCAGTCTCCAGAGACCACCTCCAGAGCACCCATTTCTCTCGTTTCCCCCTCTCTGCCCGCATTTCCTCTCGTACCCTTAACATAATAAGGTGGGCACCAAGGCCACCTGATCTGACTTGGGAGGCGATCGGTCCAGGGCAGGGAACAGAGCCCCGAGCCACGCTCCAGCTGACTTTGCACACCAGATTTTACGTCTTCCCGCCTCTGCTCCACTGTCAATACGGGCATTCGTACGGATACATTTCAAAGTGCCGCAATCCAGAACGTAGTATGCCGTACGCCACAAGATATCCGTATCCGTTCCTACCAGTCTACCAAGGTTCCTGACATCATTGTCTCGACCATTTCGGACTCTCAGAGTCTGACTTTATCCATAGAAGTCCCGTTCAGTACGGCGACGTCGACCCGAGAATCACAGCCATATCAATGACCCGTTGTTATGCATGCCATCCTGGCCTAGAACCCGGGCCAGCCTCGCTCTCCCCTTTGGGCCCACGAGCACTCGAGCGTCGACTCTCGACTATCGAGCACCAGACACTGGACAGCAAACACACAGCGGCACCATGCAGAACCAGGTGAGCACTAACAGGTGCGGGCAGTGGGCACCGCTGAGCACAGCAGACGACTCTCCCGCACCAGACCATCACAGACCACACCAGAGCGATGAGGAATGCTTGGCTTGCGCAGTGAGAGCCCGCCAACGACAAAAGACGTTGGTCATTAGCGCCAGCACATCCAAACTCTCGCCGCCTTCTGTCTCACGGTCTCGACCTCGACCTCGACCTCGACCTCGACCTCGACCTCGACCACTATCAACGCCAATGCAACGACATGGAGAGAAGAGGAGCCCCTAGAGACAACAGCCTGTCAGGCTTGACGGAAATGGCGTCTGTCCGCCCCCGGATCTGTCCCCAATGCGGCCATGCCTATCAAACTAGGCCGCTTTACAGGCCGCTAAAGCTTCTGCCAACCGAACTTTCAAAAACTTAGACTTTTGCGCCTCTGTGACTATTTACCAGCCCTCGATAGCAGCCGATGGATTCGAGAGCTCTGTCACAAGGCCACTCACTACTGGCTCAGCGTCCAGCTGCCCCTTCTGTTTACCTTTGCATCGCATCGCGCTGGGTGAGGTGCTTCTTGGTTCTCTGAGCTCTCGGAAGATTCTCACCGATCAAGGACCCCTGCAAGGGCGCTAGCCTCCCAGCGTTCCATTCAACAATCATACCGTGTCTCCGTCTTCCGCCTCCCGCCTTGGAAAGACAACAGAAAGGCCAGGCTTATGTTGTCTCTTCACGACACCCTCAACGCCAGACTACGGGGCAGCCCCCCAGGAATGCTCTCTCTGCTTTCTGTAGGGCAAGGCATTTCTCTGTAGACCTGGGGTAATCTCGCAGCCCGGGGATACCGTATTGTTAAGATGAGGTAATGAGGCGCTGACGTGGCTAAGGTTCTATTTGCGAGTCAAGCCCCGAGATTAGTTACAAAGCCTGACCAAAACATTTTCCAATGCCCGCAGCCCAACTCACGATGCTTCCGGGCATGCCATTCCAATATAAATGGACCTCATCAGGGATGGCTCCTTTCGGGGAAGCCTCCCGTAGAGCGTCACTCGTAGTTGCGCTGCGGATACACTATCAAGCACTACCCGACACCTCAACTGACGCCATGTTTTCTTGGGAACTTGGAAACATCGGACGACTGCCGCTTCGGGATCAAGCAGTTGGACCTATTGAGCCACGCAAGTTCGCAATCGACCCGTCTATTGTCTAAAGATTCGCATTGTCCAGAGCTTGCCAACCGTGCCAGCTCATCGATCCAATGCTGAAAGCATCCCACATTCCACCCACGAAGGCGAACGAGCAGACAGCAAGACGTTGAGCGAGGAGCTGGGCAACGGCAACGTCAGTCAGCGTCTCATCACGTTCCTAACAGTCGCTTCCTGTCTGTTTCCGCACGGCCTACGGGGGTCGCTTCTTCTCACCTACCTATCTCGGCCGGCACTCGACGTGCGCCTCATCTGATGATCTGAATCACAACCAACAGTCCACCACTATCCGTACCAGTATCCGGGGCAAGCAAGCAAGCTCACCGACGATCGCCGGCCCCCATGAATGGCTGAACCCCCACACCGCTGTCCAGAATCCAGAGTCTCCCCACGGCAACCTACCTTATTTGCAACGCTCTTGTTTCGTTATCTCTGCTCCTCCATATGTGAAACTTTTTGGTGTTACCACCGTCACGCAAACGACAGTCTGGTCTTTCCAATGATGACAACAATTCCTGGTGTTCACCGATACCGGCATGAGGCTATCTTGCCGCTAAAGAACGCTACCTGGGCAATGGATGAACCCATCGACAGACAATACACTCTTAGCCGAGTTCGTCCACAGGAACCCCATTGCGATGCATGAAGCTATGGAAAAGGGAGCCGCAAAGATTCCACTCCGTTCCAACTTCACCTGAGCCAAGGCATGAACCCCGGCCGTCTTGATCGGTGAGAACTCACGACGACTTCATTTTTACCCGCACTCTCAGCTACAGCCCCGAGCACCTAGAGCGGTGCGATGGCACACGTGCCCGATTGCTGCTTTTTCCTGCCACGCGCGCTCGCCATGATACCACCCTCCAGCTGCAAGCCACATGCAGAGAAGTTAGTTCTCGTGATAATCAGGGACACGAATTCGACATTATTGGCCGGCTCGTCACTTCGCTGCGGCCGCTAAAAGGCTCTGATGCATCTGACACACACCGCTCAGAGACCTTTCTGTTGAGACTAGTCAGAATCGGTGTCCATCCGGAAGAATGGTGCAGCCAACCGGCTTGGTGCCCGCTCCTCGCTGAGTCGCGGGCCTGGCCATTCCTACTTTGGGACCCGGCCTTCCGTCCGGGGGTTCGATGTTTCTGCCCTCCTCGCAGCCCCGGAACCCAACATGTGACCCCGGGACGGCTCAATAGGATGCACTACCGGCTGCACCCGGGACCGGCCGGTCGGCTAGGATAGACTTTGTCTCCGCGTTTACGACCCCACTGGGTCCGCTCGCCGCCGGGTATAGGCCGTCCTGACTCGCTGAAGAAGCGGCACTTGGGTCTCGATCCGACACAGCTTTCAGGTGTTTCGGAGACTGCTTTTCCGGGGCTGACTGTCACTGCCGCTCCTATATTTACACTTAGTGGTATTATGTTCGAAGTTGAGCCTAAAAATTCCTGCGAGAAGGAGCTCAGTAGACGTTGTGGCGCCGAATCACATTTGAGTCTCTACTAGTACTCAGGTCAATACGTTCTGGCAACACCGTCTGAAAGCTCCATCAATAGCTATCATGTAACATCGATGGATGGGCATCGCACGAATTGCGCAGCCGCGACAATTCTTTAAACTCGTCCTGAGTTCCGTGGTCGTTTATTTCTCAGCAAATGGTCCCCGCGAGACATCCTGAAGGGCTCACACCCACGAATTCCACACAATATCTTGCAACATGACAAATTCAATCATGGAATATTCAGAAACTTCCACGAGAGTAGTGACTACGCCTCGTGTATCCGCTGATGATGCGCCTCTACTCTAGACAGGCCAACACGCAGCCGTTTCGAGGTATCAAAACAGATGACTGGAGATGAATGAAAGGCCTTACCAGATGATCGAGGCGAGGGCTTTGTATCGTATATGTCTTCTACCTGCACCAAAAGAGCTGCTTGTTCCAGTCGAAAAGATTATGCGCGTAAGTCGTTCCTTTGACTACTCACTAGCATTGAGTATCTGAATCCACACCTTTGAGCCGACTTACTGTGTACACGGCTAAAGAAGACGGCCAAACCACGATTTTGACATATATGGTGATTTCAACAATCGTCTAGTCTCAAAATAGACTCTCTGTGAGCATTGTAGACTCTGAACAACGCTGTGATCAGTTGTAAGCCCGCCGGAACCCGGATGATTGAACCGGCATGCTCCTCCCACGGGAGAAGTAACAACCTAACGTCAACATCATGGTGCTAGTTCAATGGAAAGTGTAGCCTTAGGCATTTTCAACCATTGGTAAGCCGTAAAACCTCGCACGAGGTAGGTTGCTGACTTATTCGCAGTCTTCCCCAGATGGAGGTGACAAGTAAGTCCGCAGACTGTAGTCAACTCAGCATCAGTGGGACTGTTGCGAGCACGACATTCAGAGCCTTCGAACCTGTGTCACAAGAAACAACGTCACGGTGTGCGGTGAGCTGGTATTAGACGTCGTGACACTATATAGTGAGGTATCCCTTGGGTTACCAGCCTGGTGTTACCGTTATTCAGGATCAGCTCCGGAGACTTGCACATCCGAACGGAGACTGCAATATGTGAGATGCTAGTGTTATGATAGCTGGTGATGAAAAGAGTGCTTGCTAAAAGGCCTTCTTCGAGAGTACACATACGTGTACTCAATGCCGCTTTCTTGATCTCAACCTATTCCCTTCTCAGGCACCTCCTTCCAGGTCTCATCTCAGGAACTCCACGAGAGAGAAGCAGCCCAGTCCAATGAATGGCTTACCAGCCTTACCTACAAGCTCAAATCACTAGTTTCCATTGCGTATCAAGTCTAAGTCACTTTGGAGACCCTCTTGACCAGAAAAGCAAGCACACTATATGCTACCGCGACTTCAACATACCCGAAACAGGCAAGATAGTGGGCAAAAGCAAAAGAAACTTGGTACAGCGACGGATTCCCACAATACCGCGATCCTTGGAATAAAGAGGCGGGAGAATCACGACGAGAATGCCACCACAGCCGGGGGAGCAACACGGGACGCCGCGGTACAGCGACACGCAGTGCTCATCCAGCAACAGTCAGGTTCGACAAGATGCCCAACCGACAACTCAAACCAGGGCAGACAAGGTAAGGAAATCGTTTGATAAGGATGACGACGGACCGGGAAATGAGCCGCTGCAAGATAGCTGCAAGTGAGTTGCATGGGCTTGCTTGCGTACATACATACATATCCGGCCGGTACAGACTGCAGGCTTTTCTCACTTTACGCGGTACAGATACGGGCAGCGCAGATGAGACAAGCATCATGCAAAGACGTTGGCCCAAATTACCGTTCCTGCAGCCACCGGCGTATTCAAGTATTGTGCCGGGTCGAAACTTGGAAATCTTGGCCCGACGGGTGCATGGAGAGATAAGCACGAGACATCGCTCTTCTTCCTTTTCTGAATAGGCGCGATACTTATGATACGGCGCATGTGGTCTCTGGAAGATATTGACGGGACAGAAAGAAACGAAACGAAACGAATTAAGAATCATGCACCCCCCGGCGCGGATTCAATGCAGAGTGAAAGTTGATATCTGGATATGGCCGCGTCTTCATTCCGTGGCCGTGCGTTTGACGTGATGATTGAGTGTTTACGGTTCTGTGCCGTAGGAGTAGGTACTGTCTGCCGAGATTGTCAAATGTGATGAGATGGGCGGGACCTGCATGGCCTCATTTTACGGGGAGTACATGATGAGGCGCGTCCTATCAGTTCATCTTTCAAACAAGCAGAGGACGTTATCAGGTTGCGAAATTAGACACACTTTTAGGCCCGGGTGTGTTTTAAGCCATTCGGAATCGCGACAGAGAAACGAAATGAGGAACCCATGATATCGGAATCTGGAAAGGCTCTCAAAGCCCCCCCTCCCTTACTGGCGTTATCACGAGCTCATGATTGTCCGATGAACGGGAGGTGGGACAAGCGAAATCTGGAAAGTCTCTGGGTGCGCGAAATCGCGAACGCGCCCCCGGGTCCTCGGTGTCGGTCTCGACGGCCGCCGCCACGATCCCCCCGTCGCTTATCTCTGCGGCGGCCCTTCCCTGGCCCTGCGGGCGACAGATATCATCGCACTATTGAATCCTTTGCGCGCACGGACTTGGATCTTTCACATGGTCGCCATCGTTGAGCATCGCAATTATTCTATTAGTGTTGTGATGGCAGTTATTGGGAAAAAAAACCCTGCACGCTTGCCTTGGTTGTTGTGTTGGGGACAAATCGTTCTCATCTCAAATTTACGGACGCTGCATGCAGCGGAATGGGGTCGTTCAACCAAAAAAGGACTGCACCGTTGGAAAGAAACATGGTTCAGCCTTTGTGTAAGGAATCCGGGGCAATGGATTTGGTTCCGGGTTCAAGGTCTCCAAGACGTCGGGTCGGTTGGACTTTCATCTTTCGCGAGTCAGGTTCGACGTTAGGTTTTCGTGGGTTCCCTCTTCCGGTCCTGATCTGGATGAAATAGAGTTTTGTAGGTTACTTCAGAGGTGTAGGTAATCAAATTGGATATTATTTGAACGACGAGCCTTGTTATGCTGCTGGCGAATTTTCCACTGAAAGCAGCATCCGTATGTCATTTTTTCTGCGAGTAAGTGAGTGAAGTTGGATCGTTGCAATAGTGATCCGGATCCGCTTACGGACATCGCTGGTCTTGAGAGAAGGAGGTAGAGAGTCTAGGGATGTCAGGAGCTTGGGAGGGCCGTATTGGAATTCCCCTCCGGTGAAGAGAGGGCCGTCGTGGCGGAGGGCACGGACTGGCGGGGGCGGTTGGTCGGGCCCCGGTGTTGATTTGGCACGGAGCGAGGGCTGGGGTTTGCGGTGTGTGAGGTTGGTCTTGTTGTTGTATGAGTTGGTAGATTTTCTTTCCAAAACTTGCGGGTTTCATTTAGAGTGCTGAAAATGAGCAGTCTGTCGACAGTCTGTCGACTGGAATTAATGGAATGCGATAATGCGGAAGTCTACTCTACGCGTCATGGAGATGTACCGCGACGTGACTTTGCCTGGTGACAAGATGAAGTGCCGAATCTAGCACTCTGATGAGGGACGCATTCGGTCACGTCAAGAACCCCGCCGGGGTTGAAATCTGCGGAGCCAGAAAGGCATACTTTAGGAAGTAGTTCAAAACATCAAACGGCATTCTGACTAGCTCGTGGGGCCACTGTTACTTTGCGGTTCGTCGGTTCTCTGTTTGCCAATGCTGAGAGCGTGCCGTTGCCGAAAGCATACGGCCCGGCGGGTGTTGGTGTCCCTTGGCTGACGAGATCGATGTGGTTCTCGAACTGCGGCGCGGGTGGCTACAACTTGGCCATGCCGCCATCCTTTATGATGGGCTTGGGAGCGGCTGGAGCCGAGCATTGAGGGAGTCTTGGGGCTTGTCTCTCTGTACATCCTATTGGATTGACTATGTTAGTCAACTGCTTGACGTGTCTCTAGACAGGCTTGAAGGCGTTGTCCACTCCCTCCATTCCTTCTCGGGTCCTTGTGTCTCTTGGATTCTTGTGGAGAGGTTCCTTTGTGGAGGAGAGACACAGAAAGATGAGAGAAGAACGGAGAGAGAGAGAGAGAGAGAGAGGCGCAAAGCCACGCGGCGTGCGTCTGGGGTGGTTGTGGTTTGTCGGCGCCACGACGCCACGACGCCATCCCCGCTGCGAAACTACGGGCTGCGAACTGCTGGTGCCAGCGTGATCGTGGCTGCGTGGCTGCGTGGCTGCATTGGGTGGGCCGAAAGGTGTGCTGGCTGGCTGGTTGGAGTATCTCGACTTGAATCTAAGGGGGTGGTATTGGGGGTTATGGTTGGATCACGAGGAGGGCGGTAGTCTGTACGAGACCAAGTTTTTTCCCATTATGATTACGTCTAGGCCCGGCTTACATGGGTGAGCGCGAAAGAAAAAAGCATCCGAGTGTCAGCGTCGAAACTTAGCTGCGATTTGATATCCTACCCTACTTAGGTTTGGGGGGGGGGGGGGGGGGGTTGAATGAGAACCAAATACGAGAAGAAAGACATCGAGATCTCAGTTCACGATGTTGCGGTGAGCTGTCCACGGTGAGCACGGCCGAGATATCGCTACGATTTGGTGCGGACGGGAGGTCGGCATGGGCGCTACTGTAAATGGTTTCTCGGGTCTAACTGTCACTATTGTCAACTCGAGCAGAATGGCAAACGAAGAAACCCTACCAAGTACCCTGTAATCTGGAGACTCCAATGCAGAATGACGATTGTCCAGCGTAGACGGGCATGGGATGGGACTAGAAAACGCTCAGACGGACGGAACGGGGGGCGGGTATGCGGTTCGGACGTGCCTTTTGCCCACTTGAGCGTCTGTTTGCCTTAGTTCTAGCACGTTTAGTTCGTTCCCCCCTTGCCATGCTTTTTCGGCATTCGGCACCGGAGGATATTTTCCCTCATATCGGGTTTGTCTGCACCTGCTGGGAACTTGGGTGCTTGGGAAGCCGGGAAAGGTGGGAAATGGACGATTCTCGCAGGCATAGAATTGGATCCTTGCTTACACACTCCTTTGGTGTGTCACTGTCGTGTGAGGTTTCGGGAGGTTGACATGTGGGTTTGGGGGCCCTCTCGGGTTCTGCGGAGGAAGAAATGCGGATGCTCTTGATGGATCATGGAGATGTGTTGAAGAGCGAGTGACAGATGTGAGTAAGTGAGACCCGATTAAACGCGTACATGTCCGCTATTCCCTGGGAGAACTTTCGGCTACCGGGACTTGGAAGCTTGGGGACTCGAGACTGTTTGGAGCGCTTCCGAATCCCATCTTTTGCTCTTCATGCTCGTTGCCGTGATGTAGGCCAAGGTTTCCGGGGCCCTGGGAATCATGATGCTTCGGAGGAACTAGCCGGCTCGGCTTCTCCTGCGAGTCTGCGACCTTTTGCGTTGCCTAGATAGTACCGCACGCACGCCAAACTGAACAGCCGAGACATTCAAATGCCCAGAGACGAAAAGGAAGACTGACCGCCTGGCATCTCTGGTGGCCAACGGGTCCGCATGCGTTGTTCAGACATGCTTCTCGCCCGCAGACCGCTCCCCCCCGCCGTAGATTCGACCTCGTTGGCAAGATACTCCGTAAAGAGCAAAGGCAACAACAGAGTTTCCGGACAGCGACATGTGGCGCCGGCCGGTCTTCTTGGGAATGAGATGGCAGGCCGGGGACTAAGGAAGTAGACGCAAGCGCGAGGGGGCTTTTGGCTATCACTACGGCCATGCCATTTGGTTCCATGGACCATGGGGGCTCTTTTGGCGATAAGGAAGATGAGATCAAGGTCGATGATTTGCTCGAGGGCTTTGAATCGCTTCAACTTTTGGGCGGGTTCATTTCCCAGAACTAACGCCGGTCTCGGGTTGTTTCTTTCTCTTGCGTCTCATCTCATGCATACTACGGTACGGATACCTGTGATCAATCACTCGATCATACACTACCCCCGGCGACAGCTAGCTCACCTCTCACATCCGCGACAATCAGCCACGATATCGAGGGTACGGATACCGCAAAGCCACTTTTCATCTCTCTTCTCTTTCAACGTCGATTGGTGTCGTTATCGTCTCATTTGACCTTCTTCGTCGGCCAATAGAGTAGAAGACTGTTCTGTTTGGATAGTCTGAAATTGGCTTCAAACCTTTTTCACTTGACTCTTGTCATCTCATCTCACGAAGTTTGTTTTCACAAAATTCCTCATAGTGATACGTATCCGCCTCATTTTCCGCGCGTCTAGCAACCCATTCAGTCCAGTGAATCCCAATGATCAGGTAATTACAGCCCTTTTTCTCCCCAGGCAACGCGATGGGGGGCTATGGGGGCAGATTTGAGCCGTCCATCAACCCCTGAACCTTTCATCTTCAATAGCGCGAGCGGGACCGCAAAAAACGGAAAAAGAAAAGAGGGATTCAGGAACCGTGAACGGCATCATCGTCATCCTTACGGGGCTATTTAGTGGTGGTGGGGGTGTACCTCCGTATCCAAGGATTTTTTTCGTACTCTGCCGTTCTGCCCAGTGCAATATCCCTGTTTGTGCTGCGTGTCGTGTGCCTCGTTGCTGCGTGCCCCTGACGGGGAAGAACCCTCTTGTCGTTTCTTCTTCTGCGAGTCGGGCGTTTTTCTATCTGATGATTTTCTTCGTCACCCGGGAGAGACGAGGGGCAGTACCCAATTTTAAGGATTGCTCCCAAGCAACGCCGAGAGACACGGAGGATGGGGTGTCTGAAGCGGCGGCGACGACGGAAGGGAGTCACTACAGCAGCGATATCCAGCAACAAAAAAAAACCGCGCATATACAAAGTTTTGGTGAAGCAGAAGGATCGCAGAGTTTAGAGACACGGAGACTTTGATGACGAGAATGCATCAGCTTCAATATGCTCTCTCCTCTTCGGCTTTTACCTCCAGACCGCGAAGCTTTTTCTTATTGCCCACGAGGGGGGAACCTCCTCAGGGAGTGGCCTTGTCGGAGCTCACCTGTCAACGTCTCTTAGCCCGAGCTTCTCGTTTTGTTTAAACTTTTAAGGGGGAAGGGGACCTGGGGGAGAATTCGGGAGAGGTCTAGGTAGCAGGCGAGATGCCGTCGTCCAGTGTTGTTGTTTCTTGCCATTGCTTTGTTCCTCCCCGCAGACTTTCATCTTTGTTCCCTCTGTTTCGTGGACTGATACCGTCCGACGATCTCGAAGATTGGCTTCCTCTGGGGAACAAGCGCAGAGTCCAGTGCCTACTACTGCAGTTGACGGCGGCGGGCGGCGGGCACATCCTCCCATCCAATCCCGCGACCTCCACATCCATCCAAGACAGGCCGCTTACATACTAGCTCGTCGCTATATGACCAGAGAAAATCAAGGCCCCACGGACAGCAAGGGGACAAAAAAGCATGGAAAAGAAATAACGTGTGGGAAGATTAGACCGGGAAATACAGCAGTCGTTCAATGTACCTACTGTAACTTGAGGTTCCAACTTTGCCCATTACAAGAGTTTCTCGTATTTCCAAATGGGGACACACACACACACACACACACACACACACACACACACACACACACACCCTTCCCTTCACCGGCAGCCAGTAGTACACAAGAGTGTTCACGAACAAGTTTTCTGAATCCGGATTGGACGTGGTCTGGAACTGGGACTTTGTTCAAACCGGACCAAGCTGAAGACAGACGATGAATACCTGGAGGGAAAAGAGCGGTGGTGGGTTCTGGATCCCAAATGCTGGAGGCGGAGCTGCTTTGTTGTTCGACCAAATAGCCCCGTTGACCAGCTGTCCCATCATCAGTGCGTACTCCAACCTCGAAGGGCTTGCTGCCAAGTGTGTCTAACCATCCCCCCGGTCAATTTGTTTGCTTGATCCCAGACGTGCGCGCGTGCGTTTGATGAGATAGCCTTCCGTGTCTCTCGACCATCCTTTTGCAACCCCGGAAACTATCTCACTTTACGGAGTACCTTACACGTGTACATCATATCACACGGCGTGGTCTAGGATTATCTCTAAAATACAAAGAGAGCCAAAATCAGAGGCAGTTCGACCTTATCTTTCGGGGCATGCATGGGGTTGAAGTTTGAACGGAGGGGCGTGTGCGTCTATCTTGTCCATCTTTCCTACTCGGGATCTCGAGTGAAGAAGAGTAGGTATGAGAGGCAGATGAATGAGTGAGAGGCAGATGAATGAGTGAGAGACAGATAGATAGAGAGAGAAATAGAGACGGAACGGAAGAGCAAGAGGAACCATGATCTGCTAGACCTGGCTGACACCTCTCCGTCTCCTGCTTGCTGCCATGTTCCTTGTTCCTTGAATTGGGGGGGGAGAGGGTTCCAGACCTTGGGAACATCCTGCCTGCTGCCCAGAATGCCCACCCTTGAACCTGCCCGGCGAGCGCGCGCGCGCTATCTTTTGTCTTGCTGTATCCGTCCCCCGTTCTGAGTTCTCCATCCCCATCCCCATCCCCAATCCCCAATTCACCGCAGTGGGTGTGAGTGAGTGAGTGAGTGAGTGAGTGAGAGAGGGCATGTCCAGTGATGAGTGAGAAGTGTGGTGTCCATCTTCTTTGTGGGAATACACAGCTGTATCCGTACGAATACTCCCATAGCAAAGGCCCCAATATCTACACACCCTCTCCCACCCTCCCCGAATCCGTCCCATCCCATCCGTCCCCCATCGTCGTCACTCGTCCTCGGACATTGATTGCATTACAGCTCACACTGCAACTTACTCATCTTCCTCTCTCTTTCTCTGCCTCTCTCATCCTCACTCTCTTACATACCCTCACACACACTCTCTCCATCTCTAATCCTCTTGCAAAGGAGGCGCAGGTCGTAGCAGGACAATATCTTGGCTTTCTAGTATCACCGTCTGTGCCTCGATTCTTGCCAGCCTTCTTCACAATCCTTTTGGTTTCTGTTCATTCGTCTCTTATTCGGCTTATACCCCCTCGGCGCAGCCACCGGTACCTCTCACTCAACCCACCCATCGACGCAGCATCACTCTGCGACGAAAGAAACACTTGGGTTGGAAACTTGTGGCCCTTGCACCGGCGCATTCCCGACGAACCGACTTGTTTGGAACCGGATGCTACGACGAAGCAACCCTCGACACTCGCAGCAGATCCTCCATGTTTCGCGCGCTACGTCACTGTCACCAGGTTCGCACACTGAAGCAAGAAGGAGAAAGGCAACAACAGCAACAGCAGTAATTCCACCGCTGCACAACGAAACACAAGAGTTAAATTGTTGCGTCACCAGATACCACCAATAGCAGGGCCATATCACAGACCAGCAACACATCAGAGAGCAAACACCAAGGAGTAACGAGACCCCCAAGCACCCACGACTTCGTCCCATCGTCGGCGCATCCAAGTGATTTTTTTTTTTCTAAATCACCGTTGCGCAACAGCAAAGGCAACAACAACCACTTCACACTCCAGACGACAACGTTGGACAAAGGTGCACCGCCCACGCAGGGACCGCGACTCGGAAACGCCGTCCCATTATCACCGCCCACCAAACGAACTGCACCCCAGACTCGACCGAACCGAACAAGTCGCAAGCAAAGAAACATCGTCAACGTTTTACCGTGCTGATTTTTTTTTTGCTGCGCCCAAAACTCGTTTTGAGTTCCCTCACCACACAGCAATGGCGCATGCAGCCTACGCCTCGGTGCGCAGGTCCTCGACGTCGACCATGGGCTCAGACTACAGCGACGCAGATGCAGCAGCAGGCGGCATGGGAATGGAAACGAGAACGAAAACAAGAGCAGACCACGATTACACAAAAGACCTCGCATCCACGTCGTCGCAGCCGTTCGTATCCGCCACAGCAACGCCCAGCCCCGCGAACTTTTTGTCTCTTGCCGACAAGAGCTTCACGCCTCTGTCTATGGACAGCGAGCTATTCCCCGATCGCGAATTCGACTTGAGCTTTGACGGTAGCAGTAGTAGCGCGGTAGGAGAGCGCATGACGACGAGTAGCCCGAAATTCCGCGACCAACAGAGATCAACGTCACCACCTTTAGCAACAATGGCAGCGCATACCCAGCAGACTAGGTCGAGGTCGAGGTCGAGGTCGAGAGAAGCATATTCAGGATTAAGCTTACACGGAGAAACATCATCGCATGCGGCGACGGGGACGACTTTGGCAACGGCAGGAATGGTGGCAGCGGCAGACGCAGACGAAGAGAGAAATGTCTCGGGTACATGCGACACGACGGAAATAGAGTCTCGGCCACGGCGGTCAGGGTCGCACTCGAGAAAAAGCCAAAAGGAGGACGGTGACGGTCACAGCACGGCGGTCGAGGTGAGGAATGCTGTGGATCAAGACGAAGAGTGCGAAAAGTACGAAGATGACGAGGTGCCGCCATTCGCAATTTCGTCTAGGAGCCCGCGCCAACGCCGTGCCGGGTCGACGCCGCTGTCGCTAGATCCGATGCAGGTGAACAGGGGAAGAGGACGGGGCAGGGCGTACGAGGACGAAGAGATGGAAATGGAGCTGGAGGACAGGTGCAGTACCGCTGCCGCTGCCGCTGCCGCTGCCGCTGCGTCTCCCGACATCACTACGGGTACCACTACAGCGACCAGCACTACAGGGACCACCATCGACGACCCAAAGAAGAAATGCGATAAGAATACGGGCACCGATAAGAATATCTTACCTAAGGTAGGCAACGATAAGAATACGGGATCCGATAAGGACACGGGTGCCGGTAGCGTCAGGGATGGCGCCAGCACGTCCCTCCAGCTACAGGGCCCCCAGCCAGTGCCAGAGTCAGCGCCAACAGCCGCCATCCAGGAGAAGCAGCCGATGCCCACGGGCAGAGTCATGGCTTCTGCCCCCTTGGCCCTTCGTACGAAAAATATCAATACTTTCCCGGCCAGTGCCACCACCGCAGACAACCTGAACACGAGCGGCCACCACAATACGAGATCCTTTGCTGCTGCAACTGGCACCATCACGAGCCCGGCAACCTCGACTTCGACCACCACCTCCAACTCCTTCGCCGCCTGTTCTCCCTCCTCGACTATCCTCTCAGCCCCTGCTGCTCTCGCCCGTCACATCTCTACCTCGTCCCTTCGATCCAACAGCAGCCTCATCTCCCAGATCCAGGATAGTTTGCAGCAACAGCAACATCACCACGCCTCCTCGGCATCTACACTCGTTCGACCCGTCGCCCAACCAATCGTCCGAACCACGTCCGACTCGGGCACCTTGAACCTTAAACACCCTATCCCCGACCTCAACTGCCGCTCCGGCGCCTACACCACAAACGTCGCTGCTCTGGAGAAGTCGGCCGAGCGCCTGTCCATGACCAGCTCCATCGAGGACGCCATCCGCGACTTGCATGGAGAGTTGAAGCGTTCCGACTCCCGCCGTTCTTCAATCCTTGCTGCCAACCTCGCCGCCTCCAACTCCCCCGTCGACGAATCCTCGGCCCATCCCGGCCCCCTTCGCGTCATCCCTCCCGTCGCCTCCATCGTCGAGCTTAACAACAACGCCCGCCTCGGCGGCTACTCTCCCAGCGGCTACGTCATGTCTCCCAATCACTCTTTGACCGGCCGCCTGCGCTCCAGCTCCAACAACTCTCGAGGCCGTCCCGAAATCGATGTCGATGCCATCATGTCGCGCCACGGTTCCGGCAAGGGGTCTACCAGGAGCGCCCGCTCTGGAAAGCCTTCCCTTGCTGAGATTGCCGAGTCGGAGCCCGTTGCCCTGACTGGACGTGTCCTCGATGAAGCCGATCACGCCCCTATCCCTGTGACGGCCGACGACGACGCGACTATCCGTCGTCCCAACACCAACGAAGAGAACCGCGGGAGTGTCTTCAACTTGCTTGGCGAGATGGACCAGCATTCTGGAGGCCTTGGCTTGGACTTTGGCGGAGACAGCGGCAGGCGGGACTCTGACGACAGGCCGCCCACGCCAAGGTCGACCTCGACATTTGACCACACCAATGCCTTTGGGGACTTTGACGGCGTGCACTGCCAGCCCGAAGATCTCGAGCGGAGCGAGTTCGACTCGCGTGAGCAGAGCGAATACGGTGACGCACCCATGCCTATCCCGCACACCATGCCGATGCCAGATATTCCAGAGCCTCAATACGAAGCACCGCCGCCTCGTATGCCACGAAACAACAGGAACACCATCCGGCCACAGTCCTACTTTGACGAGCTCACAGGTCAAGAGATGCTCTACTACCCTGCTCGCGTGCCCGCTATGCTCAACCTGCCTCCCAAGTTGTCCAGGAAGCCCAAGACTGAGGTCCGGAATGCGAGGCACTCCAAGGTGCTTCAAGCCATGGGCCACCCCGGTTTCGGCCAGGCTAAGTACCTGCCCCAGGATCCCGAAGCGTCTCAGGTCCGCGAATCCAAGATGTGGCTGCCCGATCCGCTTGCCGGTCACGGCATGACCTCCCTTGGAGACGACATGGAGGGACAGCGCTCGGGTGACGCCTCACTCAAAGAACCTGCCGTGATCGATTCCCATGTGCCATCTGAACAGGGCGACGCCTTATTGTCGGGTGATGGTACTGCTGCTGTTGGCGGCGGTGATGAACCCGAACACATGCCAGAGGATCCCCCGCCAACGCAACGCCGCAAGTCCAAAATGCCAAGGGCTTCCAACCTACCACCACAACTACGCGCGAGCGCCTTTTTCGACTTGCCGTCCACAACACCGCAGATCGAGGTCAAGGGAGGCTCTGCGATGGCGACGCTCGACAGCATTCTTGATGCGTCTGCCAATGCCCCAGTCAGTGCCTTTACCGACCACGCTTTCGCAGGAAAGTTGGGCGATGAAACGTACGGCCCCGATAAGAAGAAGAAGAACCGCAAGTCCACCGCTACAGTCTTGCTCCCCGAAGAGCATGTTCGGGCCGCGTCGCAGAAGAAGAAGGGCGGTCTCATGCCATTCAGCAAGAAATCCGACAATGGATCTAGGAAGAATTCCATGGCCGGCAGCAGGGAGGAGAACCAGGCTCTCTCTGATCACGTCGACGGGGAGGATAGAGAAAAGGCCGAAGGCGAGGGCTCTGATGAAGAAGAGGAAGAAGAGGAGGTCGACGAGTTCGCAGGAGTCCTCGATGGGCCTCCCACGACCCTGCTCGCCGAGCTGCAGTTACGCAAGTACCACGCCAAGATGCGCACCCAGAACCCGAACCGTAATGTCGGGCAGAACGGAATGCATGCCACCCTTATTGAGCTCGACGCGGTTGCTGAGACACAGAAGAGGCATCGTGAGAAAAAGAAGATTGCGCTTGCCTGGGAAGTCGACGGCGCCAAGGAGGAGGACCACAGCTCTGACGAAGACGAAGTTCCTCTTGGCGTCTTGTATGCTGGTAACCCGCATGTGGCTGAGAAGAATCGACCCATGGGTTTGATGGAGCGTCGTGATCTGGAAGAGAACGAGCCTCTCAGCTCCCGTCGTGCCCGTCTCCATGGCCTAGAACCCCCGAGGACACTGGCCAAGCAGAGGAGCAACTTTACCCTCAATGCTGGGCTGAGCCAGATGCGTCTCAACCAGATGCCCTCCGCCGAGCACTTGAGACCCGAGGAGGAGTCAGAGGACGAAGCCACTGCCGGAGAGACCCTCGGTGAGCGCATGCGACGCCTCAGGGCCAAGGATGAAGCCGAACACAACAACCTCCCCAACGCCCGCCCTGTCAGCAGAGCATTTTCCGCAGAGATCCTGGCCCAGTTTGGCGATAACGATGAGAAGAAGCCCGGAGACAAGGGCAAGGAAAAGGAGGCCCAACCGGAGGAGGGAGAGGAGACGCTTGGCCAGCGGAGGAAGAGACTACAAGCCGAACGCGAGGCACGAGAGCAGGAGATGATGCTCAGCGGCGGGCCGATGCCAGTCGAGGCCGAAGCGCCTCCGTTGCGCAAGAAGCACAGTCTGGCCGATGTCCTCAACTCCCACCCCATTGCCTACAACCCTGCCCTGGACGAGCAGCGCCGCCTCGAGCAGGAGAAGCGCAAGGTTCGGGACCAAGAGGCCAAGATGGCTGCAGTCCGCGCCCAGATGCCGCAGACCCTTACCGGACCAAACACGCAGCGGAGTGGCGGGTACAAGAATGGCGCTTTCAACGACGCCACCGGAGGCACTGGAGGCGCCCCAGGAGCCCGAGGTCTCCTCGCACAGCCTGGACTGCCGCCTGTCAACGCCGGATTGGGTGTCAACATGGGACCTGGCGGATGGAACCGCTCCAGCATGGCCTTGAGCAACTACGGAGGGCCTCTTCAGCAGCCTATGCAGCAGCAGCATCAAGTATACGGAAACCCTGGTATGGCGCAGATGAGCCAGCCGAACCTAGGCGGGTATGGAGGTTACACTGCCGGCGGCATGGGCGGTATGAACAATATGGGGGGCATGAATGGCATGAACCCCTACGGCGGAGGCATGGGTGTACCGATGCAGATGCAGCCCATGGGTATGCAGCAAGGCATGGCTCCAATGCCCATGCAGCAGATGCAGATGCCGATGCAGCCCGGCCATAATGGGCAGATGCAGTCCATTGAGCGCTGGCGGCAGAGCGTCATGTACTAGACGATGACCGGCTCGAATCCCAGGCGAGAAAGGGCTATGCGATGTTTTTATCGACCCCCACCGACCACTACCTACACATTAAGCTCTGGGCGGACATAGTCTGCAGGAGCTGTATATAACATACACACTACCATGGCATTGCGAGGGGAGTTGGATTGATTTCTTTTGTGTAACAACTTGGGTGGTTTGCGAAGCACAGCGCTGCGAAGCATTAGGACACAATAGGGGTTGGGAACATGGTTTCTCGGGTTACCTACATAGGTACTAGGGGATTATTACATTACATTGAACGTTACATATCAATTCTAATAATCACACTTGTGAATCTCGTCTATTCTTTGTATGGTTCATTCGTCACTAAGATGTGAGTAGAGAGCTTGAGGAGAAAGCCTGTGGGATGTGCGGAGGTGAAGGGATGTTAACTACTCGATCTCATCCGCAGTTCGGGTATGTGAACGCACTGTGAACTAGCAGCTGTCTGCCTTCCTTGTTAAAACCAAAGACAGACACCTATGAGTGCAGTTAGATGATTTGACTGTCTGGCTCGGGCATAGGATGGTGTGCCACTGCCAGCCAGGCTTACCGCTACTATCATCACTATTGCCACTTTCACTAAGAATAATGATCATATCGCGAGTAACCTTCATCACCACGTGGGTTCATCATGCTTGCTATATTACTGTGAACGCCAAATTGAAGGCTAAAACATGTTCATTCTTCCTTTGCCCCAATCCACAGAGCCCATCTCACGTCAACAAGACCTTCCTGCCAACCTCAAGGACATCTACAAACTCACACAAAAAACTCCTCAATCGCCTTGACAACCTCCTCAGGCGCCTGCTCCGGAATATAATGCCCACTATCAACACTCTGTCCCTCGACCTCAACCCCCTCCCCAGCCACCTTCCTCCACTCCCCCACCGCATCAAAACACTTTTCAATAACCCCGTGCTTCCCCCAAAGCACAACAAGCGGCGTCCTCAACACCCTCCCTTCTTTCAAATCCTCCTCCGCCTCCTCCAGATCCAGCGTCGCGCTCGCGCGGTAGTCGTTACACATGGCACTCACGGCCTCCGGCTGCCCCATGACCTGCGCATAGAACTCGAAATCCGCCTCTCTGAAAATCTCTAGGCCCTTGCTGAGTTGCCGTCCGCCCATGAAGAGTTCCAGGAACCGGCGGGGCGCGGCGTTGATGAGTGTTTCCGGGAGCGGGGCGGGCTGAATCAGGAAGAACCAGTGGAAGTAGGCTTTTGCAAAGTCGAGGTTCGTGGTCTTGTACATTACGAGCGTGGGGCATATGTCTAGGAAGAGTGCCTTTTTGATGCGGGTCGGGTTGTCTACGCATAACTTGTGCGCGACCCTTGCGCCGCGGTCGTGGGCGCAGACGAAGAATGGAGTGTTGTTGCTGTAGCCGAGGGAGTCCATGACGGCGATGCAGTCTCGAGCCATGGCAGATTTGGCGTAAGAGGCTACGCCATCTGGTTTCGAGCTGTTGCCGTAGCCGCGGATGTCGATTGCTATGACGGTGTACCTGTCCTTTACGGCGGTTGCGACGCTGTGCCAGATGTGGTGGCTTTGTGGGAAGCCGTGGAGGAGGAGTAACGGTGGGAGGGAGGAAGAGGCGTCGCCGCTTTTGATGCCGTGGATTACGACGTCGGGGGAGGTTTGGGTTGTTACTGTGAAGGGGGAGAAGCCTTCAAAGGTCGTCATGATTTCTTCTTCTATGGTGTTGAGTGCCCTATGGTTTAACACAGTCGGGGTAGGATAGAGTAGGTTTGGTATTACTCACGTCTTTGGCTTTTCTGTAGATGAATGTGAGGCGGTTTCCTGCGATTTATAATATCAAGATGGTTGTTGACGCCCTTTGCGATTACATGCGGCTAATATTTGACGCGGAGTAAAGGCAATGTGACGCAACGACTGCCCGCCCGCCGCCCCCGGCGCAAAGGACGTACGTCCATACATGTACGTTTACTCATCTTGCACGGCCAAATGTCGGGTTTCCCCGCGCGCGCGCGCTAATATCTCTCTGTCTGACAAGCCGATTGAAGGCGTTTTATGCCTTGACAGCGCGACCGAGACGAAGGATTATTTCGTCGGGTTATTGTGTACTTTCCCCGTTGAGACGTTCAGACATCGGCTAAACTAAATGACCGCGGGTTCCTGTAAGCCGAATGGGTGTTCTGGGAGAGCAAGAGTATCAGCCTCACGCAATTACCATGTATTCTTCAACTACAGTACAGAAATGTTCAGGTCACAGTGAGTCTACTGGATTAATTAAGTGGAAGAGAGTCTTGAACGTTTCGTTACTTTGCTTCCCATGAGACCCATCAACACACTAACACAAGACCCATTTGTGTCCGACCCTGGTCCTCGTCGTGATCCACCATCTACTGCACACAAACATGACCGCCTAGGGCTAGCCAAATCAACATCTCCGCTTCACAGCGGATTCTTCTCTCCGGCGTTGTGGCAGAGTGGTCTAATGCGCAAGACTAGAAATCTTGTTCCTTCGGGAGCGTCTGTTCGAATCAGGCCAACGTCGAGTTACTCTTTTGCTGCATCTCTAGACTCATTTTTGTGAGTTTTGCTGAAATGGGCGACGTCCCAATTCGTGGCTTGGCTATTATCAGGGGTGTGCGATGCCCTCGAACACAAGTCAAAGAAGTAAAGAACAGATGAGCGGTCACACGGTTGATTGAGATCATGTCTCCATGCAAGATCGCCCTCACCCTTCGAATCCCCGAAACGAAAATCCTCTCCCAATCTCATCACTCTCTTCCATCACAAACGCACTCGAGCCCGTATAATGAGCCTGCCCACTCACCTCAACCCTCCAAGCCTTCCTCCCACCAACTTCAACCTCCTCCACAGGCGTCCCGACAAATGCCCCACGATCCTCGCCGACGGCCCTCGACACGAGACTGTGATACGTCCACGACTGGCCCAGCTTCCTCTCGCCCCGCGCAGCAGCCAGCGCGACACGCGCCTGCACGACCGAGCCCGTCGGACTTCGGTCGATCTGCTGGTTGCCAAAGAAGTATAGTCCCGTCTCGGCGCCTACGCAGCCTGGTGCCGTGGCGAGGACGTCGTTGGAGTCCGTGTCTGTGACCATGATGCCGTAAAGGTACCCCGAGCTCCCATCCTCCTTGTCGTCCCCTGGATCTCGGAGGCGGGCGCGGAGGCCTGCCGAGGCGTTGAAAGCTTGCTTGAGTATCTTCGTTGCGTTGCTCAGGCCGCTAACGTCCGGCTTCGAGAGAGATGCCGGGAAGCCCAAAGCCGCGGCGGATACAACAGCATAGAAGGCGCCTCCAAACGCAACGTCCATCGTCACAGTCGAAGCATCACCTAGTTCCGACCACCCGAGACCCCGCGGAATCGGCACAACAAGATCAACAGCCGTAGCAAACGTAGGCACAGAAAGAAACGTAATCCTTCTCCCCACATCCGTCCTCCAACCACCCGTACCCCCCGTGCCACCGCCATCCACCTTCACAACAGGAACCGTAAGCCTCACCAACCCAACAGGCGCATGCAGCCGCACTTCCACCGTCCTCCCTTCCTGATCGACAACCAGCTCCCGACGCCGCGGGAAGACGACTTCGTCCGCGCAGTCGACGAGGAACCTGCCGAGCGCGAGCGTGGCGTGCCCGCACATTGCGCCGTAGCCTTCGTGCGTGAGGAATAAGGCGCCCATGTGCGCCTCGCCTGCGTCGACGAGTTCTGTGCGGGGCCGGAGGACGGCGCCGTACATGTCTGCGTGGCCGCGCGGTTCGTAGATTATGCTGCGGCGAATGTGGTCGTGGTGGGATTGGGCGAGGGAGCGCTGTTCGAGGAGGGTGCCGCTGGATGGGGAGGGCAGAAGCGCCGGTTAGGAAAAAGGGATGTTTCGTTTGGGGGGGGGGGTTGGTGATTTTGCCAAATATGTGTGATGATGGGCAGTGAGATGAGATGAGATGAGACTTACGGGATGTCTGGGTATCCGGCGTACACGATGCGCGCCGGCTCTCCGGCTGTGTGCATCTCCACGGTCCGGATCTCGGTGCCCGCGAAGGGCGGTAGGAAGGAAGGCAGGCTCATGATGGGCGAGTCAATCTAAGTTTCACAAGCGTTGATGCTTTCTGTGAGGTGCCAAGGTTCACTTTCGGTGAGGTTCTTAGAAAACCTGCATTGAGGATGATGTAGTTGCGAGAAAGGGCGCACCGCTGACATGCGCTTCGCAATCCTCCGAGTCGGGTCCCACCTTTTCCGGCCGTGGGTTGCCGATGTCGGGGGTTTGTCCACGGCGACGGCGGCGCCGGAGCGAGTGCACTTCGGCATTCTGTGAATCGACGGATGTCACTCATTGCACGCTTTCATTTCCACGAGGCGAGTGGGCTGATTGACATGCAGGTTGGTCAAGAGTCATGTTCGCTATCTCCAATGGTTCCCGAAAACCACAAGGGCTTCGAGGTCATGAGGGAAGCAGGTCGCTCACATCTTGCTTGATCTCGATCGTAGAGGCAGAATTATGATAAGTTTTTGATTACGTCGATAGTACATAGAGCCCAAAAAATTGCATCAAAACTTTGGGGTCTCTGTAGTCCTTGCAGAAGGTTGCCATCAAAAGTTAAGCCGGCGAAGCACCTCAAACCCAAGGTCCAACCAGTACTTCAGTGGGAGGCAAGCACCGTTGCATGTCCCTACCACCTACTTTACTTGAGGCACTCAGTTTACATGGTACTCCTATTCGAACTCTACCGGCCAGACTAATGAAGTCTTGATCGCCTTCCCCTCAACTCTTGCAATCAATACTCGCTAGTTCCCAGGTTCGCCAAGCTCGCTCATTACCAACATGTTCCGTTGCCACGCTCTTGACGAGTGGATGGATTCAAAGCCACGCGAGGGCGAAGCATTGTGTTTTGGGGCTGCATTATCTGCAAAACTCCTCAGTCGTTGGGACGAAGGATCCGTTTCAACCTCGTCAACGTGTGCCTTGGCCTGTCGTGTGTCTCATGTCTCGATATTTGGCGGCGCGTCGTATCCGAGCGTTCTGTGTACGATATAGACCCACGAACACCCGCCGGGTGAAGGCGACTTTTGTCACATCATGCTAATCCACGAAGTTCCTTCAAACCCCCATCTGCTTTTGCAACGGTCAAGTACATGGTTTACGACTGGCAACTTCATGTTGTGAGCATATGTCAGCGTAAGGAACGCGGATTCATCTTGTGCCTACTAGCTCAAAGTCTTCTGGCACCCCTACCTCGAATGTTGATCGTGTGGAGATCGAGGTAGAGTAGGTGCCTGATCGAAAATTAATATGAATATGGAGGCATCTCTCAGTCCGGATTCTCATGGTAGACGAACCTGTGTGCGTGTAGGCAGAAGGGACTGCTCATCAAGTGGTCCTCCTTACGCTACCAAAGAGTCGCGGCTTTGGGGCACAGGCAGGCCCTGACTCAAGTAGGCCGCCGCGCGAGCCATACGGCTGCGAACTGATCCGACGTCCAAAAACCCCACACTCCTGTTTTCGAACTTCCGCCCTCGACTTCGGACGCCTTCCTTGATCCTTCCAAGGCTGGGAGTGGTTATTCATGGGGGCCTTGAGACTCGCCGAATCGGCAGCGGTACCGATGGCGATGACTTGATTAGGATTGACCAATACTCACTTCAACTGGGAGCCACAGATACGATACTCGCGTCGGGCCTCTATCCCTGTTCTTGTGCAAACGCTGTTTATCCGATGTTTCTGGGGTGTTGTGAGGGGCGATTTGGCATCGGGTCGAGACTTCCGGTTCTAAACAGCTGAAGTTGGATAGTTTGAAAAAGACCAGAGAGCTGTTGAGGGGAAGAGTAGTCACCAGCAAGTGAGTTGCGCGATGCTCTATTACCGCCTTCAAGAACAACTCATCTCCAAGGCGGGTTCACCCAAAACGATTGTCAAGCAACGAGAAGTGACTGCTTCTTCCACCCAACATGAAGAGCCTGCTGAATCTAAATACAAATCCCAGTCTATTTCCGTCAAAGGATCGTATCCTACCCCGAAGAAGGCTGCACCCTCAAAGCCAATCCCAGCCCTACCAGCTTACGCTTACTCTCACCATCCTTCTCACCAGTCAACTCCACAGATCTCACGCATACCACAAATCTATTCATGGCCACAGTCCTTCCTCCATCTCGCATCCCCCACAGACAGTCGAACACTCCCGTAAGACTAGCCGCAATCATCCTAGCACGAACCGGATCGCGTCCCGCCGTATTAGGTTCACGGCCACATTTCTGACAAGGCTCACGGGCTCCTGCAAGATCATCTGCGGACGAAGCCTGGAGCTGAACACACCTACCCTCTGTTTGATGCATCGCCGGCCCGTCAATCAACCATGTATCCCAGTCTCCCTTAGCATCATCTCACTGTGGCCTCCCCCCAAACCACCCGAAAATCTCGTACTCTAAACCCGTGACGGTCAAGGGCTAACATCGCAGTACACATGAGCCAGATACGATTCAACCACCATTCTGAACTTCTGGTCCAGGCCTACACGCGTGGCCTTTTCTCTCTGATACAGCATAAGCAGCACGAGAGATCTGGTTCCCGAATGTTGAGTTCAAACCGGGAGTGGGGGGCGTGTACCACCACACGACCTCATCCGCAGAACAACCCCCCCCTACAATCCGAAAACCTCACACCAAGGCTACCAAGATGAAAAAGGACACCTCCCTCTCGTCCTGCCCGTCTCGGGCGTCGGCCACCGTTACTAGAACGTAACCCTTCTTTCTCTCCACGTCGTTTTCCTTCTCTCTTGTACTTTTCTCGCTGCGACTCTAATCATCAACCCGTTTCCCAAACCCCTTCTCAGCTCAGACCTACTACCCTCAGACCGCGAAGTTTCATCAGCAGAGAGAGAGAGCAAGAAAAACACTCCATGAAGCTGCAGCAGCGCTTCCGCTGCGCGCTCTCGAGATGCACATCTCACACCCAGTGTCCGGGTCCCCTCCCCCGACATTATCCTTCCTCATATTGCTGCTCATCATCAACGCCGTCCTCGGCGGCGCGATAGCCACCCCAACCGCACCCACAGCCACCACCCAGAGCAGCAAAAGAAATGGACCCGCACCCCCGAACCGTGCCTACGAAGCCCCGCTCCTCGGCATCACCCCGGCCCCGGAACCCTCCGCCGTATCTCACCGTCTCCTCCGCGCCCGCCAAGGCGATCCGCGGTCATCGGACGGCCGCACGAATTTCATCGCGTGGTATTCCCAGTCCGGCAACTGGGTCTCGGCAACCTGTCCGTCAAACAACTATTTTGCCGCAGACGGCAGGTTCGGGGTGTGTTGTCCGCGGGGAAACCCTTACTGCGAGATGGCGACGTCGTGTGGCGGGCCGTTTGATAATTATGCCATTGGACCGACTGGGCAGGCAGACTGGTATGGATTCTTCCACATTCTGTGCTCACTTTTTGTTCCACCTGCTAGATCATGGATGTTTCGTAAGAATGGGAAAAGGTATGTGTACTAACGAGAGGGGGTGGGACAGTGGACCGAGTAACACCTGCGACACAATCACCATGCTCCAAACGCAAGGCAGCACCGACGCGAGGAGAATCATCTTCTGTATCGCCATGTCGGAACTCTACGTTCTCCCCATGACTTGGTACCGCGTCACGCACCCACGTAAGTCCACCAACCCTTTCTTCCAGAAATCTTCTTGGACCCCGTAACTCTCAACACACGGTTCTGACGTGCCTCCAGTCCCCGAAGCCTCCGTCGCAACAGTAACAGTAACCCAGAGCACAACGGTGACGGCGACTGCCCGGACCGGAGGAAGCCGCATGGGTGGGCAACCAGGCAGCCCCTCCCGTTCGCCGCCTGCAATGATGGCTCTGGCTGTGGCTGTGATGATATCGGTCTTGGTTCTCGGTGCTCCATGAAAAGGCCTTGTGAAGAAACGTGAAGGTTCACATTTATCACCGGATCGCCGGCTCCAGGTCTCATCTGCCAATACTCCTGACTGGTAAGCCTGGGACCACTCCACCTTGAAGACTGGACGGGAGAGCCAAGTCGCCATGATCGGCGCTGTCACCTGGCCCACGGGAAAGACGCGCTCGCTGCTCGCAGAGCCCGTTTTCGGACGAAGAATACGTCTGGTTCATGACGAAACCAACTAGGTCATAGTCGGGGACAAACGAGCAGGGCTTTGAATGGTATAGGAAATCCGAGACGATGTCAATGAGTGGGCATGTCGAATTGTAATCTTGACGGGGGGCGTCACTAGACAGGGACGGATCATCTACTCCCATGTACTTACATGGATGGAACAATATCTTTCAACGTAGATCTTTATCAAGGAAGCAAGAATGCATAGATGTTTATCCTCAAAAAACTTAATAAGCAATCTTTGACTACTTGCTTCAATCACTGAAGAAAGTATCACTTCCCGACCAAGGGTCGAGGTACGCGTGATTTGAGTACTTTATGACTGGCCGGATGTGGAGTCTCCACCCGGCAGCCCGCGCCATTGCAGCCCCACCCGACCGGCCGACCTACCGATCATCCCTTCCAATCTTCTCATCTGCTGAAGCCGAATTTCGTTTCGCAGCCTCAACATCCCCATCTCCACATCTTGTCGTCACCGCGACGCTCTGTTCTTACCCACTTCTCAAGACCTACCCATTCAAGTATCCCAAATGTCACATTCATCAACTCCTCAAACATGGCACACCCCAGCCAGCAGCGCTGAATCCGGTATCCCGCACAGCATCGACTAGCACCGCCTCAGTGTTACTCAGCACTAACAGGCCACCCGCTCTTAGCCGCACCCCAGATCCTCACGTCCGGAAAAGCAGACTCGCCTTGATGACCTCCCCGCGTCATCACATCAAGCACCAACTACAGTCCCAGTCGCGATGGAAGAAGAGGGGCGAAATGATGAGCTTGGAGTGCTAGGCGGTCGTCACTCACGCCACTGTTATGGAGAACAAGTTCAGTCCACGCAGCATCCTCACCGGAAACTCGACTCACACATGGCCACGCCGCTTATATCAAAGCCCATCTTCCCATCAACAGCACGCAAGAGTATCATACATCATATTCTACAACTTAAATGTTGGCTAGCCTCTTTTAATGTATGCTCAATAAAAGATGCTATGTAGTGGGCATACAGTTACAACGCCCGCAAATCAACGCTCTTCTCAACCTCGCTGTAGGGCGTACACAGAACCTGCGTCCCTTGCGCAGAATCCTCCGCGACGTCCATGGTCATCGCTATCCCCGCGGTTTGCCCCCCACCCAGGCCCAGGAGGCATTGGGTCTGGAGAGCGTCCGCCCGAGATGCTGCTGCGCGTCACGCGAGGGTAGCCCTCCCTAGAATGTCGGAATGAGCCAAGTAATACAGCGCCAAACTTCCCACATTAGGGTAATAGGCGCATTCAGTCGTCCTCTCCACCCCACCTAGCAAGTTTTAGACCCAAAAAGTTGCTGGTACTCATTATGCCTCACTACTCCTCTTCCGAATCCGAAGATTCACTGTCATTGTCATGCACAGGAGCTTCGTGCGCACGACCGGAGCTACCGGGTCGCTCTTGATCACCCGGTTCCTTGCCGTCATACATATGGCGAAGCCGCTCTAACTCGGCGATGCGAGCTTCTTGCTCTTGAGCATTCATGGGCTTGTTCTTCTTGTTCTTGGAGGACTTGTTGTTGGCTGACGCCTTCGCCGGCGCACTGTTCACTGGCGATGCCTCACGTGCTGGCCCATTCGCAGTGAAGCCCGGCCCAAACCCAGGCAACGTCTTTCTGCACAAATCCCATAGCTTGTGAAGCGCCTCGTTGGTGAGCTGATCGATCTCCAATTCGAGTTCGCCACTGCTGTTTTCCTGCGAAGATTGTCAGTACACACCTCAAGACGAACAGAGAATAGCTTGTCTTACCGATTGACCAGTATCTTTCTTGATGATGTCGATAGCACGTTCTATGTGAGGACTCTCCAGAAAGTTAATAGCGTTCGCGATAGCATCTTTCTCCGCTTGATTCATGTTTCGCTGCTTGGGTTTCTTGGTCACGCCGCCACCGCTCTTCTTCGAGACGGGAGCCGCCGCTGCCTTCTTGGTGGGGACGTTAGCCGCCTTCGACTTGGTGGGCTTTGGCGGCTTGGCCTTGGCGGCGCTCTTGGCAGGCTTCGCAGTCGTGAGCTTGGCCTTCTCGTCTATCAGACGCTGCCGGATGGTGGTGAGCAGAGACTGCTGAAGGTCGATGACAGCATCACTAGCGATGTCCGCCGTCTTGTAAAGGTCGGTCAACTGCTTCGTCTCCTGCTCAAGACGCTTCTCCAGGAATGCGATTGTCGCAGCCACTGAGGGATCGACTGCTGGGGCTGGCGCCTCTTCCTCTTCCTCAGCTTCGTCTTCACTATCACGACTTGAGCCGTCGTCAACTGGCTTGGCGGGGGTGTGTTTATTTATCCACTGCTCCTTCTTCGCCCACAGGCCCCTGAAAATCTGCTCGAGCTGTTGGCCTTGCTCGTAGACGGGCTGGCCAGGTTGGTTGAACTTGTAGCAGTTCTTGAAAACTTGCTTGACGTCTGTTTGGAACTCTTTGATACCGGGATAGTCGTAGCTCTTCAGCTTGGCCATTATCGTACCAAAGTCCATCGGCCGCTTGATGATGGTAAAATAGGTGGGGATGGCTAGAGCCACAGGGTCGACCGGAGACAGGAATGCGAGGTTGCACGAGGCGTTCTTCGCATCCATCAATTCACTGACCACCTCATAGCAGAATTGAAGCTCAATTGGCAACTTCTTCCGGTTGAAGGTCTTGGAAGAATAGTCCGGGTCGCGGTTCTTGGTGGGCTGAATGGCGCGCTTGGGCCGATCCAAGTCGTTCTGTGTCGAGGCACGGCGGACTTGCGGCACACCGCCAGGAGGAACGGCATATGCTTCGGCCTCAGCCTTCGCCGGCGGGCTCGCGGCAGCAATACTAGGCTGTCTCCGGACAGGAGGTGGAGGGGCTGATGTTCGAGACTCGGAATATCGGGAGGGCTTCGGCGCAGGCTTCGACTTCGCAGGCTCGTCGGAAGGAATCTCGCAAACGCGGGTCCAGGCCAACTTGACCACACTGAGAGCCGCGAACGTGATTTCATTGTTGATGCCGTTGAAAGTAACCGAGTTCTTGTAGATCAATCCAAGATCATCCTTGAACTGGCGCAGGCTGCTGTATTTATTGTCGCGCAGGCCCCGCTCAAGCTCGCCGATATCCATGGGTCTGTTAACCCGCATGAGATAGCTCTCGGCAAGGCTAGGCCACATCTTGACAACTGCGTCCTTGAAGTGGGCACCGTGTTTGGTCTTCTTCACGCCTGCCAACACCTTGCGGAATTCTCGCGTTTGGTGAGATGTGAGGGGTTTGGGGTCGCGTGCAGCGTCGATCCATGAAGGAAGGTCTTCGAGGGCCGATTCGCCCTTGGCCAGATCATCCTGCGCGCCTCGGGGCTTAACCTCGACGGTGGACTCGATGGCGCCAGACGCTGAAGCCCCATCATTCGAATCGGTCTTCGCGCGCTTGGGAGCGGGCTCGGCATCGGCGTCATCCTCTCTCTCGCGAGAAACCTTGCTAACAGTTGATGGCGCCTCCGCCATGGGTACGTCTTCTTCCGCAGGCTTTGAGGGCTCGTCCTTTTCCTTATCATTGTCAATGGCCAGTTGAGACAAGCTTGCTGGTTGGAGGTCTACCTCTTGACTAGCGGCAGCAGTGGGAGCCGCCGGCGACTCGTCCTTCGCCCCGTTGACCTTGTCATCGCTCTCCTTCATCTCGACATCCTTGTCCTTAGTCTCAGTCTCGGTCTCAGTTTTCGCAGGTTCAGAAGCCACAGCCTCCTTGTCGGTCGACTTCTCTGCTGCTTTCTCCTCGATTTTCTTCTCCGCCTTCTCAACCTCTGGCGCGTCGGCCATGTCGACGTCGTTGGGGAGCTCAGCGGGCGGTGGGCTTAGAGACTTGCTAGCTTCCTTGCTTTCCTTTGACTGCTCAGGCTCTGCGGACTTGGGCTTGGCAGAAGATTCGTCAGCCGCCGGTGTTGGTGACTTTTTGGCTGGTTCCTCTTTCTCCGTTTCCTTCTCCTTGGCAGGACTTGCTTTCGCATCGGAAGACTCCTTCACTTCCTCATCATGCTTGCCGTTGCCGTTAACTTTGGGTGACTTTGCGGACTCATCTACATTGTCGGAGCTCTTCTCAGCAGGGGAGGAAGCGTGGCTGTGGAAGGAGAACGCGTCAGCAATTGGGCTCTGTGGGAGACCAAGCGGGACGGGCGACTGGAGTCCATCGCGCGACAAATGCAACTACTACTCACCCATTGGTTTCGGGCTTGCTGTCGTCCTTCGCTGGTGTGGATTCGGTCGGCTTCTGATCCGGGACGGCGCGTTCTGATTGAGGCGACGCCATGACTGCCATATGGTGATTGAGGTAAGGGCAGGGCAAGTTCACTGTGCGCGACGCAACATGAACGTAGCGACGCGCGCAGGTGTGTTTTCAGTTGCGGCAATGGCGGGATGCACTACAGAGATGCACAGCAGGGATTGGGCTATACAGTGTCGGAGAAAGTGCTCTGGGTGTCGCTGACTCGGGTGATGGTGTACGTGCAAACTGAACCCTTTGACTCTCAAGTTATCGAGCGCAAAGAGGTAAGATCGCGTCGATGGTTCGAGATGTGAAGGGTTGCGGCGGGGCAGGAACAACCGGGAGGAGAGAGTCGGCGCGGTTTTGGGAGGAACCTGGAAGAGGCGTCACGATGTTTTTGGATGCACGCGCTAGGCAAGCAGGACCGACAGCGGCGATGGCGGGAGATGGAGGTACTGGAGATATCGCGAACTATCCCAGAAAGAGATTCGAGATTGCGCCGACGATGAGTGACGATGCGCAATTGATTATATGGTAGTGTCGCAAGTTGAGGCGATCGTCGGTTGCAGCGACGATGAAATGGGCGAAATGGTTAATCCGGCCGTGTCGCGTCGCGAATGGGCAGGTGCGAGGTACTTTTTTTGGCGATACGGGAAGGTGGAGGACCTGGGCGGAGGAAATCGCGTGCACGTCAGTGGTTTTTGGCCGAGATGGCGGCGCGTCCTATTTATGAGAAAGAACGAGCTTGGGAAGGGTGGTCCCCGGACAGCCGGTTATCTGGCCTTATCGGAGGAAGGCGCGCACTCGCGACTGGGCGACGGGTCCTGCTTCAGAAGGGGGTGCAGCCTGAAAACAGCGGCAGAGGAAGAAAAAAAAAAAAAAATTAAGTAGTGGCGTAGCGTTGGGCAGGAAGCCACGGGTGACAAGACGACGAGAAAGAGGCGGGAAGGAGACCAGGGGGGGAGGTCAGAGAGGGAAAGAGTGAGTGAGGGAGAAGGTGGTCAGTGCGTCTGGGTGATCGACGACTGGGGGTATGGGTGGTTGAAGCCAGAAGCGTCAGGCAGGAAAGAGGTCCGAGTTGGGAGGAGGCACGGAGGACGGGAAGGACTTGGGAAAAAAAAGAGGGAAGAGATCGTGAATTTGCGAGGAAATGGTTGGAAGAGCAGTTGAAGGAGGACGAGAGCGGAGCAGGGGGGAGGGGGCCACAAGGTGACATAAAATGCATATTTATGCAAGTTATGGAGACACTGGCCAATGAGGTGCTTTCTCAGCTCCCGGATCTGGCCTAAACGCGCGAGGCTGGGAAATGTGACTGGGGCCTGGGATGCCATGTGGACCGTGTCCGCGTGGGACGTGGGAAATATTGAATGTGTGATGCGAGACGGGAAGGCGTCTTCTCTTGTTGACCGACCATTGAGGATTTGGCGGTCGAGGACGAAGGATAATTGTGCTGACGGAAAGAAATCCAAACTCACCTTGAGAGAGTTCGACGCGTGTTTGTGATGTGTTGCTTCTGGGTTCCCTTTCAACTATTGTTTGCTTCCTAGTATCTAAACACCCATCAATGGTTAGCATCGGCATCGTAGTGTAAGTACGCAGTGCGTGCAGCAGTAGGTAATGCAAGCTGAGGTGTGGCTGAGCTTGTCGATCGTGTAAGAGGTGCGTGAGGCTGGTGGAGTGATGAGTGAGCCAAGTCATGGAGCGCGCAACAAATGCCAGCCATCGCGACAGATTCCAGACAAAAGGAGCCAGGCAAGTCGCGACATCAATGTAAGTTGTGCAAGAGCAAACGTGGTTTCTCATTTCTGAATGTACAATAAAGGTCCATAGTCATGCAATGGTACTGGTGACAGGTCCTCTCTTGATGTGAGGTACCTAGCCAACGCGGTCCGTCCGTCGCATCGGTGGGAAGAAGATGATATTTCGGGAGATGCAAACACCGGGAGAACAGCCCAACACGACTTGAACGCGATGTAATCATGCAACTCCAAGTGAGGTAAGGCGTGTTTGGTGGCAGTTGAGAAAAGCAGAAAAGAATTGGCTTTGATGGATGCGACAGGAAACAAAATCGGTACGTACCGGAGTGATCCCCAATCGAATAACGGGAAAGAAGCTCTGAGCCACGTCCGCACCGAGGTGTCTGTGATTCTTGGAGGTCTCGTGACAGATCAGATGACCAAATGTCAGGCTTCTTTGGACTTTTTCCAGGACTTTTCTGCATCAGAAGCGCAAAATTCAGAAATCGGGGCCACTTCTTATTTGTAGGAACCCGCCAAGTCGCGTTGACCCCAGTCAGAGCTCGACAGACTACCCTTGCCAGGGCATACGACAGGGATAGCTGCATTGTCTTGAACCAATCATATTCTGGTGGTGGATCATGGTGAGACAAATATGGCATAGCACAGAGAGACGGGACCAAGCCTTCTTGAGAACCGTGTCAGCCAATCAATACCCAGCGCTCATTGCGGCGCAAAAGCTCTGGATCGAGGGTAGCTGGACAGCAGCGACCATGTACCAATCACCTTTTTCGTCTGCTTGTGAGCTTCTGATGGTCCGGCGTCCACGGTCCAGACTCTATTGCTCTAGCCTGAGGCTTTTGATACTTTTTGTGAATAGCTTCCACAAGATCCTGGCTTGCGCACTGTCGTGTCACCGCTTGCTTGACTCATCCTAGAACTTGCGTCAACCGTACCAGGCTTCGAGTCTAGACAAACTGCGCGAGTCCTGGATTCAGACAAATAGTCAAATCGAGGAGTCATCAACAGACTGCCCTTCAAAGTCAATAATGATCCCGTTGCTTACCTAGGTAGTGGTAGTTTTAGTGACATGCGCAGGTGCATCTCGACCTCGATGGATAGAAGCGAGCCTCCAATGGCATAAGCAATCGGCCAGTGAATCTCTCGGTGAAAGGTCTTTCCGGAAACCGAGATTTTCACCTCTTCGAGACTTGACAGCCCCACCTTGATTCATTATGTCAGCGTGACCCCCCGCGGGCGGTCGTGTGCATCGAGCCGGCAAAAAAATTGGTTGGCGGCAGAAAAAAAAAGTTCAAGCAGGTCTGTCGTTGCTGGAGGAGAGGTCCTAGATCACGACTTTTCCCACCTTTTTTTCTTACCACCCCATTCCCTCGAGATACCCCCCAAAACCCGTCACCATGTCCTCAAGGCGGAGATCTTCCGGCAAATTCACGGCTCCAGTCGTCAAGTCGACTCCCAAGGCTTCCAAGACCACAATTGACGAGAGCAGAGCCGCCGTCTCCGCGACAGACTCTCTGCAGGCCGCGCTCAAGGGCAACACCAACGAAGCGATTGAGATTTCTTCCGGCGAGGAGAGCGATGAGGATGTTTCGGACGAGGAAATGGAAGGCGCCGAGGTCGAGACCGGCAACGCAAAGAAAACCGTGAACGGCACCGCCACAGAAGAAACCACCACCACACAAACCAAGGCCGATGCCGAAGCCGGCGTCGCAGAGGACGAGGAGGAGGCAGGGTCGCCCACCTTTGGCGAGCTGATCCGCGGCACAATCGACGTCCCTGCCATGCTGGCGCAACAAGAGGACGCCAACAGCAAGGCCCTCGTCTCGCAATCATCAAGAAAGGGCCTCGAACCCGTGTCGCTATCCTCTCTGAGCACCGTCCTCACCCAGGCGCTCAAGACCGACGACACCGACCTCCTCGAGAACTGCCTGCAGACTAGCCAGCCCGAAGGCATCAAGCAGACGATTGAGCGCCTCGACAGCAGCCTTGCCGGCATCCTCCTCACCAAGCTCTCCGCCCGATTCCACAGACGGCCCGGTCGCGCGGGCAGCCTCATGGACTGGGTCAAGTGGACGCTCATTGTACACGGCGGCGTGTTGGCGACCCAGACCAAGGCCCTGGAGCGGTTAGTCACGCTACAAAAGGTCCTCAGCGAGCGCTCGCGCGGTCTGCCGAGCCTGCTCGCCCTCAAGGGCAAGCTGGACATGTTGCACGCGCAGATGGAGCTCAGAAACGGACGGCCACGTAGGGGTGACGCCGCGAGACAGCTCGAGGACGCGGATGACGAAGACGAGGAGGAGGAAGGCGCCATCTATGTTGAGGGCGAGGAGGACGCCGAGACGGCCAACGGCGCAAGGAATGCGCTGCTGGGAGACGACGATGACGACGAGGTCCCTGCTGCCAATGGCTTCGTTGGCGACTCGGATGACGAAGATGATGAGGAGGAGGCTGTGGCGGCGGAGGACGAGAGTTCGGGCGAGGAGGTTATTGACGAGGATGAGGTCGACCACAATGATGTTGAGGATTCGGATGAGGACGATGACAGCGACGCGGAGGCGGCACCGCCGACAAAGGTTCAGAAGACTGCTTCTTCGTTCGCAAAGAGAAAATAAAGGGGATGAGTAGGCTTCATGGGGAGTAGAGGACGGCGGGGTAGAAACGGCACATAGACTTGGCTTGGCCGACAATTGACATAATATTGTGCAATAGGGCAGAGATTGCGTCGTATGGAGTTATTGGTCAATCAAAATCAATGGGTATTTGGCAAGCAGCATCTCGTTCTGGTGAATTCGGTGATGACTATCGAACTCGTCGATACTGGGCCTTTGAGATTTGTGCTCATACCGCCGACAACAACAGGATCAGCTGTTTCACAGATTGATCTGAATTCACCTGGATTGTGTAATCAGTCAATTGTCTGTATCGTTTTCGAAGAAGACATCGCGAGCATAATCCGCATTCTCGGACTTCTCGCATCGATGAGACCCGGCTCACCACGGCTCCACATTCCCGCTTTGGGAAACGGAGCCACGAACCTCCATGGTTCATCTCCACCGACGATCTCCTCAGGCTCTACAACACCATCCCCGCCAACCACGCGCAAGAAATGCAACCTCAATCAATTGCAATACCAGTTGAACCAGTCAAATGAAGCACCATGAAGAGCCATCAAATACTAACCCTTCTTCTACCCGTATGCCCGGTATCGCGGGGTGACCGGGGTAGCTCTTCCCAAAGCACATAAGAAGCAGCTCCAATCCCACTGCAAAAGGAACACCAGCCCTCCCCTTGGCATCTCTCCCAGATCGCAGTTCCAAGACGCAGAGTTACCCCAGGCACATCCAAAATGCCCCCCCGTCTAGCCTGGGCAACAGCCCTCCTCCCAGCTCTCACAAGCGCCGCCTCCCTCCAACACATCACAACCGACTTTGGCCCCAACCCCACCAACGTCTCTTTCTACCTCTACGTCCCCGACTCCCTCATCCCTTCCGCGCCTCTCCTCGTCTTTCCGCACTGGTGCCACGGCAACGCGACCGACGCCTTCAACTATAAGCCCTGGCGTCCCCTCGCCGACACACTCGGCTTCGTCACGATATACCCCTCCACACCGCACACCGCAGATTACTGCTGGGACGTATCCTCGCCGCAGACGCTCTCCCACGACGCCGGCGGCGATTCCTTGGGTATCGTGAGCATGGTCCGCTGGACGCTTCAGAATTACGACGTCGATCCGGATCGGGTTTTCGTTACTGGGGTGAGTTCCGGCGCCATGATGACGAATGTTCTCGTAGGGGCGTACCCGGACGTCTTTGCCGCTGGCTCGGCGTTCGCAGGCGTGCCGTTTGGGTGTTATGCTGCGGATGGTATTGCCGTTTGGTCTGATGACTGCGCGAGCGGGCGGATCACGCATACTGGGGAAGAGTGGGCTTCCATCGTGGAGGCTGCGTATCCGGGGTACGCCGGTCCGAGGCCCAAGTTGCAGGTTCTGCACGGGGACGTAGATAATGTGCTGAATGTGACGAATTTCTACGAGGAGATCAAGATGTGGACTACGGTGCTGGGGACGGGAGTCACGCCGACAGAGGTCGTTGAGGATGATCCTGTTGAAGGGTGGACGAAGAGCGTGTATGGGACGAAGGGGCTTTTTGAGGCGTTTTTGGCACATGGGATTGATCATAATATTCCTGACCAGGCGGATGAGGTTGTGAGATTCTTTGACTTGGATTGTGTTGGGGAGAGTTGCTTCTCGCGCAAGTCGTTGCCTGTGCCGGGCACTTGTGCCAAGAGACGGCGCTCCTTAAGGGCTTACTAGCCTACCTCGAATATCTTGGATATGTGTGAGCGAAGTACTAGATAGTAAGACATGAGCTTCACATGGCAAGTTATACTTATATGCGCGCTATGTGTATTATACCAGTGGCGTATGGTGGTGCCCATTTTCAGCAATCAAGATTCGCGAGCCAAATTCATGATTTGCGGCTGCGGCCTTCAGAGACGAAGTCTGCTTGTCGAAAGCCACTAGATAGTCGAAACCTAAGGTAATTATAATACTTAGGGTTCAGAGAGACCACGATCAAGCAAGTTGAGCCTGCGGTTCGTTCAAGTCAAACAGAAAAGAGAGTTCACCCCCCAGGTGTTGAACTGGGGGCTACATCTCTTGGTGCACATGCTGGGATTTGTTGTTGACCATATACCACTCCACCACTCATCCTAGTTTGACCTGACCCGTCGACCTAGACGGGCGCCTGCTGGTTGTGGTGACGGAATTGGGATTGGGGGGGGGGGGGGGGGGGGGGGATTATATAGGCTTCTTGTGGCAAGATCTGGAAAGTACGGGCTTGCTTAGTCGACTAGGTATATTTTACGGAAGGTGAGGATGTTCTTGTGCACGCCTTCCTCTGAATACTCAGGTAACTACCAACAAACACCAGACTGCGTATGCCCAAAACTCTTCACATCATTCCAAGCCGGCGCCTTCTTCGTCTCATTCAGCACTACCATGGCACAATGCTTCGCATGCTCCCACGCGTGAACAACCATATCCGCCTTCGTACCCAAATTCAGCGCCGCAGCGGCCTGCAGCAAAAGATACATGCAGTGCGTCATATGATGCCCAACAGTCGTCCAAGCCGGTGTCAAAATCTCAAACTCATCCAGCTCGTCATCTGTTATCTCCGCCCCTGGTTTACCGTCCTCATCCCTGTAGAATACGAATTCCGGCTCCTCGCCACCGCCGAGTGCTTCAAAGACGGCTTGTCGGGCGTGCTCGAAGTCTTGCGTGCAGGCTGGTGGCATCCATCTGTTGTGCAGCTTGTTAAAGGCGCAGCCTCTGCGTTTGGCTTCGATGGTTGAATTGCCGCACCAGAAGTGGCCTTGGGCGACTTCGGCTTCCTTCATCCATTTGAGGACGTTGTCTTCGCCGTCTTCTGGCTGGGGGTAGCCATCTCGGACGGATTTCGGGGCCTGGGCGGAGAACGGGAGCCAGGATATGATCAAGGCTATGATGAGCACTGCCGTGGCACAACGCCATCTCCAGAGGGAGGCTTTGCTTCTCTTTAATTCTTGCGCCCATGCATCCCCTGCATCTCCCTTTTCGTCGGAATCGTCTAGCGGTATGTACTGTAGGTTTTCAGAGGACCACCAGCGGTGTTTCTTGTTGTTTTGGATGCTTTTTTGTTACCCCTGCCGTTCGGGGGACCTTCTTCGGTGCTCCTCTCCGCGCAAAGGTGATTCATCCATCATGAACACAAATCAACGAGGTTTTTTGTTCTGTTGGGTGGGCTCACTGGGTGCTCTGCGAATATCAGTAAGAGTTCTTGTGACTTTGGCAATGCAATCTTTCCCATAACATATATGCAACATCAAGGAACTAGGGGGTGGGAAACGGTACAGTATAGCACGCCTTCAATGTCGTCACTTACAAATGACCAATGGACGCGAAGTCTTTCGTTGGTAGAATCTTAACGCAAAGTTTCCGATGTAGATGCCTCATATATGATAATCCTGTGGAGTGAGATTTAATTCTACTTTTCTCGAGAATGCCTCTCAGTTATCATAATTCACAAAGTCAAGGTCGTCTCATAATTGACATTCTCTTAATGCACTACTTCAATACTGAAGGTGGGCTAACATTATGTTAAACTATTATTGGTAGTTCAATTGACTCTCGGTCCGAAGGTTCTTAATGGCCAATTCGGACCGCAGTTGCTCCACTCTAGACTAAGTTGGTTCTTGGGAGTCGAGATAGGAAGTGGTTTCCACATGCACGATTCAGGGATCAGAGGCGTCAGCGACAGCAAGTTGTTAACTCCGGGATGATGCAATAGTTTCGCGTCTCTTGTTGATAACTTCTGTTAACCATTGTGCCCTCCTACTTGTCTTTCTGAATAAATCTCTCTTCCACTGGTCAACACCATGACCATCCCTCACGCATTTCCATCTGATTTCTCATTATCTATGGTCCCGTGCCGACGGCTGCGCAAATGCTTGAGCAACACAAAAAGCATCATCGCCAGCCATGCTTGAAGATGCCACGATAAGACCCCGCCGGTGGAGTCGATCAACAAGTGGATGCATTACCTGCGCGCGATCGAAGGTCAAATGCTCAGAAGACCGGCCTACCTGTCAGCGATGCAGCCGCCTACAGCGACACTGTCAGTGGCGGGGAGACTATGTTTCCCTCCGAGAACGAAGGCGTGGGTTTGGCCCTGTCAAATCCCGCCTTCAATACGTGCCTCCTCCGATCTTGCCATCGAACAACATTACCAGGCATACCATCCAGGATACGCCCGAAAGCGACGAAAGCCCAATCGACTGGGGAGAGTGTCCCCCCTTGACATCAGTGGAAGAAATCGAGTCGACGACTACGACTTATTCTGTTATGAACAATACAACGCACTTTGACGAGCGTGTGGCCTTGGAGGTTATATTTGGTCAGAACGCGGCAGTGGCGTCACCTTTGGCAATGCTGAGCGCTCGACATATACCGTCCCGATGTTCAATTCTCTTTGACCCCCTGGAGCAGGACGCTCTCTACTTCTTCGAGAATGTGTTCGCAAAGTGTAGTCCCAAGACCTTTCTGTGGTCCAAGCTGGCTATCCTGCTTCACCATGCCTACGACGACGCCACGGTCATGCACCTATTGCTGGCTTCGTGTCTTGGTACCGTTGCTCGGAATCACCCAGACCGTATGGTTTTGACCTCCGCCAAGTCTCATTTCAAAATGGGTACTAGCAAATTTATTGACCGAACCCAAGACCCGACATGCAATTACACCAAAACCTTGATGGCCTTCTGGCTGTTACAGCTGACGTACCGTGCAATCTGGGACGATAAATGCCGTCGGGCTATGAAGAAGCTCAGTTCCGCCATGGCAGACTATATTCATAAGCATCGCCTTCTGAAGCTCTTCCATCCCGGGGAGAGCCCTATCGGAAATCTCTCTGGCAGCACGTCTCCTGGAAAGGACTCCGTCTTTGACACGCTGTCTATTCATCTGGTAATGCCTGCAAACAAAAGTCTTGTCGCGAGTCTCTTGCTATTCATTGCGTACGAGGACCTAGACTCTGAAACTTGCGGCTTTGGAGGCGACGTTTCTCGCCTGGTTCTTTCCGGCGATGATACATCTCGCTCCCTATTTGCGTGTTCTCGGAATGTCCACGTTGACTTCTTTGGGTCATTGTATCCATGTGAGGAGCTGATGGATGACGTGGAGCGGTCGAAGCCGCTGGAATTCCACTTCTTCGCAAACGTCTGCCTTGATCGACTGCACCGACTCCGCGCATCATCCGGCGATGATGTAGACAAGCTCAAGGGCATAGTTACCACGCTGCATCGCCTACGAGAGGTAAGAAAATAGTCTTTCCTGAACTTCACTTTACATCCTGAAGAACACACGCTGGCACGAGCGACAACACTGGCTGACCTTCTGTGGCCTTTCTCCGGGGGGCTGAACAGGAACATTCGACCATATTCCGCTTGGCAGAAGCCCCAAATTCAGCTGACGCAAAGTTGATCACAACATCCTACAACATCGTGGCCCACTTCCATGCTGTGCTAGTCTGTGTTCTAAGTACCATGGCTTCCTCTTCGCCATCCGAATCACTCCAACGAGATCTTGCCGTCGCTAAGGACGATCTCCTCCGCATGATATTCCGGATGATTACACAAAGCCCAGACAGACCGTTCATGTGGAGAAATCAGTGGGCGGTGTTCATAATGGCGAAAGAAACCGACGACATAATCCATCGGGATTGGTTGTTACAAAAGCTTCGTGACAGTAGCTACGCCGTGTTATTGAAAGAGGGCAGTGAGTAGAACTCTAATCTGGCGGCCTAGCTATCGAGTAATCCTTGCTCAAGCCCTGTTGCCACAAGAGCAAAGCTTCCTGACAGGTGCGCTGATCCTAGAGGAATCCTTCGTAATGAGAGACATTTCCTCCTCGAGAGAAATCTTTAACCTCCTCTCCGTTACATTTTCTTCAAACTCCCGTTGAACCTTGGACGCAACCCCGTCGTCGGTCAACACAGCCCATGCAGATCTTGCTAGAGCATTGGCAACAACAAGAGTTCGCTCGTGTGCTGATTCGGCTCCGGCAGCTTCCGTGAAACCGGCAGTATGATTACTCTGCCCTTCCTTGGCCTCAATTCCGTAGATGGGGTGAATAACAGGGACGACACAGCCAACATTCCCCTGATCAGTTGCGCCAGAGATGACGTCCTTAGTGTCCACATCACACCACATGGGAATACCCAAATCTGCCGCAGCATCGGCAAACACTAGAGAGAGCTGCTTGTTTGGGCGCAGGGGCGCATAGAAGACATCATTCTCAACCTGCATCTCGCAGCCCGTGGCGATAGCGCCAGCCCGGTAATTCGTAATTACACGATCACGCAGCTCTTTGGTCTGTTCAATGGTTGGCGCACGTACAGTGTAGTCGACAGCAGTAAAATCAGGAATGATGTTGCTTTTGACGCCGGCATCCGTGAAAATGCCATGGACGGTGGCATCCTTCGTCATCTGCTGCCTCATCATGCTGACGCCGTTGTAGCCGAGAACAGCAGCGTCGAGAGCATTTACGCCCTCCCATGGCGACACAGCCGCGTGCGCAGGCTTGCCCTTGAACTTGATTCTGAAGCTAATGGCCGAAACGTGGTTGACAAAGACGTCGCCTTGTTGGCCTTCGTTGCCGTAGGCAAATAGGGGAGCCGGGTGGGCCATCACGCAGGCCGCGACACCGTCATATGCCCCCTTACCGACGAGCATGCCCTTGCCACAGCCGCCTTCCTCGGCCGGAGTACCGAGGAGTCTCACGCGTCCAGGTTTGCCGGACGCCTTCAGGGCGGCGACTGTGGCGAGGAAGCCCGCTAGGGATGCGGTTGCGATGAGGTTATGGCCGCATGCGTGGCCGATTTCAGGGAGCGCGTCGTACTCGGCGTTGAAGACGACCAGACGACCGCCTTCTCCGAATTCGGTCTCCAGAGATGTAGGAATGCCGTATGCGTGAGGGGTGACTTTGAAGCCAAGCCTCTCCAGTGCCTTGATGAGGGCGTCGTGCGCGTGGAACTCTTCGTAGTTGAGTTCAGGATGGTGGAATATCTACAATTTCGAAACCATAATTAGCTAAAATACACCATCTGCGGTCGTAGTTGTGCCTCCACTGGTTGGCCTCAAACGGCGGTCATTGGGACGACTCACGTCTAAGTTTACCTCTCTCAACAAGGTTTTGGCATTGCTGATGGCTTTCTCCATTGCAACAGCAACCTCTGGGGTCATGGTGGTCATGTTGGGGACGGATTGAGATGTTACAGGAAGGACGCGAATGTTCATGTTGGCTTGGTAGACTGAGATAGATTGATGCTGTCTGCCGCTTGTTGAACAGGGCCAACCTCATTACTTCAACATGCGGCGGGAAGGTCATCTTTAAATAGAACCCTCACAGCTGGCTAGCACAGGACTGATTTGCAATGACTTCAATTTCTTCTACTAAGGATGATCGAGCAAAATTGCGACATGCCGCGTCCAAATTGTCGTCGGATTACAACTTGGGACTACAGATAGGATGTGGCCCATGACTGGTCAGAATTGCCGACCGAAACAATCGTTGACTCCACTTTATGCTATCGTTCCTGGAGAACTGATTGTCGCGTGACATCCCAGTAATCTCTTCGTCACCTAATAACCTCGGAGATGTATGTTTGCCTAGATCTTGGGGTGACTTTGTCTAGTTATCATCAATGACAAGAAGCAAAGGGGCTCAGTAGTATATTATCGAACGTCACTACACCCCAAAGGTTTTGCGCGCGGGGCTGCAGAATGCAATTCCAATACACACAGTTGCGTTGTTCCTGGATTGAAGCTAAGCACAAAAGGTTTCGATCTTTTCAAGAAATTGGCCATATGATCAGAATATCCCCACCTAGTCCACTGGGGATCAAATCTGCTGTGAAGGAATCGACGCACTGTTTTCTCACACTTCCTCCCAACTCTCCACTCATCCATTTCCCCGCTCGTTGCTCATTCCTCGGCGGCCATCTGATGGCAGCACGACGATTTTCCCCAAGTTACCCTCATGATCTGTGCAAAAGTCTTATGGAGGCAGAAATCAAGGCGAAATCCCCGGACCGCTCTGGTCTCAGGTGGGTGCGGAACAATCTGGACTATCTCGAGCCTCGATGGACAATCAATCCTGACATGACAGCCATCATGGAGACCGCAAAGAGGACCCTCGACATCCAAGGTCCTTGCAGCATCGGGTTCCTGACAGATAGTACCTTCAATAAGCTTTATGTCGTCGAGTCTGCGGGTCAGGAGGTCGTGGTACGGGTAACACTCCCTATTGAACCATGGTTGAAAACCCTGAGTGAGATTGCAACGTTAAGTTGGGTCCGCCAGAACACCAGTCTACCTGTCCCAGATATCTTGGCTTACACAGCCGATCGCTCCAATCCCATAGAGTTCGAATGGATCATCATGAACAAGATACCGGGCGAGCCTCTGGCTGATGTATGGAAAGAGATCCCCTACTCAGCCAAGGAACAGCTTATTCTCCGCATTGCTTTGTTCTTCTCCGAAACCTTCGAAAGTCAAATGCGAGGCATCGGCAATATCTTCCCGGACGTGCCCTCAAGGCAGACTTCAACTTTGTCCAAACTTGATGCAGCAACAATCTCCTGTGCACTATCCAATCTCTCTGCGGCAGCCGACTTTCCTAGCCAACGGCCACATGAGAACTGTGAGCAGTTTGGTCAAGGTGATGACCTATTAGCAGAGGTTGGGACATCTTCTGCGCCTAGCTTCACTGTTCAGAGGTTGGTATCTTATTCTTTCATCGGCGAGCATCCTTACTCAAAACTTTCCTGCGGTCCTTTCGCATCCAGCAAAGAATGAATGTCAGCTCGACTGGACTTTGTAGAGCTCGATTGCAGTATTCGTCTGCGTCGTTTCCAGAATTCAGACCGCCATTACCGGCCCGGGGAGAATAAGATCAAGGAAGACAACCAAATCCGAGCAACAGCGAAGGAAGACGACGCCAAAGAGGAGATCGAGCATGCGGTGGCCGAGGAACACACAAATCAAAAAGAAGAAGAAGAAGAAGAAGATAGAGAGGCGGACGACGAAAACGAAGAAGGTCACGATGATGTGGAGTTCCTTGAGACAGCTATGATTCTTATTACAAGGCTTCGGAACCATCTGAAAGATGCATTTCCTTCCACCGGAATCGAAATGGCGTCGACAGTCATCTTTCATGGTAACATGGATAGCCGCAAAATTTTGGTTGATAAAGTGGGAAATCTCACAGCCGTGGTTGACTGGGAATGCGTTTCAGCTCTACCATTATGGATGGCCTGCCAGTATCCGCCCCTCCTACAAAGCAAACCACGTGATGTCGAGCCAAATAAGAGCAGTTATCAGCACGACGAGAACGGAGAAGTGACGGCGCTCTTCTGGGAACATCTGGAGCATTATGAACTTACTCAGTTACGTCGGGTATTTATCGTGGAAATGGAAAGGCTACAGCCTGAGTGGGTGGCCATTCATAAGTATACTCACCATCAGAGAGATTTTGAGCTCGCTGTTACACTATGCGATGATGAACTCTTTATGAATAGAGTTCGGAAATGGTTGGATGACCTGGATTCGGGCGCTGAAGTAGTTGTTGGGCTTAGAGAACGCCTAGATACTGCGTGTGATCTTTGAGAGAGCTGTTATCTTGGTTGCGGTTCGAGATAATACGATTGTAGTTGTGTCTCGAAAAGTTTACTAAGTCTTAGACACGATGAGAGGCTTCTATCCAACTAATCTTGCTATGATTATGTTCGTTGACTTAAAACATTGAAATCGTTTTCGCAGATACAAGAGAACCTCACACGGGCCAACGACATGCATGAGATCAAAAATCTCGCCAAGAATCTTTCCGTCGCAGTGGATCAAAACCTGTTGATTACATCCCTGCACGCTGTTGGGATCTGCCAACTTCGCCAGGGTACGGTGGAAGCGGCTTTATAAACCGGGCACGCCTGCTACCGCCCCCTTCGCCTTCGCTATACGGTGGCCCCGGAAAATGGCCTTGGCCATAGACATGCCTGCCATTTCCGGTGATCCCTCGCCGGTCTTCGAGGGCCACGGCGTTGCTAACATAATCGTTGTACCTGTGCATAGTGGCTTCCTCTCCAGTCTTGGCTCTCAGCCTGCCCCATACCATCAGTATTAGAAAGACAAATACTATGGCAACTAGAGAGATGCCGGCGATTGGGCCTGGGCGTATGTTGTTCCTGTAATCGTCGCCAATTTCTCGTTTGACATGGTGATTCGTGGTTATAAAGGCCATGTAAGATATTCGAATTCCGAAGGTTTTCAGGATGTTGAGAGCGGCTAACGGTGGCATTGAGACTGTAAAGTAATCCGATGCTCTTTGCACGATGTCAAGAGTTGGAAATGTTATGGAATGCAAGCTGTCTTCTTAACTTCGGTGTCAGCTTTCGCAGTGGCAGCCGGGAAAGCAATCGGCATTAGTACAAGATGTCGAATCTACGTTTTCCATTGCAACAGCCACACTTGTAGTTCAATCGTTCCACTGCTCTTATATAGAAACTTGAAGACTATTAAGGCTGACTGTCAAAAGCCTCTGCTGGTAGACCCAGATGAAGGTCTCATCAATGGTCTCATGGCCTCAAATCGGGCGAAATGCTCTGCCCGGAAGGCTGGACAACTTCTAGCAGTGGCAAAAAGCGGCCAGACGATGTTTAAATCTGTTCGCCTTGCTACGCATTTGATTCGTTAAAACATAATATGACACCAGAATCAATGGGCCTGTCGCCAACCAACGCTGAGTGCTGATGGTCGCAGCTCCCCGCCTCATTTGCACCGCCGCAGCCACGAATTCTGCCTGCTTGGCTGGCCATGACTTTTGCCCGGGCATAGTCAGATGCAGATTTCGGAAAGTTTTAAAATGCCGAAGAGCCTTCATCAGAGTGGAACCACGTAACCCTGCACAAGTTACTGGGAATTCTGGTAAATTTGAGAGGCTTCTGGGATACATGATAGCCGCAGTGATACATAGCGATCAGCCTGATAACACATGCGGCAGAAACGATGAAATCACCGCAATATCCAGGTAACCTGGCAGTCGTGCTGAAATTATACAGTCCTGATTATCTATTCAAATCCAGGCTCTGTAATGAAGACAATTACGATGCCTTCAGCTTCTCCTCCTCCTTAAGCTCGTGAACCAGAACGCGGGGGCCCTTAGGAATAATAAGCGGCCCAGTGATCCCCAACACTCTCGTCCTCGCACCACCATACCCTTCCTTAAATCTCGAAACCCACGTATCCGTCGTACTGAAGAACGCGCCATGCGTCCTCCCGCTCTGATCCCAGTACAACCTTCTGAACCAAAGGTGCAGGTTCGGGTAATCGTTTCGGATCGTGCCCAGATTACACATGAAGATCGGGACATACGCGACGTCAAAGCGAGCAATCGTCGGGAATAAGCGGACATCAGCCTCAGTAATATGATCGCCAGTCAGAAAAGGCCGGTCCTTGAGGATATCCTCCAAGCGATCCAGGGATTTGAACAAGGCGTCGACGTTCTCCTCGTAAGCGGACTGTGTAAACGCAAACCCGCTCTTGTAAACACCGTTATTAACAGTGTGATACACCCACTCATTGATCTCATCAATCTCCTTACGCTTCACCTCAGGGTACAGCCCCCCGCCGGGTCTACTCCCCTCGCGATCCGCCTCGGGAAGGAGGTGGTCAAACTCGGTGTAGAGCATGCGGATGATCTCGCTAGACTCGTTGCTGACGAGCGTGTGTGCCTTTTTATCCCAGAGAACAGGCACTGTGACGCGCCCGTCGTAGCCAGGACTCGCTTTGAGGTAGAGCTCCTTGATCGTCATGAAACCGTAAACAGGGTCGCGTGGGAGGACGCCGAATTTGGCTGCCTCGGGGCTGTCTGTGAAGTGCCAGCCTTCCTTGCCCATGCCCATGTCGGCGATGTAGAGGTCTACGACGTCCTCTAGGCGCTTGAGAGCGCGGACGATCATGACCCGATGGCACTGGTTGACGGTCGTATTAGCATGGGGTGCCTAACTTGACGAGCGCTTGGTCATCATGTGGGTTCTTGTTCTGTTTGAGTACTTGCCCATGGACACCCTGGGCTGACGTAAAGCGCATAGCGACCTTTCTCAGCTGGAAAGTCGGAGTTGGTATCTTTCGAGATGAAGCTGCGGAATTTAGCTTCGGTGCGCTCGAAGCTCCCGCCTTTCCCGGGCTGGTATCGGATGGGGTCTTTCTGTAATGAAGTCATTAGCGTGCATGTTTTTGGAATCATTGAATACATGCAGCCGTACCTCTTCACTCATATTAAGTTAGTGGTAAAAGAATAGTTTTTGAGTAAGAAGGGATGTGGAATCCTCGATAGTTGATCAATGGGCGATATCAGATCTCATATAAGTGCGATCACGTATTAACACAACTTGAACCGGTGGGATTCAAAGTGTACTGTGGCGTGATGAGGGGTCTTCTATTAGCGGCCTAGGTGGATTGCTTTCTTAAGAAGCACATGAAGGGAGTAGACGTGCTTCCAAAGGTGAAGATGACGTAAAAATAGACTTCTTCAACTTCCCCGCTCTGGAACGCTGCATCAGTCCCGCGCGGTTCGGAACTCCGAGCGCTCGTGGCGCGCGGGACCGGCAGAAGTAGTTGGGATGGAAGTCCAATTTGTCAGCTTTGTCTTCACGAGTCTACCGGTAGTCTGAAGTTCATAAGCTTTTAGCATTGTAGGAATGATTACCTTTTTGACTTCCCACATGCATCAAATGCACAGCATCGACTGTCAGATGTCGAGAGCAAACAGTCTCAAGTAATTCCTTGAGTTAAGAAAATCTGACTTGAAATCATACGGTAGCTCTTTTCTACCGGTAGTGTGCTCTAACTAAAGCAGTCTCTTTCCAGCCCGTGTCTAGACACGGTCTATCGTAAGGCATCTAGTCTAAACCTTTGGCTTAAGCCCATCAAACATGACGTCTACTCCTCTTTGACATCAAAGTCGTTGCGGCCTTAAATGACATCCCTCACAACAACTTTCCCTCCTCATCGAGCCCAGCTTTCCAAGCCTTGTAGTCAAACCCAAGCTCCTCCAACGTCGTGACCTCGTGCCTCCTCTCCCCTAACTTCCTCGACGCAATCTTGATCAAAGGAAACCGCTCCCTCGTCCATCGCTTCTCATCATCCCAGTACGGCGGGATCTTTCCCACTCCATCATTCTCAAGACCCTCCTTCTTCTCCGCCTCCAGGCTCCGCGTGTGGAGCATGTTGATGTACTCTAGATCCTTGGGAAACGCCAAGTTATGCAACATCTTACTCTCCCCCTTTTCCTTCAGCATCTTTACCTCCCACTCCCTCATCTCGCCGCGAGTCGGTAGCCGCAGACGATCCGCCCACGCGCGCGCAACGTACGCCGCCTGACCCTCCGATACAGGGAACGGCACGATGCGCTGCGGGATACCTGCGAACGCGAGCGTCGGGTCGTCAATGTAGAGGAGATGCTCGTACAAGTTCCGCGCGTAGGCACCGTCCGTGACCACGGGAGGGGAGAGATCGCGGAGGAAGGGGAAGCTGTAGAAATAGCCCGTACAGAAGACGACGCCATCGATACCCGATTCGGTCTCGCCGTTGGCGAAGCGGACTTGCCTGTTCTCAGGAATGAATTCGAGTATCTCGGGGACGGGCCTTGCCCAGGACGAACGGTCTTCTGCGGGGGTGTTGGGGACGGTCTTTTCGGAGATGATGATGGGGAGGGCGCAGACTGTTGAGATTTGAGCGCTTAGGTCGATGCCCGAGGCCGAGTTGCCGACGATGACGACTTTCTGTGATGGTGTAAGTAACTATGAGCAGGACAAGGGGCTAGACTCATGGCTCATCTCACTTTTCCCTCGTACTGTGCGGCATTTCTGTAAAACTTTGAGTGTGAGATGGAGCCTGGGTGTGCCTCATCGAACTCGGCGAGGCCAGGGATGTCTGGGATAAAAGGGTCGTTGTAGTGTCCGCTCGCTACGAAGACAGCGTCGAACTGCGCTTTGCTCGTCTCATGTGTCTGAAGGTCCAGGCTCTCAATCTCCCAATAGACCTCACTGCCGCTCGAGGACTTTCTGACTGAGATGATTTGCGTCGACAGAGAGATGATGGGTTTCAGCTCATCGGCATAGTCTTCCAGATACTTCTTCACTATTTGATGGGGAGGGAAAAGCGAGGCGTCCGAGGGGAACTTTTTATCTGAATAGTTCATGAGGGTGTGGGGGATGTTTGTCTCCAAGTAATCGTACACGGGAGAGACGAATTGCTTGGCATCGTGTCCCTCGACTGCGATGGCCGTATCCGGGTTCTTGGTTGGCTGTGTTCTGGGAATGCTGAAGTCGCCATCAGTGACGTTCAAGGGGCTGTATATCCAGACGCCGCCAACAGTATCTCTCTGCTCAAATATTTGGACCTTGGAGAACTTCTTCTCCGCTAGCAGGTACCTGATAAGGCACAAGTAAAGCAAGTAAGTATAAGGTTGTTAGATTCGTCGGCTGGGGCCGGATCGGCGGGCTTACTTTGCAGCAGCCAGACCGCACGGCCCGGCGCCGATGACGGCGACCCGATCAATGTTAAGCTTGTCTTCCAGGTACATGGGCGACATGATGGCGGCGGAGTCAGGCCGGGTCTGGACGTGAGGAGGGGTTGTAGAGAAGCGAGAAAGCGATAATATGGAGGGGTATCTGTGCAGCACCACTGATGAAACCCTCGGACGATGACAACGAAAAGAAGACTCGGCTTTATGGAAAGAGTGACGAGCAACTCTGAGCGATTTGTGCTTTATGCTCCGCATGAGCATCAGCCGATTTACACTCTTGGGTCTTTAGATTTCTGACGAGAGTATCCGTACAGAGACTACAGACGAACCTTGGTTCGGCGATATGCTTCTGCTGGTCGGACGAACGGCCCACTAAGTCGCAGCAAAAGGAATGACTGCCAACACGAGTCGGACTTGGCCCGACCACGTCAGTGCCAGCGCCAGGCTCGGTAGGTGTTTGTGCGAGTCGGGGGCGTGTTGGGCGGGTGGGGGAAGATCACAACCGCTCTAGAGCGTTCTTGGGATGAACATTTGTTTCTCATGCAAGTCATAGTTATTTAGCTACTGTTTCTCCAGTTTCTATGTCAAACTGTTTTTGCTTTCAAGTACTCCGTAGTTGATGCTTCACTTGAAGCTCTGAGTTGCCGACTTTGACAATTTAGCAGCACAACCCCAACTGCCGGCCGGCCCCTTATCTTTCACTCTCCCTTCTCCCCCCCTTCAACACGAAGAAAAAATAATGAGGAAATATTAACTCCGAATGACGCATCCCCGACAGCGGGGCCAAACTGGGCCGACTAAACTAGAAAAACCGCTCTAGGGAGGCTTCTTATTCGTCGCCCCTGAACAGGCCGTGGTAATGGCGTGCTCTACGCCCGCTTGAGTCGTGGTCTTCCACCATCGGCAACTGTCTGGTACTCGGGTACTTTTGTACTGTACTCCGTACTCCTGGTCTCTCTATTGCCGGCCGGTTCAAGGCCTCCCAGTCCCAGCCCCAGGCTCAGTGACTATCGGATCTGCGCGGAGAGTGACCTGGGCAGAAGCAGAGATGGTGTGTACGTGTATCCGTAGTGTGTGCTAAGGTAGGACAGCCTCGTTGCGACGCTGGGGAGGGGAGAGAAGAGAATTTTCACTCTTCTTTTCTTTGCAAAGAATGATTATCACTCAACAAAAAGATCGCCATCATACTACGAGTCCCGTAGCCATGGAAACGCACAGCCGCTGAAGAACTCTCTGCCTCTGCCCTGCAGATGACGATCCATTGAGAAAGTAAAGCAAGGTGACCACAAGCGGAGAGGTTCCCGACTCAGCTCCAGTCTCGCTTCTGTTCGAAAAGGGATCCCACTCCCAGCCGACCAACCGGTTGTGTATGCGACGTGTCCAGCGTAGAAACGCCCCCAAAGTCCCCGACAGCCCCGACACGAAACGGGCGTTCAGTCGGCGTCTCGCCGTCGCCCAGTCCATTGGCATTCCCGCACCGTCGCAATGTCGCCCGAACATATCAGATCGAACATTCATCGCTTTCGCGTCCGACAGACATCCCCATCCTCGTCAGCCCTGCGTCGCTCAGCTTCCCCTCCTGCCGTACGCCCTCCACTGCCGCCCCAGACACCGTCCTCAGCAGCCCACCCGGGACCTCCGGATACCGTCCCCGATGTCTCATCGTCAGCAACAGCAGTAGCAGCCATCGCGGCGTCAGTCTCGGGCTCGGCCCCAGCGCCGCCGTCTTCAGGTCCAATCTCACCGGCGCTGACGGGTCAAAGTCCTACCGCAATTCCTAGTGCCGCCAACATCTCCGCTTCCGTAGCAGCATCAGCATCGGCGGCGGCGGCGGCGTCGTCATCCATCTCAGCATCGTCGCCAAAGGTCGCCCGCGACATCCCCGCCTGCGACCGCTGCCGCAGCTTCAAGAAGAAATGCAGCCGCACTTTTCCCATCTGCACCCTCTGCGCCAACGCGGGACACAAGTGCTCCTTCTCCACGCCCGCCGCCTCCACTGCTGCCCAGACGCACCATCTGCGCGCCCGGATAGAATGGCTCTCACGCTTCATCAACGAGAACCTCCCTGTCGCCGGCGCCCCTGGCGTAGAGACCCTTGATACAGGCACGGATATCGCCTCCGTCTTGGGATCCTCGCCGGCTGCTACCACGACAACCACAGCCGTGGGTCAGCCGATGGAAATTCTTCCAGCCACGCCGGCGGCGAATGGGGCCACGCCCGGGTCTATCATTAGTGCTGAGAGTAATCGTGGGGAACCGCGGGACACTTTCGCCGTGCACCAACAACCGCTTGGGACATCGGGGTCGATTCTGTTTGACCAGAGGAGTCTCGCGGTCAACGTAGAGTCGGAATTATCATCGTCAAGGGGCAATGATCACATGCGAGCTCTGCTTCAGCCCGCACCGGAGCCCGGAAGGATTCTTGGCATTGAGAGCCTGCGCGACGGAGAAGGCTTCACGTCATCGAGCTTGCCCCGCGACGCCATTGCTCGTAGGTTCGTTGACGCCTACTTCCGCAACGTCAACCGGGCGTACCCTTTTGTCAACAGGACAAAGGTCCTCCGGGACCTCGAGTCACTCGGCGAATCGTCCAAGCGGCGCAGGGATGCCGACTCTACTTTACTGTATCTCATCATGGCGATTGGGTGCACCACCCTACAGCGCGCCGGCCAAATCCCCAACGACACGGCCTCCAAGTTCGACGTGGCCTATGCCGACATCATCCAGGAGTGTCTTGTAAGAGAGGACCTCGAGTCGATCCAGATCCTCGTCCTAGTGGCACTGTATTCACTCTTCGACCCAAAGGGCATCTCCACGTGGTCTATAGCAGGCATCGTCTCCCGGCAGGCCATGCTCCTCGGCCTGAGCAGGAGATCCTCCGAGGACAAGAACCTTTCGGCCATGGACATTGAACTTCGGCACCGCCTATTCTGGAGCATTTACGTCCTAGACCGGATGATGGCCATCTCTCTGGGTCTCCCCGTAGCCCTCATTGACGAAAACGTCGATGTCCCGCTACCAGGCCTCACAATCGAAGAGTTCGCCTCCCCGGACCGTCAACACTTCGCCTCCATCCTCCAGACAAATCGCCACGTCATCCAGCTCAGGCAGCTCGAAGACCGTATTCTCAAACAGATTCACACCCGCAAACAATCAGAGGTCGCTGCGCTCTCGCAAGCAGACAGGCGCGCCATCGTGCAGAACATCCGCTCCGAAATCGAGAATTGGTACAGCAACGGGTGCCTCGTCTCACCCCTGGAACCAGACAACGTCCCCATTCACAACTCAGTTACCTGGCTCAGCGCGCGGTACTACCATCTTCTCCTCCTCCTTCACTACCCCTGCCATTTCAACTCGTGCGGCTCCATCGTCTCCGCCGTCGAGCTGCTGCGTTTCGCCCAGAAACACCTCCAGTCGACCTCGGTCCTCCTCCAGCAGCGCCAGTTACCCCTGAACCGCGTTACTCTATGCCGCCTCTTTCCCGTCGGTCTAGTCCTAATTCACAGCTTCATCGCCTGCGCCGCAGAATGCACCTCTTTTTCGGCGCGCGACGAGGTCGCCGTCATCGTCAGCATCCTCGAGGCCTTCCCCGAGGGCTGGAACCAGGCGCGACAGGCAGCCCAGGTCTTTCGGCAGTTCATGGGCCTCATTTCTGGCGTGCCTAATAACGGGTACACGACGCTGCATTTTCCCGGGAACAACAACGTGTACGGCGGCGGCGGCGGCGGCGGCGGCCAGTTCTCGTCTAGAGAATCGTACCAGGCTATGGTGCGGCCGCTCATCACACGGCTAGTCGCGCTGATGCAGGAGGTCCTCGGCCGGTCGACGTGTTATGCCTTTCATGAGTTCCCAGACGATTGTGGTGGGCAGCCTTCGGCGCCGGCGGGGTTTAGGGGCCAGACTGCGTTTTCGCCCACAGGGCCTACGCGGCATTCGGCAGCGATGGGGAATGATGAGTCAGCCATGGACTATGGCTGGGGTTCTTTGGAACTGGGGTTTCTCTGAGATGATGTTGTCTTGTAATAGCCAGCTGATGGTTTCACTTCCTTTCGTGCCTAGATACCTTAATGTGTTGTAGCGATGAATCAATTTTGACTTTACTGATATTGCCACACCTCTGATTCTCCAGACATGTTCAAATCATCCTGGCGTAGTGATTACATCAAATATCACAATTCTTTAGTGTCAGGAATAGCCTAGTATGGGGATGGAGAGCCTTGGCTTCCAATTTGGACTTCGCCAGGGCCTGTCTGGATCACTCATCATGATAAGAACCTGTTCATATTCCGTCCGCACCCAGAATCGTGGCATATCCACCGGAGGGCAAGGGGCTTTGCTCGAGTAGGAGGAAAGAGCATCCTGCAGTAAACTCCCCGGAATGGAGGCGTCAAACGGGCTGGGGTCACGGATTACTGTGAACTTGTACCCATAAGTCTGAGTAGTGAGGGTCTAGGAGCAAGGGGAAACCCAAGAACGCTCTAAGCGAGGGGCACCAGGGAGTCGCGTCAATCACATCATTATCTACGAAGTACTCCGTACCCTATCGGTACTTTCTGTGGAAATACCAGCCATTTGAAGTCTCCTTCACACGTCTGCAGCGTCCAACTCTCATCCAATTAGCCTATACCACTACTCCGTACTTTTGACCTAATTACTTGACCGCATGCCCTTCTCTGCAATCATGCCCATGAAGTTGAGCTCCGCCTCCATGGCCTTGGTGCCTGCGCCCATAGGGCTAGCCGTCGGGTACAGAGCCTCCAACTGTACCTCCTTGGTATGAATCTTGGGCTCCTCCTTGCTGCCGACCATCATGATCTCGAGCACGTTGCCGTTGCCGTATTGCTCCTCTGTCAATAGCGAGAACATTGCATTGGCGAGGTCCTCGGACGATAGGGCGAGGTCTTCAGCTGGCAGGCGGTCGCGGCAGAATTCTTGATCAAAGAGGGGTGTCTGCGATTAGGTTAGTTTCTGTTATTATTTGAACAGGCTTGAAGGTGCTCAACGTACCCTCGTAGGTCCAGGACAGATGACAGAGTTCCTAATCCCCACCAACTTCTTCAGCCCCTGGAGAGACTTGACGACGCTCAAAACAGCCGCCTTACTCGCAAAGTAGAATGGCGTCTGGATGGAGTGAATGTAGCCACCCATACTCGACACCCAGAGGAGATTCCCCTTCACCTCGCGGTTCTGCAGCCAGTAGTCGATGGCGATCTGCGCCAGGCGGATCGGGCCGATGGTATTGACGTTGAAGATGTGGTAGGACCCCACCTCGGCGTCCGCATCGTCCTTGGATTCTGGCGAGACGCCGGGCGGGTTCCAGAACGACGACCAAGGCGGCTCGAAGATGCCGGCGTTATTGACGACGATGTCGACGCGGCCGAATGTCGCAAGGGTTGCGGCCCAAAGGGATTTGAGCTGCGCCCAGTTTGTTGTGTCTGTTTTGTGGAAGGCGGCCGAGGGTTTGTCCGGGGAAGGGGAAGGGTGAGGGAATTTTGCGATGGTGGTCTCGGCCTCGGGGCGTAGGGCGAGGTCTGCTATCACTACGGAGCAGCCTTCGTTGAGGAGACGCTGGGCGATGGCTAGACCGATGCCTACATAGAGGATTCAGGTTTCAGTGTACTCCGTAAGCCGGTGATCAATGTGTATCGTCACTGCAAGTTAGGTAGAAATGGAAACTGCGTACCAGATCCGGCTCCTGTAACCAGGGCTACCTTTCCCTTGACCTCGTATTCGATAGTCATGTTAAGTCGTCAAAGTGCGAGCTCGATGGTATAGATTCTAAGTGCGGATCTGACTCGCTTCCGTCTGTTGATGAATAGGAAATGCACAACCATATGTTCTTCGGCACACTGGGTTGGTTCAAAGAGCAGGAAGAAAGGGGGATCAATTACATGACTTGCTAGGTAACATCAAAACCGTTGCCGGATGGTCTTATAGGATGAGGATCTTCGTCCCAGGGCCCTTTTCCAGATATGCTAAGGAAGGTCAAGACGGACGGACTTTTCAGGAGGATGGGCGGTCAACGACCAGGGCCCCGACTCTAGTTATCTCCAAGACGACAACTTGATTTGACCCCGCGTTCCTGCATCCATCCTAGGTCCAGCTGTCAAACGGGGGTAATGCGGGCGGGTGTTGGGTCAGGCCATCCGCGGGCTGGGTATCCATCCTGTTGGACTTCGAATGCCTACTCCACCCCGCATAAGTTGTGCGTGGTAGATAGTTCGAGGTCGAAAACGATCGCTGTCATGGAACTTGGACAAATGCCCATATCCCACACACTTTTAGTTAACAGTACTATTAATCTCTAGCACCTTGAATAAAAGCCAGAAAGCATCACATCAGAAAACCAAGAAAAGTCCTATCTACAGGCGGAGTCCCCCTCGCTCCCTGTTGCCAAGATGTTGTTGGTGCCGGGTTTCTATATGCCACCTTTCGCTTTGACGTCTCCCATCCCCATGCCACATGTCTAGGGCCCCTGTCAGCCACCGCATCCTATCACACACCCAACATCCCACACTGATGCATGTGCTGGGGGTTCCAATCCGTCTAATTCTCCAACAAACTCTTTGGGATTGACCCTAGCTTGAGGTATTCGTACCTGACGCGGTTCGCAGCTGCAGCTGAATCAGGCAAACGCACATGGGAACACGCTCCTTCAAGTTCAGACCAGGGATGTCAGGGGCCAAGTTACGTTGAAGAATTTTGGTCCCAGCCATGAGTGACCACGGTCACGACCTCCGCTCCAGTGGCAAGGTTTGCTGTCTGTACATTTTTTTCGGATTTCTCTTTGCTACTCGTACTAGTCTTTACAGAATGTAGAAACTGATTCAACTCCTCTTTGAGACTCGTCCCGGAAAACCGCCTTTGATCCCGTCTCAACTACCACGGAATCGACGGAGTGGACGCGTTATGTCGAGTGCGGCCGCAGACGATACGTGGCAGGCCATCGAGCCTCAGGGGCTCGCGCTGGGTCTTTTGGTCACTACCGTCACGTTGGCGATTCTAACGACTATCGTCATGGCCATGCGCATGTTTATTCGATTCAAGACGAACAAAATCGGCTCCGACGACTGGGCCATGTTGACAGGATTCGTAAGTAGACCATACTCCTGTCGGTAGACAGAGGCTAACTGAGAGAACGTCTGTTTAGTCTGTTAACTTGGGCCAATCCGCTGTTGCGATTTACGGGTCTTTTACCGGTATTGCGAGTAGAGATGAGACAATGAATCAGGCGACGAGCATTGAGGGCTACAAGGTACGCCATGACGGCATGGCGCAGACCTATCTCATACAAATTAATTGATCTAGAGTTGCTAACACTATTTCGTCAACGGCGACTAGACACTATTGATCTGGCAAGCTTTCTACGCCGGCAGCTTGTGCTTCATCAAATCCAGCATCTGCATCACCCTCATGCGCATCACGAACCAAAAAGTCTACCTGTGGATCCTGCGAGGATTGATAGGTCTCTCCTTTCTGATGAGCGGTTCTGGCCTTATCGTCATTCTGAATCAGTGTCACCCCCTCGATAAGTACTGGGACAAGAGGATACCGGGCACCTGCTGGCCACCGATCGTAGCCACCGCGCTCTCTTACGGGGCCTCCGTCGCCAACGTCATCACCGACTTCAGCGTTGCGGCAATTCCGTTCTTTCTGCTTCGGCATGTACAGATGCGTTCTCGACTCAAATTCTACGTACGGCTAATTCTGGGATTGGGTCTCTTGTAAGCTTGATACCTCGAGAGCTCTGTCATATGAAAGAGTTTGCACACAAGAGGCTTTTGACTAATTACCTTGGTGACAGGGCTGGTATCGCGAGCATCATCCGAGTCCCTTTTACGAATGCTTACATGAAAGCCAGTGATATTCTGTGTAAGAAACATGGCTACCCCGAGTAGTCTCCCAGTACTTGTTCGAGGCAGTATACTGACAGCCCGGCTACTGTAGACCACGCAGGTAACATAGTCCTCTGGACTATCGTCGAATGTGGCCTAGGCATCATTGCTGGCTCGCTACCGATGCTACGAGCCTTCTTCAAGCGGCTGGCCAAGGATACCAGCACACAGGAACCCTACAATCGTTCGGGTGATACCAATCTCGTAACCTTTGGGCAGGGCAAGGGACGACAGGGGCCGATATACGAAACGGATTTGGGAGTGACGGTGATCGGAGGAGCTGGGGATAATGAGAGCAACAACAGCAACCATGACGATGACGCGGAGAGCACGCGGCGAATCATTAAGGTCACGAGAGAAGTACGGCATAGTGTTACTGAAGAGAGGGAGACTTTACCGGTGAAGAGGTGACGCGTGTATGATTCAGAGTTGATAAGAGCGTCTGTGAATGAATAGGTACTCGTACCCAAGTAACATGGAACCTCTTGTCTACAAGATGGAGGGTGTTCCAGACAGGAATGCGACGCCATCCGTCAAGGCGTGCTGTCGCTGCGCATGGAATTCGCATGAGACTCTAATTGGTGTACCGCAGCCATTATACGCAAACCAAATTCGACCACTTGTGACTTCATTGGGACTAGATATTCAAGTGTGTTCTGATCTCTCCCAAAACCACCTCTGGCTTTTCGGCATGAACACCATGATTGGCACCCTCAACTAACAGAAGTTTGGCGCCGGGAATTCTTTCAGCAATCAACTTGGAGTTTTCTGCAACGCCATTAGCTTAACGTTGGTCAAGCTCCTCGACAACTTTGGTAAATTTCTTACCTGGAGGACAAATCCAATCCTTGTCACCAACTACTACCAATGTCTTGGCTGTGATCTTGGATAGTTGCTCGGTATAGTCAAAGTACTTCTCTTTCTCAGAATAGAGATCATCTGAGTCGATTGTTAAAAAGCCTGCACATTGAACAGATACACCTTGAGCGGGGATGTTCACTTACTGTGAGATTCGGCAACGTAAACTCCATCAAGGTTGCTTTTCAACGCTGCATCGGGGTCGAACGTTTCTCTATACAGCGGCATCATGGCGAAGTAAATCATCTGAAACTCGCGATCGCTTTCATATGCACCAAAGACCTTGTTCTTCAACATGTCGACGGAGAAGCTGGGAACTTTGTGTATCCTCGCCTCTAAAGTTCTGATGGCGCCGGCCTCATCTGGTAGTGGTTTTGTCAATACTCAGCCCCTGTACAGCTAGTGCAGATTTCAGAACTCACGGTGATGAGACGCTGCAGTTCCTCTGAGAATCAGATGTGATACCTTCGGGGCGTATTTGATGGCATAGTGTTGCGCCAGGAACCCGCCGAAACTACCGCCGCAGACGATGACCTGATCATCAGCGACGAAATGCTGCCTTACCCCTTCGATATCGTCGACAATTTGCTCAAAGGTGTAAGGCTTAGTCAAAGAACTTTGACCATGCCCACGGTAATCGAAGGAAAGAACTCGAATCCTATCGCTTAGTTGGCTGTAGATTTTGAAGTCGGACTTGTGATCACCTAGAAAGGACAAATTCTTAATCAGTAAGCCTGTCTTGGTATGCGGAGATTACAGTAATTGTACCCATTCCACGACCGCCATGTAGCGTGATCATGAGCGGTGCATTTTCTGGCCCAGTTATGCGGTATGCCAGACGGGCGCCATTGATGTTTACAAAGTCTACCATCTTGTCTTGAGCCCCGGGTTAGTGGTTTGAGAGTAGCGCCTATGTTTCCAAGGACTCATCAGAAATCCCTCAAGCTCACGTACAAGGTAGATCTTTTGCCTATAGACTTGGAGGCTTCTATCACGTCAGTCCATCCTAGTGTTGAGGACTTCTTTCGAGACGCCTTTCTGTTATCCGATAGGCGTATCGCATGAAAAGCCGAAGAAGCGGGGAGAGATCCAGCGAGACGAAGCAAGGGGATTAGCCCGGGATCTGCTTGGCGTGCGAGTAAGGAGTCACTAAGGACCGGAACTAGCCCGACAAAAACTGCCAAAAGGGGTAAAGACACGAGGCCCCATTCCGATACCACATCGGAAGGAAAAAAGATTTTGTCCTCAATGGCGCTTTGTTCGCCGCCAATGGTGAGTCGGTGACGGCACATTTTGGTCAATTCGACTTGAAGAAACGACTGCTGATGTCGTGCTCGACCCAGTAAAAATCGTTATCAAGTCTCTTTTTCGGACTATCGACCGATTCTCGAGTGTCTCTAGGGAGGGATATGCTATGATAAAGAAACTTCTGCCCAGGTTCAATCTTCACTTTGCCCAGGGAAGCTCCAATAGCTTGGCTCAATTCACCGACCGTAGGCCGTGTTGAAGCTGTCTTGTCATCGTGCGACGAAATCAGAGTCAGTAACAGCTGCATATCGAACCAGGATGGCGCTGCACCTCGATACCAACGCGGCCAATGCCATTAAGACCGTCGACCCAACCAACCGGAGCCACGTCAAGGACGGCGTTTCCGCGACCTCCGCCGTTGCCGAGGCCGATACCAAGCCGGAGCCCCCACAGCAACCTGAAGCTGCCGGATGGTTCCACTGGCACGAACCCGGCACGTCGCCGGAAGAGAAGAAGCTGATCTTCAAACTGGATTGGTTTCTACTCTCATTCTCTTGTCTTATGTTCTTCATTAAACAGGTGAGCATGTACTTCCCGGCCCCAAGAGTCGCATTTTGTTGGTTTGCTAACTCCAGTACCCCTCTGTAGCTTGACCAGAACAACATTTCTAATGCCTACGTATCCGGCATGTCGGAAGAGCTCGGCTTCGGTCCTGGCAACGAACTCTCCTGGATGAATACGTACTTCAACATTGGAACAATCATTGGCGGTTCTTTTGCCAATCTAATCATCACTGTCGTCCGGCCGCGCTTCTGGCTGACCGGATGCCTCTGCACTTGGTCTCTCTTCGTACTCTTCCTCTTCAAGTGCCAGAACGCTACTCAATTCTACGTCCTGCGTTTCTTCATCGGCTTGTTCGAGTCTGCAGCCTGGCCCGGCGTCATGTACGTTCTTGGATCGTGGTACCGCAAAAGCGAGCTGTCTCGCCGTTCCGGCCTCTTTGTCATGAGCGGTGTCTTGGGGCAGATGTTCTCTGGCTATCTTCAATCTGCCTTGTATTCGGGCATGGGCGGAAAGGGTGGCTTATCGGCGTGGCGATGGCTTTTTGTCTTTGACTTCATTCTTGCCATCCCAGTGGTGATCTATGGTGTCGTGAGTACCCTTCTTCAGCATCGTCGTATCTTTCTAACCCCATTGCCAGATTTGCTTCCCCGACACCCCTCACACTACAAAGGCTTTCTACCTAAACGACTGGGAAAAGCAGCGCGCCCGCGAGCGCATTGAAGAAGAGGGTCGCAAGCCCGTCGGCAAGATGAACTGGTCCGTCATTAGCCGCGTCTTCGGCTCGTGGCAGGTTTACGCCTTCACCGCAGCCTACTCTTTCTGGACTTTGACCTGCGGCTCCTACATCATTCAATACTTCACTCTATACCTGAAGTCTACAAAGATGTACACTGTGCCGGAGATCAACAACATCCCCACCTGCGTCGGCGCCATCAACTTCGTCTTTATGGTTTCCACAGGCTACGTCTCCGACAAGATTGGTCGGCGCGGGCCCGTCTGTTTCGCTGTCGGGTGTCTCCTCACGTTCGTGTATGCCGTTCTCGCAGCGTGGAGCGTGCCGCATATGCTGCGCATGGCCGTGTTCATCCTCGCAGGATGCTATGGTTGTTACACACCTTTACTGGCTGGATGGGCGAACGAGGCCTGCGGTGGCGATCAGCAGAAGCGTGCCTTTGTGCTTGGCTTCATGGTTTCGGTCGGCCAGGCTGTTGTAATTCCCTTCCAACAGCTGCAGATGCCGAGCGGACAAGCCCCTGCATTTGCCAAGACCCATGGGTGGGAGAGCGCGCTTGCGTTTGTGGTGTCATTGACTGTCTGGACTGGCGTTGGTCTGCCGTTGCTTCAAAAATGGAGAGAATCTCGGGTGAAGTTCAGCACTCACGAGAGTCATAGCGATGAGGCTTAATTGGTTTGCAAAGTGAAGGATCAAGAACGGGAGAATGTATGATCGAGAACAGGTTCTTAAAGCGCTCATGTCAATGTGTTTTCAGGGTAATGGGGTACTAGTGGAGTTTCCAAACGTGGGCGAGATGAGACACTTATACCTTTATGATAGACATCATGTGAGTAATTAGTTTTGCAGTTTGAAGTAAGAATCAGTGCCATTGACTAGGTTGGTGTATTCAATACAAGAAGGTTAAAGCCATACTGTGAAGAAAGGAAAGTTCCAGACATCCCATCGTGTATCCATGCCACAAATCCAGGGCTCCCTTCAAGCATCTACAAGTAGATACTCCTCTGATCAAGACGCATATGCCCTACTGAAATTGCACTTAGGCGAGGGCAGTCTTGAGGAAAGTGCCTGCGGTGTTGACATCAGAGCCATAACCAAGGTGACCAGAGGCGCTAGCGCTCGAGCAGCTTCCGGAGCTGGCGCAGCCACCAGCAGAGCATACGCCGTCGCCAGCAGCGCAGAAGCTCCTGAACTTGGCGGTAGCGACACCAGTGACGGCTTGGCCCTTGAACGGGTCACCAAAGGTGACGGCCGCGGCGACGGCCTTGCCCGAGAGCTTCTTAGCGGCGTTGTGGACGACCATGCCGCCCTGGCTGTAGCCGGTGAGGACGATCTTGGTCTGGGGGCACTTGCTCAGCCACGAGTTGGCCTGGTTAGCCATGGCGACGCTGCCAGGGCCGGAGCCAGTGCTCTCAGACATGATGCCGCCCATGTCAGCCGGGTAGGTGGTGCCCTCAAAGACGGAGTCCGGGACATTGGAGGCAACGGCCTTTTGAAGACCGGGGCCGACGACGCTGCCGAGGGTGCCCATCTCGGTGGTGCCGCGAGCGAAGAGGACGGTGAAAGCTTTGCAGCCTGAGGTCTGGCGGATCTCAACGGGGCTGGCAGCCGCAAGGGCGGCGAAGATGACGGTGGTGATGGCGGCGGTCTTCATATTTGGTGAGGTTGTTTGGTTGTTTGTCGTGGTTTTAGAAGTGAATGTCTTGTCAAAAGAGCGATGTTTATTATGGCGATAGTCGAAAGAGTGTGTGCTGCACTTGGTTGGCAGATGTGTGACTAAAAAAAGCGAAGGTAAGAAGTCGTGAAGGGACTGGATGGTTCTTGATGTTCCTGATGATCCTTCAACATCTTGTCTTATGCTCAGTGATATCTCATGCTCTTATACCTCAAGGCCTGTCAGTCCAACTCCCGAAGCTCAAAGTCTTCACATATCGATAGGAGGATCAGGGATAGCCTCATAGGAATCACGATGTCATCCCAAGTTTGAGGCGATGGAGCCTAGTTCGTCCAAAAACGATGTTTCTTGCGATTCCCCCGTTTCATACTGATTGGTGGCTTCGTCCGGAGACACCAATGTCTCAACCTGTCGTTCGCAATCAAAAAATATCGGGAAGCATCTGTGCGGATTGACACGGCACTCCCGTCGAGGATCAATGCGGCTTGACACTGGTCTCTCTGCGGCAATACCACCGGACGGAAGACCGTGCATAATGTTCTGTTCCTGTTGGAATGCAGGCATCCTGACAAGCCAGAACTGCCTTAGAGCGCTTGGACTCAGCCATCACACCTGTCAGACCCAGTTGATTGGTTCTTAGTTGGTCTGTCTGGTCGCACCATTCACGGGGTTCAGGAGATATTTCCCATTTCTCAATATGCAAATCGTTTCTTCTCCAACACCCATGGGCTCACAAACGGGCGATGTGGGCACAGCTACCACACCGTTGTCTTGGCCATGAAGACAAAACAGGGAGGTTTCCCTTTTTCATACCCCACAGTCAAGTTGGTTGCTCCGAACTAACCGACTATTGGTAAAAAAAATACTGGAGATTCTCGAAAGGGAACCATTCATTGGATTGTTCTGGACCGAGGCTCTGAAGCCTTAGTGCGCCGCTCGGTCGGTAAGGAGGATGCCGGGAAAGATCCTCCCTGAAGGAAGATCACGGATCAAGTGGGCGCCAATCGCATCTCATCCTCCTCGATATCAGGCTCGAAAAGTTCCGAAACAAGGATATCCATCTTTGTTGTACTCAATGAGTCGTTCTCAACTTGATTTACATATCACATATCTCAATCATGTGCATTTGATGTGGAGGGCTCGTGTATAGACACAAGCAAGTTTGATGATGTGGCGGGCGTCATTGCAATAAATTGAAGTGGGAAAACAATATGAATCATAATGGTTGTCCTATTATATGTGGAAGGACTAGAACGTTCATATTGGCACCGGTCGGCATGAAAAGGATGTTGATCCAAGGCCCGGCAGATAAGCATACAACCCACCGTGACTTATCGATCCTCTTAATTGCAGGGGTAAGTCAAGCTATTCAGGTTCATCTCCGTCGATGGACACTAGAAGAAACACGCTGGTGGCCTGGAACTATTCTAAGCCATCTTCGTACTTGGCTCTATGATCATGAGCTCTGGAAGGATTATTAGAGCCGATCATGAATTAATCAATCAGAAGTGGCTTGATCTTCTTCGCCACTGTCCCTGCAACCCCTCACCCAGTATTTGCCCGCACCGCCTCACGTCAAAGTAAGCCTTCCTTGCAAAGGTTCGGCAGGTTTGAGAGAACAACTCAGCCTCTACAGACCCTGGCCTGTATGGCAAAAGCCTCACGTCACAGGCATACTCATGATACCCAAAGCAGACTCGGAAATCGCCAGCGGAAAGGCATCACCGACGCAATGAGTGCTTCTCGCCCTGTCTGACTCAGAATAATATCGTCCTGCCTCACTCTGAAGGTGCCTAGTCTAGACAAAGCAAGGCTTACGAGTGTGTCAAACATCGATACGACCTTCCTCTTCATCGCAGAGTAGCCCTTGTGTCCATCAAGGTGACGAATGCCGTCCATTCCGCGATCAACCTCGGTTCGTTGCAGTTGAAAGACACGTACCAGTGGATCATCACAGTCCCAACTGTCACAGAGGTCGATCCAGACGTTCTTCATGACGGGAAGGAGCCTGTTAGTCACCTGCACCAAGGCAACGTATGCCCAAATTCAAAGGTCGCTCAGATTGGAGGGTAGGAATCTGCCCAACGCTATTACAGTCCTTAAAGGATCAAACTGCAGCAGAATGTCTTGGTAACATGCTCCCATGAAATCAAATAAATCGGCCTTCGTTCTTCATCTAAGCACCGCCAAGCCCTACATGAAGCGTGGCGTGGGCAGCATTTTAACGAGTATTTTGCTTTTATTTACGCCCCACAGCGTTATTGCCATATGCCGAGAGCCGAAGAGAATGAAAGGGGGTTCGTTCCTGGTCTGCAGAGCCGTTTGGACCACCTGGAAAAAGCAACAATAAGACACCTTGTGGGACGAGGCTAGGTTCTGGATGCCCACAGTCCGAGCCCATTCCCAGAGCGTTCCACCCCAACGCTCTCCCACCATCTTCTCACAGACTTGGCGCCCGAAATTGTCCCCTTGTAAAGGCTCAGAGAGACACGCACCCATCCGCGCTGTTTTCGACAAAGATGCCACCCAGTATTTGTCCCTCGTTGAGATTGCTCTCCTGGAATCCATCGTTTACAACTGTCTTGGTCTCGGTGGGCTTTTTGAGCAAACCGATCTGCAACGCGCCGCCGCCTGCGTTGTTGTTCGGGAGGACCTCGGTGACGGACTTAAGCGGATCGTTTCCTTCCGAGAAGAAGACTTGGATTGTGCTAACGAATCATTAGACACCGAACAAGACCTACATCCTTCCGAAGCAACGAGGATGGGACGATTAAACTTACTTTTTGGGGACATCGAGGGTGACCGCCCAGTTTTGCCAGACATCAAACTTGAGGGCAGTCGAAAAGATAACGCTGTTATTCCTGTCCAGCATCTTCCAGTCGGTTGAAGACGGCCCGCCTGCTGTGCTATTCTGGCCGAGGGGTGTGCCAATCTGCAGAGCAAATTGCGCACCACCCGAGTCGTTCGTCTCGTGGAAGGACGTTAGGTACTCGTGCGTCAGGTTCAGCTTTCGGGTCGAGTCTTGCATGGAGCTCCAGTGCGTCGTCATGACACCCTGATTCGAAGCATCGGAGCCGTTTCCAAGCAGCAGTCCGGCGCGGCGGCAGCCCAGCTGCGGGCTGTTGCCGCTTGGATTGAAGAGGGACTGATCATTGATGGTGACTTCGAGGGGCTTAAAGTTGCCAGTCGCATTGGAGGCGTCGAATCGCGAGGGCGTCGGCACTGTCGGGAACAAGAGGATCTCAGACCACGGCGCGGGGCCCTTGGTGAATCCCGGGTTGAATGGGCTGGCACTGGTGTCAAAAACCTCCAAGGTGAAGTTCTGCGGGATTCGCCCGTCTAGGACCACTGGGCACTTGACGGGGGAATCGAGAGATGCGCGGGGCGCGTTCAGCGCAAGCGCCTGCAAGGAACGGACAGCTGCATGTGGCAGAATCATATTGGTAAGAGTTTGAATAGAAAAGAATGACTGAAGTTTGTATTGTAAAGAAGCGAATGACGACTGAACCTGCGAGAACCTATCCTAGACTTTGGTCATCTTTGGTGATGTTGATGAGAAGTTATACGGAACATCTTGGTAGTCGGCTTCGCCCCACTCATCTGATACTCAACTTTATTGTGGTAAATAAAGGGGAGAAAGCTTATTTGACATCGTCTGAAGATCATTCCCAGGATGCCGCACATGGACTGGAGCCGCAACCGTTGAACTTTGCTTGTTTCAGTGTCTTTGGGAAAAGTTGATAGCGGGGCTTTAGGCTATTCCCAATGACTCCGGCGGACTACTCCAGATTAAAACACAGAAGGAAAGCTGTTTTTTCCTCTTGGCAGAACGTCTTGAGTCATGGCTTCAGGGATCATGGGCAGAACGGGCAGAAAGCTCGGCATCGTGATGTTACCGCATTCCCGCTTGAGGCGGTACGGTCCGAGCTTTCAATTTATTTGGTGGAATTGCATACTGCATCCAGCAGCCAAGTCCACCAAGAAGCAGTGTATAGTATCAAGTAAGGACAGTCCTCCAAGAGAGCAGGTGCTAGAACTCTTCTAGCTGATAGGACTTAGTTTATACTCTAGTGCCAAATGCTAGGCTTTTTCCATAGCAGCATTTAGTTGCCAAGCTTAAAACATCAGTTTCCAGGACGAAAGACATATCTCCCGGGTCCACCGCCATTGTGCTCGATATTATACTGTATACTGTATTCCACGTATCCAAATCGTTCTTCCAGGCAGTAACCGGATTGTCCCAGTCGATCAGTTTCTTCTAATATGCTCACATCCTGCTAGGACATAGTGAGTAGCATTTCCGAGGCCCAGCAAAATAAGGTACGAGAATGTTGTTACAAAATCTCAATGAAGCGTTGGGTAAAGATCCTCGATAGTATATGGTTAAAAAAGATGGACCTTTGTGAGGTACTCAAGGTAGTCAAGGCTTCACGGCTAGAGTATGACAGCATGCGAACAAGCAATATCAAAAAGGCACATAATTATAGTCGTTAGTTATAAGTGTAACGGTCAGAGCGTCCAAGCTGAACTTCATTGAATGTACTTGCGCTTCTCCATCTGGGATTAAGTGAGGGTAACGGGGGTGGTACAGAGGTGGTACGGAGTTGGTTGCTGGAATCAAATCAAAATTACAGCCGAGCTTGAAATATGCGGAAGACTGACCGTGAGTTCCGTGACAAGAAAGAGTCTATGTCTTGTTTGGAACCGGAAAACGGGCTATCCGCAACTTATACCATGATATAGTTGCTGAGACGAAAGGCGACTATGTGCACCTGAGTCTTCTCGGGTTCGGTGCTAAGTCTCCGTGCGCTTGCGAAGTTTTGATTTAGGATGTAGCGACAAGCAAATACCGATCGTAAGTGTATCGGCCCGTGTGGGATATTCAAGTAGGCAGGCCTAGATGGTGCGGTAAAGACCTCATTGATACAGACGGATAGAGAGTGGCATCTTAGCAGTCCTCAATTCCACCAACGCCGATGTATTACAATATCATGATATTTCTCCTGTCTTCGGGCTTTCAGAGTGTCCTTTTTGTCCTTAGAAAGCCAGTTCTCCTTCGACGATGCCGATCACGATCATTGCTGGGCGGAGCTATTGCATACTTACCCTAGTCTGAAATCATACCAACAGGTATTATACGGTACCAACCATGTGCAGCTGCAGGAACAATACATCAACCATTCATCTTTACCCTATTAATCAGTAAAATGGGTACGAAAGAATTTGACCTTCCCGGTTGGGAAAGTCATGCGAGCTTGAAATTCGTTGGTTGTTGGTTCTACATGTACCATCCATTGAATGTGACATATTATCCCTACATCCCCTTCGGCTAACAACCATAAATATGCCCCCTCACCGTTAACCGCCAGAACACTTTATTTACAGAATTACTTCTGGGTGGCTATGAGAGGAAATTCTCAGATTCTTCACCACTACAGATCGGGGCACATATTGACGATTGCATCGACTAAGCAGCTCCGGAACCATGCTCTTCACCGATCCAGTCGTGGTGTTCGGGGCATTCCTGACCATCTGCGTGCTTGGTCTCTTGCGGGTAAGTCAGATCCTCAGCCTCAAATCAGATATGACTTCTGATGAACACTTAGCTCTATTCTCTATGGCTGGGAAACCCTCTCAAAAATATCCCAGGGCCATGGCACACCCGCATCACGCACTACGCGCTTAAATGGCAAACCATGATCGGTCGGCGAATGTACTACGTTCACTCTCTTCACGAAAAGTACGGCACCGTCGTACGAATCTCGCCTTATCAGGTCGCAATCTCCGATCCCGACGGCTTCGTCGCGATCCACCGCATCGGATCCGGCTTCCTTAAGTCACCATGGTACGAAGAGTTCGTTGGAGATTCAGGCATCGGGGTTGGTGTTTTTGCCACGGTGGACCCGGTAAAACACGCAGCCATGCGGAAACTGTTCTCTCGAGCCTTCTCTGCTACCAGCCTCCGTCAGAACTGTGAGGTTGTGGTGAGGGAGAAGGTGGCAAAAGCCGTTCAGCGGATCAAGGGCGAGGCCCTCCATGGATCGGTTGATGTTCTTCATTGGTTAATTCTCATGACTTCGGATGTGGTTGGTCAGCTGTGTTTTGGTGAATCCTTCGAATTATTGGAATCCGGCAAGGTGAGTCTCGATACTATTGACGCAGCCATGATTCTGCTCTATCATGCGTTGATCATGCATCTCCTGCTAATAACAGATATCAACAGAAAAATGAATACATCGAGACGTTCCAAATGGTCGGGGTAGGAAGTTTCCTAAAGCACGAGCTTCCGTGGCTTTACTCGATCTCTCAATACATCCCGGTCAAGTCATTTCAACGAATGCTCAATGCTGGAAACTCTATCCATCAATACGGTGGCCGAGCTGTCGAAAACTTGAAGAGACATCGCGATAACAAGTCGAATCTCTTTGCCACTGCGTTAGCAGAGTCCGATGCCGGGGAGAAATTCCAGCTCTCGGAGAAATACATCCAGATCGAGGCGTCTAATTTGATCTTTGCTGGAGCAGATACAACGGCGTCTACTCTTACCTATCTTGTCTGGGCTGTCCTTAAGAAGCCGGATCTCCAAGCCCGCTTGGAAGCAGAGGTTGCTGCAGTTGATGAGATCAATCTTTTCAATGATGCGTTTCTCGAGAAGCTTCCTCTTCTCAATGCCGTCATCGACGAGACTCTCCGCCTTTACGGCAGTATTCCAAGTAATTTGCCACGAGTTGTTCCACCAAAGGGTGCCAAGCTTGGAGGCTATGATATTCCTGGAGGGCTAGAGGTCGAGACTCAAGCTTACACTCTACATCGGGATGGCAATGTGTTTCCGAACCCACTCGAGTAAGTCGTCGGTTCACGTGAGCTGCGCCAGTCTGCCAACTAATATGAAACAGGTTTGACGAGTCGCGCTGGATTGACCCGACTGTGCTCACACCTTATCAGAAAAGCAGCTTCTGCCCTTTTGGTGCCGGTGCGCGAATTTGCATCGGTCAGCACCTTGCCCGCATGGAGCTTCGGATGGGTGCTGCTGTCTTGTTCAACAAGTGCCCTGGCCTGAAGTTGTCCAGCAGTACGACGGACGCGATGATGGAGATGGAAAACTTCTTTGTTGTTGCGCCTATTGGGCATCGTTGCGATGTCACGATGCAATAGCCCCGTTTCTTTGGGTCAAGCCTTTCTCTTTTCACACGCGCGGGCCATGTAGGCGTTGGGGATTGCAACGGACTCTTACGATATTCGGATATTGTAAGATTTTCTCCTAGCTACTCATGATAAACCCGTTTGATCCAACGGTCTGGTCCAATCAGCGCCACGAGACCGTTCAAGATATAATTTCCTCGCTTGCTGCGTGACTACGGCGGCCGCCCCCAATGCATATCCCACAAAAACCCCCTGCCACTGATCATTGAGAAATAGCGCACCCCAGCTAGGGCCCTCACCAAGCGTAGGCTTTTCACTTGTCGCGACGCTTTCTGGTGCTAAAGCAGGTGAGCAGAGAGTCCGAAGTGGCCGCTTTTCCGCGTCCCTAGCTTGAAAATGGACTTGGCTACACCGCATACAGTCCGAATCCCGGTCTGAGTTCCATTCGAAGAGCGACACGTCGCACGACATCACAGTTGCCTGGTATCTGGGAGGGGTTGAAGAACGTCTGCAAGTGACTGGGTCTGGGGTGAGTTCGCTATTAATATCGACTCCGCAAGCCTCGCCAAGCCACGTGTGTTGCAACTCCTTCCAGTCTCAACGACATCGCATTCGTGTGCACCAACAACATGGCTGAATTTCTCATCGAAGACAAGGACTTGGCCGGCCTCAAAGGCAAGGTGGCCATCGTGACAGGCGGATCATCAGGCATTGGCCTCGCTGCAGTCAACACATTGCTCGCCCAGGGTGCCTCCGTCGTCAATGCAGATATTCAACCGCCAGCTGAGCAACCCGAAAGCTCTTACACCTTTGTCAAGACCGATGTCATAGTCTGGGCTGAACAAATCGCACTCTTCAAGAAGGCAAAAGAGGTTTACGGGCGTATCGACCATGTCTTTGCCAACGCTGGTCTCGGCCCTCGCGCCAACTACTTATCTACGGAAGTAGATGAGAACGGCGATCTGAAGGAACCTACACATCAGCTTCTGGATGTCAGTCTCACGGGTGTAATGCACACGGCTACGATTGCGATTTACTATATGCGGCAACAAGCCGAGGGTGGCAGCATCGTCATCAACGGTTCTACAACAGGTCTTCAACGGCTTCGTGCCGTGGACTACTGTGAGTTTGGAAGCTTTTTCAGGCTAGTTTTCTCAGCTAACAACGAGTTTAGCCACGGCCAAGCATGCGGTGCTTGGATTCGGACGTGGTCTGATCCCGCTCATCGCATCTGCCAACCTGCCCATCCGAGTCAACACCTTGGCACCGACGTGGGCTGACAGCAGCGTGCTGCCGGACTTGAAAGGTCTTATGGCCAAAATTGGAGTTGAGATCCAGACCGCTGAAGCCGTTGCCCGTGGCGCAGCGTATCTGATGGCTGATGCCTCCCGGAACGGAAATGTGATCCACGTGCAGCTTGGAAAGTACAAGGAGATTGACGAGGCTATCTTACTCCCTGCATTTGAGTCTATCAAGGGACCTGATTATCCTGGCGAGGACGAGGTTCTGCGTCGCCTAACGGAGCTCATGATGGCCGCTTGATGAGTATATTACATGCTTGAATAGGGCCTGGGCAGAGAGAGGTTGGCGTCGAACCTGCGCAATCTTAATGAATACATCACGATGAATTTGAAAGTCATCGGCACAGTAAAACTACAGAGAATGCCTCAAAACGTCAGAGAAAGTTATGAAGAGCAGTTGTCTACGTCTAGCTTTGCTACAACATTGAGAACCCCCCAGAAGCGGAGATAGTTTGCCCAGTAACCCAATTCGCTTGCTCTTCAGCAAGCATTGCAACAACAGACGCCACATCCTCCGGTCTCCCCATCCGATTCTCAAAAGGCGTCATGGCCACAATCATCTTGACATGCTCCCCGTGCGCCTCAGACGCCCCCGACTCGCGCGCCATATCCGTCTCCGTGACACCAGGCTCAACTGCATTGACAGTGTGTCCCGCCGGGCCCAGCTCCGCGGCCAGGGCACGCGTGAGGCCCTCTAGCCCAGCCTTGGAAGCTAGGTAGAGACTCGCGGAGGCGTAGCCGCCACGTGCCGCGACGGAAGTGATGTTGATGATGCGTCCTGGCCGGCGGAGGCGCGGTATGACGGCTTGGGACATGAAGAAGGGCCCTTTGAGGTTGACGTCGATGCTTTCTTGGAAGTCGGCTGGCGTGACGGCTGAGACTGGTAGTTTGGACGTTATACCAGCGTTGTTTACGAGGATGTCGATGTGTTCTCCGAACACTTTGACGGCGGCCTCGACGATCTGCGTGGGAGAGTCGGGCGAGGAGATGTCGGCTTGAACTGCGATGGCATCCGCTCCGTTGTCCAAGGCTTTGATACTGCTCACTACATCTTGCGCAATACTCTCGCTCTTTTCCGAGACGTAGGTGACGACAACCTAGGGATTGCTGTCAGTGATTCTTGTTCATCACTGATGGGGAAAGTTGGCTCTGGACTAACGTTTGCGCCTCTACTGGCTAGCTCAAGAGCAATAGCAGCACCGATTCCTCTAGAACCGCCAGTCACAATAGCGACTTTACCGCCCAGAGACTTAGCTTGCGTAGAGGCCATTTATTGCAGATCTTAACTGAATAGACAGAGTATCCAGAACACAAAGCTGGGGCTGCAACAACGTGGAGGTAAACGGTCAAATGACAAAGCGGGGTCCCGCGAATCAAAGACTTTGTTTAAGCTTTGAATTCTTTCCAATAGTAGTTAGGCATCTAGCGAGATCCGGAGAGAAACAACGGGTCTTGTAACACAGCTCTCGGATGAGACGTTGAGAGTGAAGCTCCTTAATTAGCACAACTTGGGCTTGCTTGTCAACAAACATTAGCTCTCCGTTCCAGGCCCCCGAGTCACCATGAAGGGCGGAATGCGCCATCAGTCGGAGGTAAGGCGAGCGATAACACGAGGCGTTGTCCCTCAGAGAGTTGCGATAGCAGTCATACTTTCGAGAAGGAAATCTTCGTATTGACAATGTCATCTTTGTTTATCTTTGCGATAAAATGCCAAGTCCAATTCAGATTGGCCTATCTTGACTGCGGTTTTGGTGCAGTGGTTGCCCCGATTTGCAGCCTCCCTGCATACATGCTGCGACAAAATAACAACGCCATCAACAATGCTAAAAAAAAGTCATCCTTCCCTCCCTCACACTCCGAAATGACCAAACATTGAATTCAGCCCAGGTAGTCTAGACGCAAGCAACAGTCTGCGTGCAGCTGTCTCCACGCTTGAGGTCCTTGCAGGAGTCCTCGTTGGCCTTGGTAGCCGTGGCGTCAAAGGTATCCGTCTTGCCCTTCTGGCAGACGTTCGGATTGCCGGAGCAGAAGAGGTTGGTGCCCTGCTGGCAGACGGACAGGTAGTTTGCGGTCTCGTAGGTGGCCTGGGCGGAGGCGCCAGCGACCATGATGCTGGCGAGGACGGCGAAGGTAGGGAACTGCATTTTGGCTGTTGTTATGGTGGTTGTGGTTGAGATTGAAAAAGAGGCAAGTTGTTTCTTGGGAGTGAAGTTGTAGCGAAAGAGACAGTTGTTGATGTGAGTGATGTTGAGATACGTAGAGAACAAATATTATGCCATTGAGGGTTTACTTGATTAATTATATAGAAGTTCTGCTCGTCAATCCACGGAGAGCTCTTGCCGTCCAAGCCTTTGATAGATCATCACAATCTCGCTGACTCGAGCCGATGTCTCGAGGCCGTCCTAAGCGAAGCGACGCACTTCGAGAGCCCCGAGTGGGATGGAACGTCGGGGTCGCCGTGGAACCGTGAGCGCGGTGCGTGGTGCGTAGTGCCGCCCAACCGAGAACCTTAAAAAAGACCCGTGTGCTGAGACGAACACTTTAGGCCAACTCTGGCGTGGCTTTGCCCTCATGCGTTCCAATTATATTAACAATGACGTTTCAACTTGAACGCGTGGTGTCTCGCAGCCCTGGTCAGTAACCAGGTCTGTATAGCACCTCCTAGAAAACAGTTGCCGGACTAAGCAATCGGACGGACAATGGCAACTTTATTATATTGCAAAGTGGAGTGTTGTTGGAAGTTTGCGTGCATTGTCTTAGAGAGCCTGGGGCTCGTGGGTGGAGAGCGAAAGTGACCATCGCCTTTCCCCAGATTCAATTGCGGATACCGAGCTCTGGGAATCATATGCCGCTTCCAGATGTTTGGGTCTATTTACCACGAGGCGCGCGCGTTGAGCAAGATTAGCAAGTCTTGATAAGACTTTGGTAAGTCTCAAGGTTTGTGCATGACCTAGGTGATGTCTAGCAATCCTGAGCAAGCGAGCTCAGAGGCTAGTCTTCAGGCCCTCTTCGCGGTGGCCCTGAACAAGCCGGCTACCGAGTAAGTCGTGAAGGCTCGGGAGATTCAAGGGTCGTATTGTTGAGTCAACTGCCAGCAAGGCTGTGTTGCCGATGAGCTCGCTCGAAGTGGGAAGCGATTGCTGTGATGATGCAGTTGGTGGAAGGTTCCATCATGGCTAGTGATTCTGTTGACCCTAGCGACGTTGCAAGCGCGCATTGCTGAGTTCGGTGTCGAAGTTGTTGACTGCCATTTCACTGCACTATAATGCAGCCATATGAATTGATTGTACGGACAAGGTGACGTCCAAAAGTACGATCTCCAGAAGACTCCTCAAAGGGAGAACCAAAAAATGATGAAAGTTGGTACAGGATTGAGTGCCTGACAGGGTTGTCTGCCCAAGAGTGCCAAGTCCCTCGAGTGATCGGCGTGTCTTTTGGCCTTGGACTCAGTCTCCCACGTTCTTCCGTCCGAACTGCGGGAGACTCGCCACGCGGCCTCAAGAACTCTGCTCAAGCATTCTGCTCGTTGCAAACACAACCGCCAAGATCCGGATAACAGGCTTTACGCACCGGCCCCGGAGACCGGATATCGTGGTATTCATGTGGGAGGGGTTGGTGATCTACCCGTCATCCCGGGAGAAACATCCGGGGACGACTCGGGGCGCATCTTCTGTAGGATCGATTGCGCCATCATCCACCGTTACCTCCGATTGAGCCTCAAAACATGTGGAAAAGACACCGAACCCATACAGCCGGTTATACTCGAAGGGCGATAAGCTTCCACCCTTTGTCGGGGACGACCCGACGCTGGATCCGCAAAAGACGGACAGCGTCCGGTAGCACGCGATTGTGCCGCCCGATACGTCCGACCAGCAGGCGCTTGTTTGTTTTGTGGTGTCTTTGAGGAGGGGCGGAATCGGCGGACCCTTCCACCAGGCACTCGGCATCAATTACCGCAGAAGCTGGACGAAATAGACGTCCTATGAGATTGTCCTATATACGCTCATGAGATCTTCTTTCCCGACCTTAAACAGCGTTGAATTATGAGTGCATATGAGAAGTGGAATCTCATCAGCTCGACCTCACTCATGAGCTCTCACTGGAACGCCTTCGGTTCCTCCTGTCTCACACGCCACAACACCAAGGCTTAGTAAAACATCATCACCAAGAGGGCTTCCATACCTCATTCTCACATCATGGCGGCCGACATCAGAGTCTCAATTGATCGCGGCGGCACATTCTGCGACGTCATCGCTGAAATCGACGGCCGTGAATCCCTCATCTTCAAGCTTCTCTCCGAAGACCCAGCAAACTACCCCGACGCCCCGACCGAAGCCATCAGGCGCGTCCTCGAAGCTGTAGAGGGAAAGCCCATCCCCATCGGAGAGAAACTCGATGGCTCGCGCATCGGTAATTTCTCATGTCACTCCTCCTCTTGGATCCTGTATCTAATACTCTGCCAGCATCATGCCGCATCGGCACCACAGTCGCGACGAACGCCCTCCTAGAACACAAGGGCGAGCGCTTCGCCTTCCTCACCACAAAGGGCTTCAAGGATGTCTGCGTAATCGGCGATCAGTCCCGTCCCAAACTGTTTGACCTCAACATTCGCAAACCCACGGCTTTGCACTCGACCGTCGTTGAGATCGACGAGCGCATCGTGCCAGCAGATTATGACCTCAACCCAACGCCCCTGGACAAGGAGGCTGCCCTGAATGCCGCTTCATCATCGTCGCCAACCTCATCATCTACTCCCCAAGAAGGAGACCTCGTCCGCACTCCCAACGGGGACCTAATCCGCATCCTCCGCCGCCCAAACCCAGACCTCATCCGCTTCCAGCTCCGCGCCCTCAAAGACGCAGGCTACACGTCCCTCGCAATCTCCTTCATGCACGCCTACCTCCATCCCGCCCACGAAGACCTCGTCGCCTCCCTCGCCCGCTCCCCCGAATTCGCCTTCTCTTACGTGACAACCTCCTCCGCAACCTCCCCGACCATCAAATTCCTCAATCGCAGCACCTCAACATGCTCAGAAGCCTACCTCTACCCCGTCATCCAGCGCTACGTCGCCTCCTTCCACGCAGGCTTCCTCCCCAATGCGCCGCCTCGCCGCGTAGACTTTATGTGCTCCGACGGCGGCCTCAAAGCGGCCTCCCGCTTCCGCGGCAACGAGGCGCTCCTGAGTGGTCCAGCAGGCGGCGTAGTCGGCATCGCGCGGTCCTGCCATGACCCGCAGGACGGCACGCCCGTTATCGGCCTCGACATGGGCGGTACCAGCACGGATGTCTCGCGGTACGACGGGAAGTATGACTACCTCACCGACACCTCCATCGCGGGCCGCACAATCACCGCGCCTATGCTCAACATCGCCACCGTAGCGGCAGGCGGCGGATCGATCCTCTTTGCGCGTAACGGTCTCTTAGCTGTAGGACCCGAGAGCGCGGGCGCGCACCCGGGACCAGCATGTTACCGCAAGAACGGGCCCCTCACTGTCACGGACGCGAATCTCTTCCTCGGGCGTCTCGTCCCGTCTTCCTTCCCTTCCATCTTTGGACCGTCAGCCTCTGAACCACTTGATACTGCCGTCGTCGAAGAGAAATTCAGACAAATTACGCGAGAGTTCAACCAACAGACGCACCAGGCCCTCCAACCGCACGACGTAGCCCTAGGCTTCCTAGATGTTGCAAACGAAACAATGGCACGCCCGATCCGCAACGCAACCGAAGCCCGCGGCTTCGCCCCCGAAAACCACAACCTCGTCTCCTTTGGCGGCGCGGGCGGCCAGCACGCCTGCGAGATTGCAGATAAACTAGGCATCCGCCGCATCCTGATCCACAAGTTCTCCTCATTGCTTTCGGCGTACGGCATCGCGCAAGCAGAGCTACAAAGTGAGACCCTCGAGCCGTACGGCGCCAAATTCAGCCACAGCGAGGATGCTGCGCAAGAGGCTGTGACATTTCATGTCACGGACCGTCTCGCCGCACTGAGGGGAAAGGTGACACAAGAGCTAGTCTCCCAGGGCGCGGATGAGGCTTCGCTGGTTTTTGATGAGAGTCTTGTACTGCGATACTTTGGCACCGATACGAATCTTACAATCTCCCGCCCCGAGGACGGTGATTATGCCGCCAGCTTCAGGGCTACGCACCTCCGCGAGTTTGCCTTCTCCATGGATAGAGATATCGTCATTGAGTCGATCAAGGTCCGTGGGACGGGCAGTGCGGCGGGTAGCGCGTTCGGAATACGGGAGACGTCTCCGGTCAAGGAGCTCGCGGACAGGAGGAGCCGCGGTGGCGGAGATGTAGCTGTCGTCCCGGAGCCGAGCGTGAAGCAGAGGGTTTATATCGACGGCGGGTGGTGTGATACGGGCGTGTATCGTCTGGATGAAGTCCCCAAGGGCGTTGTGATCAAGGGCCCTGCTCTACTCATCGACCAGACGCAGACAATCTTCGTGTCCCCGACATTCAGCGCCTACATCCTTTCCTCCCACGTCCTCCTCGAGAAGCAAGCACCAGCCACGGCTTCATCACCGTCACCGCTCCCCACCTCTACAACACAAAACCGAACCCCCCAGCCCGACGCACCAGAAACCACAGACCCAATCCTCCTCTCTGTCTTCGCCCACCGCTTCATGGCCATAGCAGAACAGATGGGCACCACCCTCCAACGCACCGCAATTTCCACCTCCATCAAAGAACGTCTCGACTTCTCCTGCGCAATCTTCTCCCCCGAGGGCAAACTCGTCGCCAACGCGCCCCATATCCCAATCCACCTCGGCTCCATGCAATTCGCCATCCAAGAACAACACCGCCACTGGAAGGGACGCCTCCAACCCGGCGACGTGCTCTTAACGAATCATCCGCAGTGGGGCGGGACGCATCTCCCGGATTTGACCGTCGTTACGCCCGTCTTTGTCGACACCGGGTCCGGGTCCCCCTCCGATCCGGAAGATGGCGACAACACCAACACCCAAGAAATCGCCTTCTACGTCGCCTCCCGCGGTCATCACACAGACATAGGCGGCAAAGGAATCACCTCAATGATGCCCGAATCCCGGCAACTCTGGGAAGAAGGCCTCAACGTACCCACCCTCAAAATCGTCTCCCGCGGGAAATTCCTCGAATCCCAAGTCATCGCCGCCTTTGAGAAAGCAGGTTCCTTGCCAGGCTGCTCCACCTCCCGCCGTCTCGCAGATAACATCTCTGACTTGAAAGCCCAAACCTCGGCAAACCAGCGCGGCATCCTCCTCTTGCAGAAACTCTGCGCCGAGCAAGGCATCGGGAAGAAGGGCGTGGCAGTGGTACACAAGTACATGTCCGCGATCCAAGACAACGCAGAAGCTGCGGTCCGTAGCTACTTCAAATCCCTAGCCGCTGACCATCCGGCCGGTCTATCCGCAACAGACCACCTAGACGACGGCACCCCTCTCCACGTGAAAATCACAATATCCCACGACACCGGCACAGCAACCTACGACTTCTCCCTTTCCGGCCCTCAAATCTGGGGAAACTACAACTGCCCCATCTCCATCACCCACTCGGCGATAATCTACACCATCCGAAGCCTAGTAGGTCTCGACATACCCCTAAACCAAGGCTGCCTCAACCCTGTGAACATCATCCTCCCACCCGTCGGCTCCGTCCTGAATCCCGGTGCGGGCGTAGCGATATGCGGAAGCACCCTCGCCTCCCAACGCGTCATCGACGTCATCCTCCGCGCGTTCGGGACACACGGCGCAAGCCAGGGGTGCGCGAATAGTTTCGGCTGGGGCATGGGCGGACGAGACCCGGAGACTGGGATGGTTGTCAAGGGGTGGAATTACGGGGAGAGTATCGGCGGCGGCGTGGGTGCGGGAGATGGGTATGAGGGTGAGCATTCGACGCACGTGCATTCTACGAATACCCGCCAGACAGACGCGGAGGTCATTGAGAAGCGCACGGCCGTGCTCGTCAAGTCCTACGGTATCCGCAAGGGAAGCGGTGGTGTCGGGAATCATCGTGGAGGTGACGGTATCACGCGTGAGATACAGGCGCGTATTCCGCTCAAGTTTAGTATCCTCTCGGATCGGAGGGTGTATCGACCGTGGGGCATGGCTGGCGGCGGGCCGGGGCAAATGGGGGAGAATTATGCATTCTTGTTCAACGAGGAGGGAGGCATGGAGAAGATTAATCTTGGCGGGAAGGCGATTATCAACCTGAAGGAGGGCGAGTATATCCAGGTCAATACCCCTGGCGGTGGAGGGTATGGCGGCGAGGAAGTAGAGGATAGACATCGGGGGTATGTATGAGATGAGAGATGCACCATGAAAGACCAAAGAGATGGATCAATAAAGCTTGCAGCAGATCATCACCACGTTTCCCTCGAGACTTGATGTAGCTTGATAAAGCCTTGGCATTACATATAAACGGACCTAATCCAACATTACAACATCCAATGTGCATGGCACATTATGGTATCGTCATCCCTCGTCAACGTAAAACTCCCAACAACTCCTATGGATATCATGCAGGCATCACCCTCAGTCTTGATTGAGCATAACTGCTTACGCGACCTCCTTTTCCAACTTGGTATCGACCGTTCCAGGTGCGGCAACGTCCGCAATGGTCTCGTCCGAGAACTTGAGATCCTCCTCAACGGTGACAGTGTCCTTGATCTTCAGGAAGATAATGGGTGCACCAATAACGAGAGCGCCGGCAAGGCAACCCCACGTGGCGCCGAAGATGGTGTTGTACTCGGTTTGGACACCATCGAGACGCCAGAAGACGGCAGCGCCAGCGGATTGAATACCTATAGTTCTATCAGTATAAATGCGCCACTAGAGTAGAGGAATGTGCGGCTTACCCTTGTAGAAACCTGCCAGGTTGGCAGCCTTGCGGGAAGAGTTGGAGAGAGCTCCCATGTACCAGTAGATGCTCGTCTGCCAGCAGGCATCGAAGAATCCGTAAAACATGTACAGGAACATAGGGCCAATATAAGCCTCGCCGCCGTCGGTCCAGTCAATGGTGGGGTAATCCAAGTTGCCCTCAATCTCGCCGCGAGGAGCCTGCTTCTTCTGCCAAGCGTACCCACCTCCCCAGATGGCCATGGTCAGAACGAAGAGCGTAATGTAGGAGGCCTTTGCGCGCACACTACGGCGGACCTTGGGGAAGTCGAGGGCGTAGCCAAAGATGAGAGCACCGATAATCTGGGAAGACCAGTACAACAGGTTGTTCAGCGAGCGAGTGCGAGTGTTGAAGTGAGGAGCGTTCATGTCGTTGGTCTGGTAGGTGTAGAAGACGTTGGATGTGAAGAACATGGGGAACAAAAGGATGATCCACGGGTCTTGTGCGAGGGTCTCCCACAAGCCCTTGAACTCGGACTGCCACGAAGGGTTCTTCATGACGATAACCTTGGAGCCGTCCTCACGAATGATCTTGGGCACATCGCACATGAAGAGAGCAAGGACGGCACCGAGCAACATGAGAACAATGAAGGCAGCGTAGGTGCCGTCAGTAACAGTGCTTCTCGACGTGGTGTTGATGTTTTGGCCGAGGGGAATGAGAGCACCAATGACGGCGCCGAGGTTGAAGATCATCCAAAACCAAGAGATGTAGCGTCCCTTCTCTTTCTCGGAGGGGTAGGACATCATGATGGCACCTTGGCCAGTCCACAAGAGACCAGCGCACACGCCGAGGAAGGCACCAGCAAAAATGACGAAGCCTTCATTCTGGTTGTGAGAGTAGGACAGGAAGGAGGCAGCGTAGATGCAGTAACCCAATCCGCCCAAGCTGAGAGTCAGACGGAGACCGAGACGGTTGGCAAAGGTACCGGCGAAGAAGGCGGCAACGGCAAAGGTGGAGTACAAGGCCGTGTTGGCATCGTTGGAAGCCTTTGTGGAAACCTGACCACCGCCACCGAGACCACCGAGAGCATTGAACATTCCGGGGCAGAGGAAGCAGACGAAAGAGACCATGAAGAGCTGGATACGGGGTGAAGCGTACCAAAGCTCCTTGCCACCGATGCGGAAGCCACGATACATGAAGCCGGCAGGGCGGGGAACGGGGCCGTCAACAGCGGTTGTTGTCGGGGCGGCAGTGGCAGGCTCGATATCGGCCGCGGCCGCGGGCTCGGGAGTGTGTTTCTCGTCGACTGAAGACATCTTGGCGGTGATGTGTAGTTGATGGGGTGGACGTTCAGAGGAGAGACGTGAAGGTTAATAGAACGGCGTTGCGCCTTGGCGGGACGGGAGGAATTGGGGCCGGTGGTGTGTGGCTGCCGCTTGGTGCTTCTCTTCAGAGTGTCGCAGACTGGAAACTCAATCGTGCCAGACGATGGGTGATGGTGACCCAAAGTAGCGCAGGCACAAGGCTCAGTTCGATGAGTTTGGTCTGGAAAGACTGGACTGAAAGAATGAGACGGCGAGCAAAGACCAGAAGTAGGGTCCGGGGGAGGTGTGCAGCTTCTTTATGGGACGGTTTATCGGGCTGCAGGTTGCAGTTGCACTGGGCGATGATCGTGGGTGGAGCTATGGTCAAGGTCGCGGTCCCGACGTGCCAGGGTGAGGCGTGGCGGGTGCGAGAAAGATGACAAGGGGGGGCGGAGACTGGAGGGAGTGGAGAGTGGTACTGGTGAGGATGATGTAGGTAGTATCCGTCGCCGGGATTGATGTGTTGACTTTGAGATATTGAGAAAGATGTTGATGGAGCGAGAGGGAGGGAGAAAGGAAGAAAGATAGCAGACTGGTAGCGAAGTACCTAACGTTACCCCGGAATACGCAAATGTGTTTATCGCCGCTAATAGACCCTTGGTTTGAGAAGAAGGGATGAGATTGGAAGACGGCAAGAGCAAACAACGATGGTTATTTTTCATGCAAAAGATACCTTAATAATCCAGAAGCTTTGAGGATTCGATGCTCAGATGCAGGGCAGGTGTAGATGGGCAGATACCTCTGGTGGGAAGGAAGGAGGCCGGCAGCCGGGAGGGCACTTGGGGTTGATGGCAAACGGGAAAGCGCGTCCATGGGTGGACGGGCTTGTGAGGTGTGAGACGATGGAAGGAGAGATGTGCAGAGCTAAGGAAGGTGGCGCCAACGCCCGAATGGGACGGGACGGGTACGGAGGTGAGAATTTGGGGGAAGGCACCTCACACGCACACGCACCACGGCACCTTTGGGAAGCACTGGCTGGAAGGCAGGAGCTACCCCAATCTGCCACTCTGCCACTTTGACTTAGGGAAGGCACGGTCAGCTAAGGTAGGTGGCTAGGCAAGGTAGCAATGGGATCTTTAGAAGGAGTGGCTTTCTCGTGTGCGTCTCATCTGACGTGTGGCCGAGGTGCCTATCAGGACCATGAACGAGAGACCTTGTGCCAGGTCTGATAGATGGGCTGAGAGTACTCCGTAGGGCGTCTCCAATGTGTCAGTGTGGTGGTGTCCGTGCTGGTGGTAGGATGGGGGTGGCAAGCTACGTGACAGTCAGAGGCAGCAAGATACAGCCATCGATCAGCCCTCTTCACACGGTGAGGGACGCCTACCAAGCAAGGTCAAAGTCGTCAAGGTTTGCTTGTCAAAAGTGCTAATGCCAATTCGAAGGTGACAATAGAATTGACTGATGGTGTGAGCATGGGGAAAGGGGACCAGGATCCGGCCGCTGGGCAACGGGGGAAACAGCCGATGGGTTGAGAGGAGCCACTCACCACCACTGTGCAGGGATGCGATTGACAGACCCAGGTAATCCACAGATACGGATGGGGAGGTGCGGTTCGGAGACCTGACCGTGGACCTAGAGCTTGAAGGTTGAAGGTCCAGTCTTGATAAGAGAGATTCCGGCCCGGTCAGTGCCGAATGAAGGATGGGTGAGCAATCAGTCGGTCAAACTTGATATCTGCTTGATGATGATGAGTGCTTGAAGATGGGTCTGTTGGACAATCGTTCGGATCCTCAAAGACACCTGCATGGCATTGTCGAGTAACGACAATCAAAGAACGATGCAGTCCAAATTTAGACAAACTTCAACGGCGCCGGACGGCACGCGGTGGCGTCCTAAGCCAGGACGAAGAACGGCTGTTCGCGGTAACGCGCGAGGCATCAGCATCACAAGGTGCAGCTACGGATACATACTGCAAAATTCGTTCCAACCTGCGAATAAGGTAGGGAGACTGGGTGATAGACCACGGCTGGAAGTTGGAATTGAGACATTCGTGTTGTCAACCTGCTGCTGACTGGCTGGGCAAACCTCCCTCTCGCATCACACCACATCTGCAGATGCCCCTGGCTGGTATCAGAGGCTGGCTTACACCACGGAAGCCATTCTTTCTTGTTTAAATGGATATTCTATGGCCAGTAACAGTGGCATATCAACTTTTGTTTGCCAGTCTTGGTCAAGTTTCATCCCAAGTCGCCAGCAGAACGTACTTTTTCTGACTTAATTGTTTTGACATGTGTGCCGCGCCGGGAGAAAGAAGCGAAATTCATCAACAAATTCCATGGTTCGTTGCGTCCCCACTCTACCCCAATCGATAAGCCCCACGGCAAAGGACCGATTTCTTGGGGTTTTCCATTGGTCGACAGTCCGGAAGGTCACGAGGTGGCGCTTCCTTCCATCTCAGATGTTCTGATCGTAATTGGCTCTTGAGGCTTTGTGCCTCGGCCGATTGGGGAAGGAGAAGGAAAAGATGACATGCATCCATCGCCTGCCGGCCGCCCGCACTGTGCCTTGTCAGTGCCGAAGACGCATCAAGTGCTGACAGCAGCAGTACAATTGCAGCGAGATGGATTCATCCTGCGGACCACGGCATGCGGCTGATGTGGCGCTTCTCAAGTAAACGAAGTGTCTGCCCAAATACGAAGAAACGAGCACTATTCTCGTTCGTGCCTGCAATGTGTTCAGAGGGTCGAATTCCAAGGTCCAAAGGCTCCTCGCGTTTATGATCTCGTGCCTTCCTCCACACAGCAAACACAGTGGGACGGACTTGCCAGCAACGGCCACCACACCACCACCCCGTGCGGAGAGATTTTAAAGTGGCGCCCAGGGCCAAGATAGACAAGCGTCAACCAACCAGCGCGCTAGTCCTCGTCCCCGCCCCCTGCCTACTGAGGTCCGTGCGTGATGGAGAGGTGCATGTAACGTTTCCCTGAGATTGAAACTCAAAAAAGAAAAGAAAGAACAGAGAAAAAGAGGGACCAGCAGCATGCAGCTGCCAGACGAGAAGAAGCTTGTGGCTTTCGTAACAAGCGACAATCGTTGTCTGCAGAGGCCCAGCTATGCACCATCTAAGGATACAGATAAGTCGTAGCTATTCAACGCTATCCCCCGTGTTTGGGGGATAACCCGTGTGCCTCCGCCCACGAAGTGTTATGGAGCTGGCTGACCGTGCCCACGGTATGGGAACCGGCCAGTTGCATCCGCGACACGACGGGGACTGATAGACTCAAATCCAGTCTCCCTCCTCGTGGGTTTGTTACACGGATAAGGAAGCTTGCATTGCACACGTTTCCCGCCCTACCTTGCTTGCAACTCTGATTCTACTTCAGACGGCCTCCGGGGTCGCACAGCAGTATTTGCGTAGAGCGTCAGTATTCAACGGAGTGACAAGCAAGACTCGTCTTTGAGGTCCGGGTCGGGCCATTCGAAGAACGCAAGGCAAGTAAGCAATGGAGTCGATTTGTATTCGCCCAGCTAGATCCTCTCATTGCCTGATCTGTTTCCTGCTTAATCTTCTCATTTGCGGGTCGGCGCAGAATAGATGCGGATAATCTTCAATCTCAGAGACCTCTATCTGATTTCTCAACGTAAGGTAACCTTAGATATCTGCCCAAATCTTCAGGGAAGCCGACCGTTGCTTGTCTTTACCCCACACTATCCAAAGGTTACATCCCCACTCGTCCCATCGTTCGTGACTCCACGGTCCATTCCATCCCCAGGCCAACGGCTGTGGAAACCATGGGACAAGTTGCAACGGTCACCGGTGCTGTCTCGCCCAGCAATGTGGCATCTACTACGTACGGATTACGGGTACACATGATAGGTAGACTTCTCCAGAATCCATCCAGTATCCGAACCCGCTGATATATCCAACGCGCTGAAGAGATAGCTACCCAACATCCAAACAGGCCTGCCCAAAACCTTCAGCTCCTGGTACAGCACACGTTTCCCGATCCATGGACCTGGATATTACGTGACAAACGCACAGTACATGTTGGCCCAGCTTTATCTTGTTACCCCATGTTCCTTCTTATGAACCGCTTTCTTATCCGTTACTCGTTGAGGAGTCAGGACGCACGCTTGGTTGGGGTCTTCATGTTCCGTTCTCCGGCCCCCGAAAGTCTGCCCCGTAGTAGCCAGGAATAGTACTTTAGATGCCCGTGAGATGCCCCGTTCCATCATCCGAACAGACTACAGCGCCGGTACGGTAGAGCGGCCGAGTACCACCGCATCCCTCCGGGGCTTGTTGCTTTGAAACCCCTGCCTCATATTTCTTTCCCGCCGATGACCACCCGGCCTCAATTCACACGCTGTGGAGACACAAGGCAAAGTGTGCTTACCAGATGACCATCGATACTTGCCACAGCCGCTACTGGTTCATTGGTGGTCAGCTAGACTTCGATATCCTCTCTCACCAAGAAGAGGGACGGGCGGTCGATTGCGGGATCAAAACGCCGCCAAAGGTATGAGAATTTCCCCTTGAGGCGCCGGGGGTAGGGATCCGAATCGGACAGCTCGGAGAAAAGGCGTATTCTGGACAGTAAAGATGGCACAGTAGCCATGATACAACTTACAACTAAGTCCAGCATACAGACTTAACAAGAGTCACTCTTGCAGGCTGGCAATTCACGCCCGGGGATGAAGGTTCCGGGGATCGGATCTTACACAAACTTCCGGCCCCCGAAACCCCCGTCCGAAGCTACGTCTCTCCACAACACTACTTCCACTCGACACAGTCTCTCGTGCAGCAATCAGGGGAGGTAGACAATACACTGATACATTTGCTTCAACTTTACCTTGGTCACTGTCTTTGTGTCGTCCAGAGCGGCATAATCGGGAAGGAGGTGTCGCTTCAGCCTTCTCATGTTCCTTGCTGAATAGTGATACCCATACATCTCATGACTTCGCGGCCTGTCCTGGGCCCAGCTTCTATCATTACCAGAGACTCTGGCCCATCATCATCCGAAATTGCAAGATGAAGAGCAATCAACGTCAGATTAAGGACTACATTACCGAATGATCTGCGGCGCCATTTGTCCAAATCGGCCCAAGCAGGTGAAGTTTTCTGTCGGCCTCCCACCTAAGCAAAATTCCTCCAAGGCCAATGTCTAGTCTCAGAAACCTTAAAAAATGGCCGCCGGACTTGTACGAACATCGAGGTGCGGACTCTTTCGGCCCCGTGCACCGATTTACAGATGCATAACGGTATAACCAGCAGGGGTACACCTTTCCAATCAGAGCGAGTCGAGACAGAGTTTCTGCAGATTGAGTAGTTATTCCAACTTCAGAGGATGAGCATTGGATTGCCAAGACTAAAGACGAACCACATTGATTGCGTTCATCAAATGAACACCGTCTTTTAGCAATTAGACTTACTCGTGGGGGCTATTTTCTGCCCGAGTAGGTTGTGTAAAGTCCGCGGAGTACGCGCTGTATTGACGCGTATAACAGCGTTTATAAATCCATACGGGTCTGTAAAGAAGATATAAAAGAGCAACTATACCTCCTCGTCTTTCGATTCGAGTTTCTATCAGGTCATCGACTCAGGCTCTACAATCACTCAAATCACTCACAATCACCTGCAATCGAACTTCGCCTCCAGGTTCTCTTCTTCCACTCAACTACCAGCGTAACCTCACCACCGTTCGACGCAATGCAGTTCTATATCCTCTCCCTCCTATCTCTCTCCGCTCTCGCCCTCGCAGCGCCTCAAGCGAACGTTGCGCCTACATGCGGAAGTGACGGCGACTGCACTAGCTTCTGCAGCGGGGGGCCATGCACGAAGCCATTCTGCGGACTCTCTGCTTTTGGGTACGTGACGAAGAAGGAGCAAACTCTCCCTCGCCCTTATGGAAACTTGGAGAAAAGCCTCGGTACTAACATTGTGGAATTTAGTGACGACCGCTGCTTCTGCGGTGGATGCTAGACAGCATGACTACATCTCCCTTCAAACGCGAGAGAGTCTATGCGCCGAGGGATTGTGCCGGGAAAACCAAGAAGATGCGGCTATTGTATATATTCAAGGCCATGGTTAAGCAGGCGCGAGGATGGGCTGCGTGAAGCCATTGATATCTTGAAGGGCGTGCATTAGCACGTCATATTTCCGTGCTGGAGAGCATTAAACCAAGCGCCCATATGAGATGACGTCTGTTTTGAAAATTTGAAGCGATTTTTCTGTTATCACGCTTCCTCTTTGAGTGAGAATTGGAATCGCCTGAAGAAACAAGAAAAACCACACAGAGATTTTGGAATGATCGGCCGTAGCAACTGAATACTATTTCTTGGAGTTGAGGTTGTGAACTCCATCTTGGATTTTGACCATGCTCTAACAAATTTTGGTTTCTTTTGCTCCAGGGTACCTGACAGTTCTAGGGTACCTAGCAAGCCGCCAATACGGTAATGCCTGGCGCTTTTACGTTGGACGCATTCCAGGTCACAGCTGACAAAGCCCCGCCGGGTAAAGCCCGGGCGACTCCCACAGCTCAAGGTCGAATCAATTGAGTCTTCTTGAGCTTTCCAACACCGTTTGACATCTATGCAAAAGCTCACGCAACAGTTGCTCTCATCAATTAAAGTCCTTTGCATCGAGTGCCAAGATGGACACGCTCTCATGGATGTTCCTGGCTTTCGCCGTTTTCATGATCGCAAGAGTACGTACCCCACATCCAGTCCCTGACTCCCGGAATGGCGCCTGTCTCCCCTCTGCGTGAAAGGTCGTTGGCGACGCTCATCTTCGGACATGACTTCAACGCTGCTAACCAACCGCAAACCCTATAGACACTCTTCGCAGACCGCTCGCCCATCCCCGAGACATCAGGCAAAGTCTACAAAGTCGCCAGCGCCGGCGAGCTAGACGCTCTCCTCGCCTCAACCACTAATGTCGTCGTCGACTTTTACGCAGACTGGTGCCCGCCATGCCGCGCCATCGCGCCCGTCTTCTCCGGTCTGGCTGATAAGCACGCCGCGGAGGGGAAGCTTGCTTTCGCCAAGGTCAACGTCGATCACGTCAACAACGTCGCCGGCCGCTACGGCGTGTCTGCCATGCCGACGTTCATGTTCTTTCAGAGTGGGAAGCCTACCGGTGTGGCTGCCAAGGGAGTGACCCCTCGTCAGTCGGTTGTACTCACTGATGATGGACGGGTTGATAAGATTCGGGGAGCGGATCGGGCTGCGTTGCAGGCTGTTGTGCAGGCGCTGGCTGGTGAGGGAGAGGACGCCAAGAAGGAGTGAAGAGAGCTAGGATTGGCGTGTCGCCCTTGAGTAGAATACATCGTGCTCTAGTCGAGGATACGAATAGCTCAATTTTATTGATCAGAACCTCATGAGCATTTGTAAACGGAACATCCCGGAAATTTCTTGACGATGGCTAGTATTTCGAGTCTCGGGAACGAACTCACAAGTTCGGCATTCATATCCCCCTGTTCAAGATTCATTCATCGATCCAGAGATGACAAAGCACCCAGGTACCCTAGAGTGGATGCCCGTCGGGTTTTCCAACTCCCGCTCAGGGGTCTAGGCGGCAGAACCGGTAAAAACGGGTTGTCGGTGGAATGCCCAGTCATCTAATTCGCGAAGCAGTCAAATCAACAAGGGTGAAGTGGCACGACCACGCGGGCTAGGCAGCTTTCAGCATCGCTTGTGCTGACATGTTTGTCTGCTAGAACCTCACTAAGATAACCGACTAACGTTCCTTGATGTTGCCTGGAACAGCACTCTTTCATCTTCCAAGTAAGAAAAGGACGCCACTGTGTTTAGATTCATCGTAAATCAGCTTCGCGGCATCCGACGTCAGAACAACCCATCACGATGGCCACTTCTCGCCCCACCAAAGTCCTTAGCGTCGGCCTTCCTCGCACGGGTTCCTATTCCATGATGCTCGCCCTGACCGAGCTGGGCTTCAAGGCCGTCTACCACGGCCTCAACGCCATCGACAGTCCCGACGACTGGCGCTTCTTCGGCCGTGCCTCAGACGCCCTATTCCCTTCATTACCTTCCTACACCGGCAAGGGCATGACCGCCGCCGACTGGGACCACGTCTTTGGACCCTGTGAGGGCATCACCGACATCGCAGCCCCCTTCACACCGTCACTCATCGATGCCTACCCAGAAGCCAAAGTCGTTCTCGTCATCCGAGATTATGAGAAGTGGCGGGTATCAATGAAGGAGGTGCTCTCTGGAATCTTTGGGCCCCTGACCTGTTTCATCCGAGACTACGTCGAGCCTAGGATGGGCGCCGACAGTACGGGGAATATCCAGAAGATGATGCTGGGCTGGGTGGGAGCCAGCAACGTTGCAGAATTGGAATCGAAGCTCAGCGAGGTCTATGAGTGCCACCATGAGTATATTCTCAAGACGGTCCCCAAGGAGAGGCTGTTGGTATACAAGCTTGGCGAGGGATGGGCACCCTTGTGCGAGTTCCTTGAGATGCCTGTACCGGAGAGGCCTTTCCCGCACGGAAACGAAGCTGCAGCACTCAGAAGCAAGATCTTTGATAAGCAAAAGCGAGTACTTCTGGAAGCCGGGGCGCGCTTCGCGCCGTGGCTTGTTGGCGCTGGGGCTGTTGCGGGAGGGCTTTGGTATACCCTGTCCATGTAGTTTAGCCGAGAGAGAGACGGTCTGTATGCTGGATCGTACAGCTCTGGTTTGCTTCACACTCTGCCATCGACATCACGTCTGTTCAGAAGCCTCTTGAGTGAGAAATGGTTGGCTATGTCTCGTAAGAATCCAACAGGAGGTTCAATTTCACTTAGTAGCTCCTCGTATGAGGTTATCCGAGGGGCATCCCAAACGAGATCGACCTCGTCCGGCCGCAGAGTCTTTGTGTGCTTGTAGTATTTCCAGAAGCAGAACAAAAGTGGTGCCAGAAGAACCATAGTGTAGTGGATGAAGAATGAAGTTGGATCAAACGGGTTGAGCGACCGGTAGCAGTAGCATATGACGACACTTGTCATCCAGACTAGGCTAATGTACGCGCTATACGGCTGGAACCGATCTATATAGGGGAGACGAGAACAATCAAAGTTTTGAGTCTTGCAAGCCCTGTGGAAGCAGATATACGTGACGCAAATGACAATGTAGTCGATTAAAGTCGCCGCGGTCGTTAGGGAAATCAACCAGTCGAGGACTTTTGCCGAAGAACTTGAAAGCTGCAGTAACGAGAAAAGGGGAAACACCATGACCACCCCAAGGCAATTGATAGGGGCACCCTTCTTCGTCGTCTTTGTCAGGAAGTGCGGTGCCCTCCCCTCGAGTGCTGGACCATAGAGCGTCCTTGTCGAACAATAAGTGTAGGCACTGCCGGCCGAGAAGATGGTGGTCGCCAAGAAGAAAGTGACAACATGTGGCAGGACGCCGATGCCGAGGTTACCCATGGCGATGATATACGGCGATGCAGCCGCACTGCCCGCAGAGCCTCCCTTGCCGGTGTATATCGCGACGAGAGTCGGATCCGTGTGACTGACAACAATACCAGCTGCCAGGGCACTTCCGACAAAGAAAATCCAGATGCGCCAGTAGACTGCTTTGAAAGCCGTTTTGACGTAGATACGGGGATGTTTGGCTTCGGCGGCCATCATGGAGACGTACTCGGGTCCGACGCAGGGGAAGGATGCGGTCCAGAGAGCGGATAGAAAGCCTTCGAACTTCCCGAGAGAACCGGTGCTAATGTACTCGGCGAAGTAGCCGGCGAACCAGGCTCGGAATTTGTAGGCATCGTGCTGTGGGTTACCTCCTGCCATTGTGACTAGGGTAAAGGCGAGAAGCATCGCGAGGAGAACAACTTTGCCGCTCGAGAGGTAGAACTCAGCCTCCCCATAAACTCCGACGGCAAAGATATTGATCAGGCTAAATGAGAAGTAAGGTTAACTTTGATCTACTTCCTGAGCATCGCTTGATATTGGGCGGGTATGCAACGAGCCTTTTGGAAAACTTGACACGTACCCATAGAGACAAATGCATCCCAAACAGATGGCAAAGACTGGGATCCTGTCATTCCAGTATGATATCACCAACTTCAAAGCCACAATCTCAAACGGGATTAGGAAGACTTGGTAAAAGAAGAAGTTCCAGCCAGCCATGAAACCGAACGCGTCGTTGACCCATTTCCCCGCAAGTCTGACGAAGCCGCCGCTGACAGGCATGTAGACAGACATCTCTGCCATGCAGTTGTTGCAAAGCGAAAGTACGATCGTATAGATGACAAACGCCAGCAGAAGGCTACCCGGCCCAGAGCGCTGGAGAGCACCCCCTATGCTGACGAAGACGGCTGTGCCTATGGAGCCCTCGATCGTGACGAGCTGGACCTGGCGGTTGCTGAGACGGCGGTGGAGGCCATCGGTGACCACAGGTACTTCTTCGGTCTCGATGCGTCGAGTGGATGTGTTCGAAGGATCTTCGATGGATGGTTTGGAGTTTACCGTTTGCCCGACGATGGGTTTGGTCCAGTACGTTGGAGGGCTTGGCATGATGAATGTAGGTAACGTTAGCTTTGGCATGGTATTACTGCGATATTGAAACAGGAAGAAAAAGAACGGGAATCTTTGCGGGGCAGAATTTTCTCGTGGTCAGGCCATAGAACCAGCAAGGTGCTTGGCTGCTCTTAGAGTTATGGCATTGTCGCTTAGGAGTGAGTATACATCTTCGCTCAAGGTGGCCGCGAATGGTCCGAAACCTTACCGCAAAGGATGTTCAGACTAAAAACAGCCTGCAGAACTCGAAGGCGAGGTGGAAGATGCATGATATGGTGCCGAGAGGGAGTCATGTTCGGGATTAATTTCTCCGCTGCCGTCCATACTTGACAAAAGTGCAAAGTGTCTTAAGCACTGGAGGACTTTGGGAAGTCAATACCCCTTGATTTGATGCCACCCGTCCTAATCCATATTATTTTAGCTTCTCTTGGACCATGATGACGGTTCAGTGCTGTTATCATCAAGTAAACGCCACGACCTTGTCTCTGTAAGGCTGAATTTTCACTGCTTGGCCGACAAGAAGTTGACCGAATAGACCCGAGGACATAAATCAACGACTTGGGTGTCGTGTGAAATCACCAATCCTTCCGTATATGAGGGTCCAATCATCATATGACACACCGGGCGGTCGAGTGTATTCTTTCCCGATCTCCTTCTCGTCGGTCTCCGTCGTCTGAAAAAGCCCTTTGAAAGCTCTCAACCGGATTCAATCGTTTGGAACTCTTGCATTGACGCGCATACATGGGTAAATGTGAGAATGTCACGCAGCAGCTCAGGAGCAGAAGACTGATGACGGGCTGTTAAGAGATTATTAGGCTCGCCTACGAATTTTTAACTGCAATCAGGTACGTGAAAGCCTCTGCTTTGTTGATCTATGGTGGTTCGGGACGCGAAGCCCGATTCAATGCATATGGAATCTCAGAAAGCTAACCATGTCATCCACACCCTGCGGCTCGTTCACCCAGTGACCTCCTGACTGATACTCATGCCATTCCACTGTACACGCACTGGCGAATGAATCAAGAGTCGTCCGCAACTGCCGACCAAGTTCGATGTTAATGACTTCATCGTCCACGGCGTGAGCGAGGAAAACAGGAGTTTTGGCTATTGGTTCTGTGCCGCATATTCTGCGATAAGGTGAACTCTCCTCTGCCAACTCATTAATGACCTCAGCCGGTGGCATCCAGCTGCATAAACCGACCAGCCCACCCAATTTGGCTATTCTTGGCGTGGTCAGAAAAGCGGTGATTGAGGTTGCAAATCCTTGGCTGATACCGCCTAGGAATATTCTGTCCATCGGGACCAAGGCGGATTCGCTCTCGACAAGGTTAACGAGATATTCGATACTTCGTCTCAGGCCGGCTTCTTGGATACCAAATTGTTCTTCTGGGTTCTCCAACGACCAGGCATCGAACCACTGTGACATTTCGGTACCAAACCTCTTGGATGGATGCAGCGCGGCCCCGGGAAAGACCCACCGAATGGACGGCAATAGGTCTGGAAGAGTGCGTGGCTGGTTTGCTGGCTCTGATGCTTCGCTCTCGAAAAGCTCATCGGCGAATTCGTCGCAGATGCTGTCTCTGCCGTGGAGGAAAACGACTGTGTGGGTGTGCGCCGCCCGCGGCTCGATGCAGTGCGTGGTAAATTCCATATTGATGATGTCCCGTGAGGTTTCCGTGGTGGAGCCTTGGGGATGAGTCAGGAACAAGTGGCGGTATTAATCAGGTGTGAGAAGGGATGTCGGTTGGGGGGCCCCGAAGGCGGCACACATTTATTTACCTAATAGTCAGGAGTATATTTGTTTGGTGGTGGATTGTGCGATTGTTTTGTCTGAGTTTGATGGAGTTTCTGTGCGGCATGTAATGATGATGGAAAGAGTCCTGCGAGCTCTGAAAAGCAAGATTTTGGCCCTTTTAGCCCTTTCTCCGGAAGCCTCTGTTGTGCCGTTAGATTTTGGAGCGTCTGCGGTTGAGAACCGCCTTCGACCTTTCCGGCCGATCTTCCCGGCCGGCATTCCTGTATTAGTATATCACATTTCGAATGAAATGACTATGTCTAAATCAGTGCGTACCTAGAACGTATTATATAAACCGCATAGCTCAAATTGTATACTGTATCATATGATTTCCTCCGAAAGCGTGATCCTGTTAAAGTCGATCTGTTGCGCCTACAAAGCTGGGAGAAACCCACCACATATACCTATCAGAGCAATGGATACTTATGGCGCGATTTTCTCTATACGGCCAATCTTCCACGTTAATGTCGGTGGCTACAAAGCAAATTTTCATCCTTGAGCGGCTCTCAGCGGGAAGTTTCTCACGATACCTGAGATGTCACTTACGATTCCATCTCCAGGAAACAGATGTCAATAAAGTTACATGTAAATTGCACTTATATTGCTGCCTCAATTTACCTTTTCACATTGTCGCATAGATGGCTGCAACATGTTGAAGCTGTTATTCCCGGCATTGGCTAAGCAGCAATTGTTAGATATGTCTCCAAGACTTAACTGTGCTTCGCCGTCGGACCAAAGCATTCCGTACTCTCATGAGTCTTGTTCCAAGTTCTAAGAAGAGTTGATAGATACGACTAGAGGGAATCCTAGCTTTCAGTCCCAAAACCGAACACCCAGAGAACCAAATCCCGCCAAGATCATGATGGATCAGTCGCTCAACGAAACCGCCACTCGCACATATCATCTTAGCTCTTCTGATAGTGCCGGAAAAAAGCGGAAAGCTGGCCCAAGAAAGTTCTCAGCAACATCGGTTAGGAGCCATCCGAAAACTCGGAGCCGTGTGACTCAGATCAAGAGAAAATAGTATTTAGATGTTGAGAGCTTAGTCCCTCCATTACTCATGTGGAGAGTTACTCAGTGCTCAATCGAGAGTCTCCGTACCTAGACGACACGAGGCTTTACATAGCCTACCTTCGAACCCAAAACACACTGGGGATTCGACACAAAGACCTGAAGAAGGCAGTACTTCCCCGGCATCATTGAAAACATTACAAACTAGGCTTTCTAAGCCCTCCGTAGCTGCTTTGGACCGTGCTTCAACTGCTGACATGGAAGAATGCCACGGGGTATTTCATGATCCTATTGCTGAAGAGATCTACGACTTGAGCAGCCGTATATTTGGGCATTCCAGTGCGATTCTAACCCTGTTTCTGCCACTGAAGGATGAAGAAATTAGGCTTTACGTGCACGAGCATGAAGGGTATTATTGACTGTTTCTAGTATGCCCTGGGCCTCATGGCTATGGTGATTTCCGCACAAATGCTTGAAAGCTTGTTCTCCGAGTCCTCTGATATGAACGTCACCAGCCAACTTAGGACTTGAACTCTGGTCCTAACAACTCATCTAGCATCTCCGATTCGCGTCAATGATGAATGAAGTCAGAGATAACCAATCTTGTGTCATAAGGGACTCCTTCAACGATCGCGACGCAAGTGAGACTGCTGATATGTGCGAAGCCTGCGACAAGAAATCAGAGTACGATATAATCGACGCTTTAAAGCACCTTCAGGCAAAGCGTTCACGCGCTCAATACTCAACCCGCAAAGTTTCCAAATTTCAGAGCCTCGGTATCGCCGGAGATCAAGACCTTCCTAGTATCTAAGCTGATTTTGATTCTTTCAAGGATTTCATGAAGTCTAACATGGCTCTTACTCAAGTACAGATGTACTACTAGATTAGAAGTTGAAATGCCAAGAGCTCTTAGCTCTCGACATTGAGTACCTTTTGGTTAAAGAAATCCGAGACCGGAAACCGTTTCCGTCAAAAATTCGAAACCGAAGGCTTAAAGTCGAGTGTTTGACCACGTGCTAGGCTGTCGTAAAGTCTGAGATATTCCTCAATTCAAAGAGCCAATAAGTGAGAGTCGATACGCCAAGAGCCCAATACTTAAAGCCTTTGCGAAGCTCCATCGAGACTAGACTTGTGCACGTTTGTCACGATTCTCAATTACTCTGACTTTACACTAAAAGGTTTGCGAAATTACGCCAGGCCAGACGAAATTAAGCTTTCACAGCCTCAACTAAGGCGTTATGCGGATCCGTCGCGGTGAATGGGTCTTTTGTGTAACTCGGAAACCTAAAGCTTGGTGGACACATGACAACTGCTCCATTTAGCGGACTACTCCGTACAACTTCATCTTCAATACTTGTGAATTTTGCCTAACGATGTCTAATAATGTTCCAGCCACTGTCAGCAGTACACTGCCAAGGATCTAATCGAACCTTGGACTCATTGCCCACGGCCGTAATATTGATAAAAGTTCCATCGTGAATTCTCTATAAAAGGTCTTGTGCCGTCAAGAATGTTCTGATTACACTACATCCCAAGACACCGGATATTTAAACCACCATCACTTCTCTTCCTACTAGACTCGCTCCTTTCGATATCCATCATACACCTACACATACCATCGTTCTACCAGACATCCACGAAATCTTCGCAATGAAGTTCTCTGCCGCTCTCCTTACTATTGCCACTTTGGCTACTTCTGTATTTTCCACGGCCTTGAGTCCCCCCGACAACTCAGTCGTTGGTGCTGTTAACATGGACGTCCGTGAGGTCGCCCCTCTCGATTCCTCTCCCATTGAAGCCCGTCAGAGCTGCTTCTCCCACATTCTTCCTGTTCTCAGGATCAACCGAGACAACCGCCGAGATATCCAGGGTGATCTCGACGCCCGCCGCTCCATCGAATGGAATCCGAACCGTAACGTTCGCGTCATCATCGACTTCTCGTCTACGACCACCCGGAACCGCCAGCTGAGGTACCAGATCACCAACCGGTCCCAGCTGTTCGGCGCGGCCATCATCTTCAGCAACTACCAGGACACCATCACCGGCACGGTCAGGGAGACGATCAGGGTTCCGATCGGTCGCGCTACCGGGATGAGTCTCAGCCCGACCCCAACCACCGGCGCCGGCTGCATCGTTCTCGACCGCCTGGATGGTACTTGGTATGCCCAGCTAGAGTAGAGCAATCCTAGCGTCACCGTCCAACAGGGGTAGCTCGTGCTACACATCAACCTTGTCTCCAGCTAGTGTCTCTTCCAGCCAGCATTTCGAGAAGCACGTGCTGTATTCAGTCGAGGAAACAGGAACGCAGGATATTGTTCAACCACTCAGCAATACCCCCCGGTTTAGCTTCAGTGCCAAATGACCTTAAATAGCAAGGCTCTAAGGCTGTATCGTTATATGGAAAAGGATTTGAGCCGTGGCAACTGCGTCACATAGATGCTCAGAACTCCCTTTTTCCAAACTTCTCCGTATGGTACTACTTTAAGTACTAAACTTATTTAGAGGCACCAAGAACAAATACAGTCACTATTAGAGAGCTACACAGTCAAGTATTGCTTAGTCAGATGTATCGATAACATTTGCGAGATGCTGCGTCAGAGCAAGGAAACATTCAAAACTCATGTTAGTTGGATTGTGACAAAAACGTACACAACGCGCCGCTGTGCTGTTGCCATAATAACATCCGGGATCTTGTCTGTGGAGCTCAGCTTGACGGCAAATGAGCAGGGTATGCTCACTGTAGGACCGACAAGTTCCTGATTCAAGTTTAACGGAAGCTCGTGTATTGAGGTGCACCAAGAACGAGACGATGAGGAAGCAATTTACGTGCTCGTGAGCAGGATATACTTCAGCCAGAAACCAATTGAGTCTACGCTGGACCCTTTTCGAGACCCGAAGAAACAAGGTAGCGCGTTGTTCCAGGGTGGCAGAGAAGAGACAATGAGCTCCGAATACAACATGCCTGGGGGCGGGGGTGTGAGGGAGAGGATATCGTAATTCAAGTAGAGTTCTTTCCGCCCTCGATCAAGGACTGAGCTTGAGCTGGCTCATATTGCAGTGGGGTTTGATAGAGACTTAGGGCCCACGATTGGCTCCAAGCTTGTGATTGGAAATCGAAATGCATAGAGTAATTGGTCAAAAAATTGACGATTCACCACTGGCTTCAAACGTTCCAAATGAAGCTGAATCGCAAGAGTGACCTACTAGCTAACAACTTGCTTGTTAAGAAACAGGGTCTGCACGTTGCAGAACCCCTTCAGGCCATTTGCGCCCCACTCGGTCCCAATGCCACTCTCCTTGTGCCCTCCGAACGGAGCGAGGGGTGAGAGATCGAAGTGTGTGTTGATCCAGACATTACCGGCTTGAATTTGCCTGGCAACTCTTGCTGCTTTATCCAGATTGTTCGACCAGACGGATGCTCCAAGACCCATCGACGTATCATTGGCTCGGGAAATAACCTCGTCTTCGTTGCTCCAGGATAGAAGGGGAACAATAGGTCCTGTTCGAGATGTGTCAGAGATCCAAGATACATGCAGCAGGACGTTACTTGAGGAACTTACCAAAAGGCTCCTCGACAACCAGACGAGACTTCTCGGGAGGCCGATCGATGATGGTAGGAGTTATGAAATAGCCTTGGGACTTCTCGATGCTGCCCCCAACGGCAACTTTCCATCCTTGAGACTCAATATCCGAAAAGAATGTCTTGACTCGTTCATACTGCATTGAGTTCTGTAGAGGACCGTGAGTTACCCCGGGTTGCGAGCCATCACCAAGGTTATACCCCTTGACGTGCTTCACTAAAGCCTCCTTGAATCGATCAAAGATGGACTCGTGCACATAGATACGTTTGAGATTGAGGCAGATCTGATCGAAGTGTATCGGTGAGTAAATGTAGTCTTGACGATATGAAAATGAAACGGAACGGGAAAAATAATACCTGGCCGGAGTTGAGAAAGGCGAAGAATGCCACCTGTGTTGCTTTAGTAAGCGCGAGCTTATAGAACCTTCAGGTCGAACTCACCTTTTCAGCGACCTTGTCAACATCTACGTCCGGAAACACGATGGCGGGATCGTTTCCTCCCCTTCTGGCGTTAGTCTTTGCCTCAATGAACCAGATCTCATGGTACACTCACAACTCCAATGTAACCCTTTTCAAAGTTTTGCTAGCACTCTGCATCACCAGTTTTCCGGTCGCTGTGGATCCAGTGAAGCTGATCTTATCAATGCCCGGGTGACTTGTCAACCAAGGGCCAAGGTCATCGTCTCCGCTCAAGGACTGCACCACACCCGGCGGGAAGAACTGTTGTGCTAACTCAACCAGCTTCAACCCACAGTACGGTGTGAAAGGTCTGCGTGTTCATGAGCGGTCATATCAAAGCTTTAAAGTGTGTCGTATCCTTACGAGGGCTTCACAATGATCACATTTCCGGTCAGGAGAGCTGGCGCGATCTTACCTGTGGCCAGGAGCAAGGGAAAGTTCCAAGGAACAATAGCCCCAACCACACCCAGAGGAGCGTAACGAGTGATGATGGTTCGGTGATCGTTGTCCTCTACAACATCCTCTGGGAGCGGAATATTGGCCATGCCACGGATCCAGCTGATAGCAGCATCTGTCTCGGCGTCTGCTTGAGGGATCTAGGCGGTGTTAGCGTGGCTCGGCAGTTCGCTGCTGCGAAGATAAATTCACGCAAGGGTTCGTTGTTCATACAGGCTTTCCTTGCTCAGAGATTAGCAAGTCCCTGAACTGGGTTCTGTAGCTATCAACAGCATCCGCATACGCCAGGACTGCCTTCTTCCGGTCTTCATAGGGAACCTTCGACCATCCTTTGAAGGCATCTTTTGCTGCGGCGACGGCAAGGTCAAGATCCCCGCGTGTAGCAATAGGGACCTCTGCTTTTGCTCTCAGGTTCGCTGGATTGATGCCATGTCGATTCTTCTCCGTTTGAGAAGCTTTTCCATTGATAATTTGGACAAAGCGGTCGCTGAGACTCAGCGTTGCGAAGTTATCACTATTGGTGGCGGCCATGATGCGCTATGCTTGGAGTTTGGAAAGTAATTGACTTTAGAAATAAGTATCGTACCCCGCACAGGTTGTTGAGGTTTTCCTTGCAGCTCCTCAAAAGCAGATCGGTACGAGGGCATCGTTCAACAAATACATATCTAAGACATTTCGGTTACTCAGCTGGCTGAACCAAGTACCCCGCATCTAGAGACGCTGCAAAGACCGGACCGACCGCCGACACATCGGATACCATTCGTTTGGAGATCCTCGGCTATCATAGATATCTCTGAGTTAGTACCTAGCCTACTTCTTGTGCTTGTTAGTCCACAATATGCTTATACACTATTACGACCTCTCTTAATAGTACATGTAGAACAGGGAGTTCGGGAAAGGAAGTTCACACCTACAAGTTGCTCGACAAGAAGACTTCAAGAATTTTCTACTTCAGAGACAGTGAGCAATAGTAGTGGTAGAATTGCGTTGGTCTATTTGGTTTGATATTAGAGGCTTGAATCTGCGAATAGAAACCACCTGAAGGTCTGTCTAGAGAGAAGCTGTTACCAAGGTTCGACTTTCGTCCAGCCGTTTCGAAGGCTTCAATTACGACTTGCACGCTGGTCGTCGGACGTACGACGAGAGACAATGTACCATAGATTGTGTTCTTCCTTCATACAAATAACTACTCCACAATCCTAGTATTAGGAAATACAATTCCGAAGGACTGCCCGATTACATCCTGCAGGCTACATGTAGCCTTCAGTCTTCACATCAAATCATACAGACCAAACGATATACCGGAGTCAACCCCGTAATCAGTCCGCCACATTGTGCAAATAATCATCGATCTGGGCATCGATCTTTCTCGAAGTCTTCCAAAGAACAAACATCGCATATCCGGAAATGCTTGCCGTTCCTACAATAATGACTGGCCAAGCAATAGGAAACACAGGTACAGTAACAAGCAACAGCCCTCCTCGGATCAACCGCCCACGCCACGCAGAATGATACGGTGCCTCTGCGTGCTCTAGATTCTTGATCCTACACTTCCCCCGAAGTCTCTTCTTTTCGGCTCCATCAGGCATGAAACGAGTGAAGAGAACGGTGAAGGTTTGTCTAGCAAACCACCAACAATTATGGTGAAGGAAGGTGTAGTCGGACGCCACTTGGTGGATGATGGAGAGTATGTTGGCCATGTTCGCCAGAGTTGGCGGGGAAGATTCCAGGTCGACATCATGTATAGTCTTGTCGTCATGGTGAACAAGACTCGACATAGTAGGTGCCGGTATAAACATCAATTTCGCTTCGCTGTTTGGTGCTTGCTTGCCTAAGTCGCCCATTCGTTCAAGTCTAACCCATGAGATCTCTGCTACATCTTGGACTTTGATGCGCAGTAGGAGATACTCGTGTTGCAGGGTGCTATGCTCTCTGTTCCATATGACGCGGATAACGGATCCAGGTGTCTGATGGCTGACAATATGGCGGATGATGCCCAGACCTCCTAATCCCAACATCCCTTCCTTCTCCAGTTGTGTCTGCAGCGCTGAACCTTCAACCATAAAGAATGAGAACTGGGGGGCTTTTGACAGAGTTTCTAACCATTTTAACTAACCTGTGACACCTTGGGGAGTCGTGGGGCCTCGACTTTGTGACGCACCCATGATTTACTCGGAAACTTGGAACTCTTTCAGGGTACAGTGATGAGTAAGAACGAAACCGGCGATAAGTGAAGTGTGTACAGTGTGTCACAATCCATGAGTTTCTCGGAGTGCTTGGAATCGTCTTAAATGCAAGTGAATTTATGTTGCGATGGTCTGCGCCTCTATGATCTCAGAACGGCACTGCTCCATCTCGGCGTTTTTACTCAGTCGAATTTGGTGTAGTTGAATAAGGCAACCAAGGCTAAAAGTGAAGGCAACGAACCCGGAGATCGCTAGCTCGCTATACGATGACCCGTGATGCGGTAGCGTGTTGAGCTCGACATAAAGAGGCAGTGTCCGGCGTCACATTTGAAGTCATGGGCCATGCTTCTACACTCTCATCCACCACACCACCTCTCCATTTCTCAGACTTCCGCGCGCTTTGACTGCAAATTGGTTCAAGGCTGAGGTTTTTTGTTGGGGCCACGATGGCTACGAAACCAGCGCCACGATCCCCAACCAGGGGCCAAGTGCCATCAAACGTGTTGGGAGCGACAGGCACCTATCAGGAAACCCCGCATGCTACTCTGTCACGACCACATAGCCCACCATTCTCTGCCTACCTTCAGCTCGTCGCTTTTACTGCCACCATCACGGTTTCCGTTTCTATCTCGGCTAGCCAAGGATTTGCTACGGGAGGCAACTTCTTCGGTATTCCTCTAACTAATGAGACTGATCCAACTATAACGACCGCCGTTCGAGCCACCGCAGACGCGGCGTATTGGCTTTCATGGGCAGCAGCAGCATCTTCGGTCTCGTTGATGATCGCACTCATGTTACAGCTGATGCAAACAGATGAGATGTTTCTGGATGCTCTAGAAAGAATAGAAGGAGGCCAGAGTCTGAACCTCCCAAGAGTAGTTGTGGGATTTGGGAGCTGGGTTGCTCTCTTGTTGCAAGCAAGCGCATTAGCCTTTATAGGGCAAGCTCTGAGGGCAATTAACAACAAGAGTGGGAGTATGATACAGGCAAGTACCCTCTCTTATGGAGTTCCAGGCGCATAGTAATTCTGATTGCGTTCCAGTGGGCATTACTTGCCGTGGGGACAATTTTCGTGTTCTTTTACCTACACACCATCAAGTTCTGGAAGACGTTCAAGAAGTTCATTTCAGGATTTCAGACTTGAAGCGGCAGGTATTGTTCTTGTCTTTCTACTTGGCCGTGAATTTTGAAACAAAATTAATCACTCTGGCAGGCTATTCACATGGTGCGAGACTCGAGAGGACGGGATACCAATTACTCTCGTTTGATATCTTAGTCAAGAATCAGCAAAAGACTTAAGCAAGGCCCTACAGGGAGAAGGCGACGCTGAGCAAGATATGGAGAGTCTCAACTACATTTTCGGTCAGCGCCGAGGAACGGCTATGTACGGCGACAACCAACGTTTTTGACGGGCCTCTCAAGATCTCGGCTACCAGAGGAAGATCTCAACCAGTTGTGCGATACTAGGTGGCTCTGAAGCAGATCGATGGGATTTGAAAGCTGAAACGCCATGTCCGGCAAAACACCAAGGCTTACAGGTGCTAAGCATTTGAAAGCTTTTGTTTCCAAGATCCAGGCTCAGTATGAGAAACTGACTTGTCTCGTAAATGTCCTTCGCCGTCTCAATGTCATCCCTTGCGTTCAGAACGCCACCTACTTTTCAATCTTTGCGTTGTTTGGAACGGCGATAAGAACTGCGCTTGACCTCTGATACCTCTCGTTTGTTGTAAATTGTTTCCGGCGGGTGACTCTCACAGCCGTGACTAAGGAGCTTAGCATAACCCCATCGAGGGGCGGGCCAGTTTCACGATGTCACCCCCATCACAACGGCCTCCTGCGTGGAGCGTGAAACGAATAGGGCTGGGTGAATAAGTGATGTGGTCCTAGAGTCCGAGGCTTCGGGTCTTGGAAATCTACAACAAAACACTATTGGATTTTCTTTATGTCTCGTTTCCGGCGAACTAGCAATCAGCTGAACCTCAGCTCCAAGCCATGTCTTGGCTAGGATTTACCGAGCCTTGCTGCTTACATGTACCTATGTTACCAGATTGGTCCGAACACTTCTCGTTCCTTCAAGATTTGGACTTTTTTTCTTCTTCTTATTGACGCAAAGACATAGTACTGTGAACTTGTGAAGGAGGCGGCAGGAACCAGTCATGTCAGGCGCCAAATTCCTCATCTCTTCAGCCTCAAGACACTAAGCGCCTATGCCCCCTTCCCAGCCTTCCTCTCTCGATGCAGAAACGTATTTGATTGAGAGGCAGGAGGTGCCAACTGAATGGCATACCAAGTATGCAACACGCCAAAATGCCAAGATTCTGGCATGTGGACCAAGACGCCTTGTTTCACCACTCGAAATCAAGATATCCCTTGTAACAGTTCGCATGCAGTAAGCCGTGGATCCCAGCTGAATCCCTATTCAGTGTTCAAATTGGGATCAAGGTTGATTGGTGCAAGTTAGAGATAGCCTGCTAACAAAGTCGTTCAGCACTGCCTTTACTATGATACGAGACCTGCTATCTCTTCCACGCCGACATGGTCTGGAGTGATTGACTACATGAAACCCGGATACCCCGAAGAATTTCAGGATGAAGACTGGCTACTATCATTACACCTCAAGGATTACACCAAAGCGGAATCTCTTCCTGCTACCTCCGGTCTTGTTGTCCTCACATTTGCCACGCCGGTCGGTTTCCCTGTGTCCCCCGCTTTGGAAGTTGCGTCAAAAGCAAGAGACCTAACTTATTTCCTCAGCATCGGGTTTCTACTTTAGAGCACCATGGGTCTAAACGATATCTGCCAACACTTTGACGAGGGCGAGTACACTGCCCGGATTATATCAAGCACAGACGAAGAGCTTGTACAAAGAGAGGTCGTGAAGACCCGTCAACAGATTACGGCATACTTCAGCGGAGGAACATACCTGGGAATGGCCATCCCAACTTGCGGCGCATCGTTGATCATGGCTCCATTAGCAGCTCGTAAATTCTACATCTCCAGGAAGAAGCTCAAGATCGTGCAAACTGAGCTAGAGCGCCGCCAGATACCCCTGTATGAAACCCGGAAACGCGACGTCGCCATATCCGCCATCACCGGAACCATCGGTCTCGCAGTCGGCATGGTGACACTCGGTGCTACCGACTGCCTAACGGATGGACTCATGTTCACGCCGTTGGGGAATTCGGGGGCTTCAGGGGCTTCAGCCATCGGTGCTTTGTCTGCAGACCCCGTCGGTGCGGTAGGCGACGCCATCCAGGGGGCGGCCGCGCAGTTCCAGGAGGTCGGTACCAATATCACGGGGGACACCATGGGCCAGACTATCCTACCGGAAGTTCAATTGATGGAGGTGCACGACATTGACACAGGAGCGACGGCCGAAATGCTCGTCGCTACACCGGAAGTAGCCGGCGCATGGAATATGGGTGTCGATTTGGCGCAAACGGCTGAAAAGGCATTGGCTTCTTTCCTGGCGACGGCAGGGTCGGCATTGGTCATGGAAGCCGCCGCAGGATATGGAAAGGCTCGAGGACGATGCTGCCCCCGTCTTCTGGGTGTGTTTAGTGCCATGAACTGTGACAGTTATGGAGAGCAAATTGGAAAGGGACAGTATCGGCGTAAGTTCTCCGGCTCCCCTTCCCCGTGTTTTTCAGTCTATCTTGTAGCTTTTGAGTTGAAGTACGAAGAACATGTTCGCAGCTCTTGATTCGCTAACATGTACCGTGCTAGATTGCTGCCTGTGCGAGAACGATAATTTCGACCTTTGCCAAGCCTGCTATTCCAAGGGCTCGAGATGTCGATCGGCTTCCCACAACATGACCTTGCTACAACCAGCCATGAATCAAGACCTATCTCCAGAGACACCTATCATAAACTTGTATCCAAATTGGGAGAATGAAATCGTCCAGTTTGTCACACGTTCCCAACTCTCTGGTGGAAAGTACACGTTATTTGGGTGTGACCACTGTGGAGAGGCAATACGCCAAGGTAACTGCTATCGTAAGTTTCCTCCCACAACTTTGAAAGGTCCTTGCAACTGATGTTACATACAGATTGCTTTGATTGCGGAAACTATGATTCCTGTGAAAAATGCTACAAAGATGGTTCCAGCTGCGGGGTTACAAATCACGTCCTCTCGGCGCTTGTCTGCGCAGTCGACTGCTCAACTCATCGGTATTGGGTCAGTGACTGCCGATGGTCCAAGGGCATGTCTTCCGCAAAGCAATGCAGTTGTTGCCATGAGATGGTCAACCAAGGGCGATACTACCGTAAGTGACTACCGACGTTGCTAGCCCTAGCCGTTATCAGACTGCTGATGACGTTGTGGTACAGATTGCTGTAACTGCGATGGGGACGACTATGATCTCTGCCATGCATGTTACAAGGTAGGCGAGAGATGCAGGAATCCTACGCAGCATACATTGCAGCTACACCTGGCGGGCAACGACCTGTCTCTTTGGGCATATCCCGAGACATGTGCAAGGCACTCGCACTCCTTTCAGTCAGGCACCGTCAATTGCGATCATTGTTCAGAAAAGATCACTCGAGGAAATTTCTATCGTAGGTTTGCCCTTTCCAAAGACCGTAGAAACCGTAGAGAAAGATTCCACTTGCTGACCTACCGACTTCCAGACTGCTGTGAGTGTGAAGAGAATTACGACGCTTGCGCGAGCTGTTATTCGAAGGGCAAGGGTTGCAAAGATGTGTCACATTCGCTGAATATGCACTATGTAGAGTCTTGAGGTTGTTTTTTTCTCTATTTCTAACGTTCTCCCAACTTTCCAATTTCCACTAGCAATTTGTAATTGATAGTCATGAAGCAGAGTTTTGCTCTCCGGGAGGTGCCTTCTGACTACCCAGGAGCGATCCGGGGTTGTAGTGATATTGTGCGTCACGGTCCACTTTCACAATTAACGAGACGAGACCATAATCGAGTACAACACGCTTCGAGACGTGAGGGGGAGAAGACTAGGGAACAATGGAGAGCTACCAAGACGCGTAATACAACACCAATCTCCGCCCAAAACACGACCAAAACAGCCCGAGATCTTGCGCTGCCCCGACTGGCCCAACGCCCTACCGCCTCACAACAAACGCAATCTTCCAAAAACGTCAAAAAAACATACAACACCAGGTATTCGCTGATCGTCACCGACTCAACTACTAATCCGGCCCTCACTGGCTTATCTATGGGAGAGCGGACGGGATCCCGAGTTTTCCAGTGGGTATGGTCGTATGTGGTGATTCGGGTTCGTAGAGTACCCAAGTAGAGGGCAGACACCACTGGGAAAGTTCTCCATGATGCTCATCACATTTCTGGTCAGCGATGAGAGATTGCCATGTAGAGTAATGACCTTTGTTTTCTGTGGGTCTCCATCTGTCCTCAAAACGCCGCTCGCCCCTAATGCTTCTATGTGTATCGTTTCCGGGTCTTCCGGACTTCATTAAGAAAAGGCCGTGAAAGGGTATGGTTCAGAGGAAATGAAAGAAAAAACAGCAACAAGACCACAACGCCCCAACTACTCTGCTGATTTTCGGGAGAACCGAGAGAAGAAACTCTTCTTGGGCTCTTTGTCCTTTTCCTTTTCCTTCTTGAGACCCCTCGATTTGCTGGCCTCTTCCTGGGTATCGAGCTGCGTAGTGTTGTCGTTCATGACCTTTTGCGCATGCGAAACGGTTCCAGGATGAGGACCAGGCGGTGGGCCCGCCGGTGGACGAGGTGGGGGCGGTGGTGGTGGAGGACCCGGAGGACCCGGCGGCGGCGGTAGCGGAGGGAGACCGTACTGGTACTGCGGCGGATACGGGTTCTGTCCAGGCGGTGGCGGGAACGTATACGACATTGGCGGTCCACCGGGGGGCGGAGATGCTGGCGATGGCGGCAGAGCGTAGCTTTGCGGCGGAGCCTCGAGCATCGGTAGCTGGTTCTGCTGCTGCTCTTGCTTCTGCTCGTCCGAGAAGAGGTCAATGACCTTGCCGGAGCTGAAGAGTCTCTCGTACACGGCGAGCGTGGTGCCAAAGTCCTTGTGCCCGTCGACTTTGACGGCGTCGAGGAGTTCCAGGACGAACGTTTGGCAGTTGTTGGTGATGAGGTTGTAGGCTGGCTGCCGTGACCTGATGCTCTGGATGACGTACTCGCCCGCGCGACGGATGGCGTCGTCGTTGAAGGTTGTTTCGCCGACGGTGAAGGTGCGCCATTCTTCGCGCTTGTATCGCTCATTGGTGTAGATGACGTGAAAGCTCTCATCCTAGATGGGGTGGGTTAGGTCATGAATGAAGAGAATGGGTGGGCGGTGAGTGAGTGAGTGAGATGAGAGGACTCACCATCCACAACTGGTGAGCGTAGTCGCCGATCAGGACGGCCCAATGCTGAGTGGGATCAGGATACTTGTTGATCTTTTCGGTGATCATCTTCCCCAGGCCCGTCTCCTCGGCGAACCACTTGCCAGCGAGGCCTCCGACGGGGTGCCAGCCGACCTCGACGACGCGTGAGGGGCCATTGATGACGGGCTGTGTGACGGGGACGACATTGGGGGTCTGACCCAAGCCGACGGCATGCTTCAAGGCGAGTTCACCCTTGTTATAATTCTTCTTTCTGTCGTTGAATCAGCGCAATTGCCTCAGACCATTATTGGTGAGCATGGCGGTGTAGTCAAATGATGGTTGAGAGTGAGGGGTTGGAGCCTCATAGGGCTGGGCTGGGATGGGGGAGGGGTCGCAAGACGCGGAAAGTGCATATGAGGGAAAGATGACGCGCATACAGGAACTCTCCCACTTTGTCCCGCTTTCTCTTCCCTTCCTCGTCGGATCCCGGTTGTGACATTGCGATATCCCAACGGCGCGGCGCGGGTTTAATTGGGGGGGTCAATGTGTGTGTGTGAAGTCGGGTTGCGGGGGGGAGGAAGGATTAAGTGAGCGCCGATAAGCGGCCAATTGGGGTCGATCTGCTAGCTCAGGCACAACAAGGAACGGCGAACAGTGACAGACAGGTTTGTTGTGTTTGTTTGTTGGTTGGATCAGGTAGGGCGTCAGATCTTGGAAGGTGAAAGGGAAATAATCGGGGGGGGAAAGGCTGGGCGTCTTACAAATGGGAGGAGGCCTTTAGACGGGAGGACGGAATACACGGCAAGTACGACCATCGATAAGTCACAGAAAACAAAACCAAGGCAGAATAGACCGATTACCGATTGCGAAACTTGCCATCGTTCACCAGTCTACTGCCTCGATTCGATGGGCCTCGATGGCCGCGGGTTCGGGCTGACCGACACGTGGAGGCGCATTAACAATTTTTTTTAATCTAATTTCCAGCTGCACCGCACCTCAGCTCGACCAATCAAATTCACGATGCGACATCGAGTTGCTCACTTCGGGGGCCAAAATCCACGCGGCCAAAGCGGCGCAGGCCTTGTTTTTTGCAACCACAGCAAGGCACAATTGAGGCTGGCGCTGCCGAGCATTGGTAGCTGAGATGGGATGGGATGCAAGCAACAGCAGCAAGCCGCGGGTTCCGTCTGTCCATCCAGCACTGGTTGATCTCATGCACCCTTAACGGGTCGGTCCGACAAGGCTTCTTTCAACCTCTTTTTAACATTTGCTTGTCGATGACGGACCGTTCAGGGCTGCTGCTGCCGCTTACCGATCAGGTCCTGAGATACTCGTCTCTTGGCAGACCCCGGTGTTCTCGGTGTGGACCTGAATACGTGTACTCTGTACGACAAGTCTCCCGCGCGTACTTGGAGTCGAAGGGATTTCACAGGACTGCCCTCTCACTCACCACTCATCCCATCGTAGTGAGCCGAGAAGGCCGGGGCCCGGATATACGGCAACGCATGATCGGGCCTTATGAGATGGATCGAAAGCACCAGATCTACGCGAAAGCTTAACGAGCTAGGGCTCATCGTTCATAAGTCACACCGTCATACTTCTTACGGGACCGTGATATTCGCCACCCGCGCAAGTCTTCATCTTAATATTAGACTGAGATGGGGTCAGTTCGAGCACTTGGAGACTAATCTCATAACTCTACGGCTTCATTTACTTGATTCCACGATGAGGATTTCCAAACATTCGCCCTCGTATTTAGCAACTTCACTGACCCTTGTTGAATTCGAGAACAAAGTACAGAATATTCAGGTTGACATAGTGAGACTTGAAATTTCCCTTCGCATTCGCAATTGCAACGTCTCATGTAAAGAGACGGCCCAGGTGCCCTCGTTAGCTCATAGACATTTCAAGCCAATTATTCGGGGTATACGGAGTGATGCCGATGAAGAAGCTTGAATAACTGCACGCATACTCTCGTGTTCAGTGAACAGTTCTTTGCACATGACCTCACAGGTGGTGATTTGCCGACGGAAGCATGTCAAACCCTGATCTTGCAAGTTTTCAGATCGTGGCTTCGTATTGTAATGATATCGGATAAGATGTTTCCACATGAGGTGTATCCTAGATTCCCTTCTCGGCATACAATCCTCCAAAGGCTGAGGTCAATTCATCACATCTAGCCGACCCAAGCATCAACAACCTTCTCAGCCCTCACCGCATCCTCCAAAATCGCCCTCCGTCTCTCCTCGCCCCTCGGCACAAACTCAACCTCAAACCTCTCAGGCCCCATGACAAGATCAGAATGAAATCCCGTCTCAATGCAGGTATCCAACCTCTTCCCCGGCGCAGGAACAACATCAAACTCCCACGCCAGCTTCGCAATCGTCATCAAGATCTGGTTCTCGGCGTAGTCCGGCCCAGGGCATATCCGCCGTCCCGCCCCGAAATTATACGTCGGATGCCTCTTCTCCCGCTCCGCCGCCGCCGCCAGCTCCGGACGCACGCCCCACGGATTCTCCATATACCGCTCCGGCAGGAACTCGTCCGGCCGGTCGTACCATGCCTGGTCCTTGTGGATTCCGTACGTGTTGGTCAGGAACCGCGTGCCTTTGGGGAACGTGTAGCCGCAGTAGGTGTCTTCCCTGGCGAGGACGCGAGGGACACCCGAGGGCGCGGCGGTGCGCCAGCGCATGGCCTACGTTGTTCAGTCATCGTCAGTTCTCAACATCATGAAAGTCCCACTGGGACGCGTAACAAACAACTTACCTCATTGAAACAAGCCCTCAGATACTTCGCCTTTCCAAGATCCTCAAACCCAGGCGCCTGCCCAGGCCACACAGCATCAACCTCCTCCTGAAGCCGCCTCTGCATCTCAGGGAACGCACCCATAATGAGCACCACGGTACTAGTCGTAGCAATGACAGTATCAACAGCAGCATCCAACGTCCCCGCCCCCAAAACAGCAAGCTCATGATCCCCATACGTCGCCCCTTTCCCCTTGACCTTACTCTCCTCCCCTTCCCGAATCATCCTAGACATAAGCGACTCCGTCTCCTTCCCCCTCCTCCCACTCGCAATCTCCGCGGCCTGCGCTTTAGCCCCGTCAAGCATGTGATACATCGTCCTCATCATCCCTTTCTTCAGCTCTGCAGCCTCCTGCTTCCAACCAGCCAAAAACTCGGGGAGATACTTCATCACAGGAAACAAATCCACCGGCGGCGCCTGCGCAGGCGTAAGAAACCGCAACCACGTATCCTGCGTAGCAAAATACGTCCCCGCCGACGCAACCTTGCCCTCCTTCTCAACCCGCTGCCCACTAATCACAGAAAGCGGCGTAGCCAGCGCCCAATGTCTCAAATGCACATGAAACCGCCCCGGCTCCTCCAAAATCATCCTCATCAGCAACGCGGCATGCGCCTCTTGCGCCGTCACAACGCGCTTCAACTCGCCGGGCCCAAACAGGTGATTCCGCAGCGCCGTGCGCAGCTTCTTGATGTGTTGGTCGTTGTTCATGAAGAGGATCGTGCCGGGGTTGATGAGCGTGCTCGTGATGTACGGCTGCGGCCTATCCGAATAGATCGCGCCGCGCTTCTCGTAGAGTTCTCTGATGTGTTCTGCGCTCGAGAGGATGACGTAGTTCTCGG